AAAAACTATTATCCTATTTGGGGTCACATGAGTAAAAAACTATTACCTTACTTGAGGTCGCATGAGTATAAAACTTACCCTACTTGAGTCGCACGAGTATAACCCTACTCAGGATCACACGAGTTATATATACCTTACTTAGATATATGAGTTATCAAAACCTGCATCTACCTTACTCGGAGTCACACAAGTAATACATATCTTACTCATATATGAGTTATCAAAACCTGCATATACCTTACTCGCAGTGGCGGATCTTCTTGGGAGCTGAAGGGGGTCGTGGCCCCCCAAAGTTTTGTAACTCCTATGTAATTTATGATTTTGGTCCCCCAAATTTAATAAACATTTTATATATTTACTTGTATATTTACAATTCTATCCTCTCAGCTCCTCCTCGGTTTTGTAACTTTCATATAATTTATTATTTTGTCTCCCTCAAACTTAATGATCATTTAATATATTTAAGTATATATCTACAATTTTATCATTTCACTCTTTCATCTTCTTTCTTCTTTTTATATTTATTTATTATTGATTAATAATATATTATTTGGCCCCCCAAGATCAATGGTTAAGATCCGCCACTCCTTACTCGAGATTACACGAGTTATACATCACTTACTCAAGGTCACACGAGTTATGCATAGCTTACTCCGGTATACGAATTATCAAAACTTACATTTACCTTACTTGAGGTTACACAAGTTATACAAGTTATCAAATATTTTTGCATGACAAATAAATAAGTTTTACCTGAGTAAATATTACAAATATATCTTCATCTAACCGAATAATGGTTGATAGAATAAACATGTTTAAACTAAACACTACTTGATGAAATGATCAACTTAACTTTAAATTCATTTGACTTCTATTCTTAAAGGAATTTGACCTCCATCAAAATTACTTTATTTATTTAATTATCTTATTACATATTAATTATCTTTTATTTTTTATAATACCTTATATTAGTTATTATCTTTTGTGCTATCAATTATTATCTATTAAACTATCATTTATTATATTTTACATTATTATTATCTTCCGAGTCCTACATGAAGAGACTCGGTTATAGAGTAAATTTTACATTATAATTTATTATCAAACATGTTATTCTCTTGTCTAAAAATTAACTTAAATGTCAAAGTATTTTTTACCTGGAAAAAATTTTATTTAATATCAAACAAAATCAAGACCGGAAGCTTAACCAACCGACCCTTTTATAAGGATGACAAAACGTGTCAGCCCGTCCCGCTTTGCCGTTAAGCGGAGGCTGCTGACGTTATAGTCATGACGGTCGTAGACCTTGGCCCGCCAATAATTTAGAAAAAAATAATTTAGTTTTTAAAAATAATTTTTTTAATAAATTTAATAATAAGATTATTATTTGTTTGTCAAAAATTCAAAAAAAAAATATATATATATATATATATATATATATATTATTTCAATTTAATAATATAAATCAATTCATTATTTTAAAAAATTATAATTTAGAGCAATAATAAAATTTACATAATAATAAATAATAACAAATATATATATATATATAATAACGTTAAAACTTATAAAATTTATATTTTTAATATTGAAAAATTCAAATACTTATATCTTTTTTATTTGATAAAACTTCACATTATTCTTGGTTGAGTAATTCTTACACCTTTAATTCAAGTCATAAGAATAAAAATAATCGGTGCTTAGGATAAACAAGGAGAACATGAGAAAATGTTGTGTTTCGAGTAAGAAGAATATTTTATGTGAGAGTGAAACTTTTTTAATTCTCTTTTTAAAATTTTTAACTTTATATATTATTTATATAATTAATTTTATTACAATAAAAATTTATTTTTTTATTAATTAGGCGAGTCGCGGTCTGGTCCACCCCGTCCCATGGGTTGGCCCGCCGGATTGACGGGTTTGGCGGGTTTGGCCAAAACGGGCTGATGAACTGAAAATATCAACCCACCCAGCCATATTATGGCGGGTCGACAGCCGCCCGTCAGACCTGACCCATTTTACTATCCGTAACCTTTTATATGTTTTATTTTAAATGTTTAAAAAGTATTAATTTAATATATGAGATAAATCCATCTCTATATCACCGTCATTAATATCATCATGTTGGGTTTGGAATTATGGATTTCATTGGTTTGGTTTATTTATATATATATATTATCTTTCTCTTTGACTCTTTTTTTTTTTTTTCTTCGTGCAAATGCATTTCCTTTTTCATCATGCATTTGCTTACGTACGTTAAAAGGAATATGTTTTCAATGCTGACAAAATTTACAATGAAGATAAAATTTTGGATGAATGACAATAAATTTTACATCTTCTAATAAATTATATATTTTTTCCAATATGATTCTATATTATATCAATGGGTTAATTTAAGTTTGATTAATTTTTTTAAAATTATAATATTATATAAAAATATCTTTTACAAAAAATAATTTTGAATTAAAAAATTAAAAAACACACATTTTAAAAATTTAATTTATGTTAGAATATTTTCGATTATAAAAAACATTATGAATTTCTTGATATCTAGAAAATTGTGAACTTATATTATCAATTATATTTAAAAACTTTTCTCATGTTTTACTTTCTAGAATCTCTTCTATTGTGTATTTCCCTCACCAAATATTCTTCCTTTCTACTGTGAAGAGAAAAAAAATTTATTTAAGCAATAATTATTTATTGAAGTAACTTTTAAGTTATATATATATATATATATATATATATATATATATATATATATATATATATATATGTTATTGTTACATCATATCTCTCCTGTGATAAAGTTATTTACTTGAAATAATTCAAAATAATTCTCCATAAAGATAAACATCTTCCTTTACAATGTTCTTGATACAATTAATTTTTCGTTTAAATATAATAATTATATATATTATAAAAATTAAAATTTATTTGATTTAAAATGAACAGATATATTTTTCATTTTTCAATAATTTAATATCTAAAAAATTATTTAGTTTTAAATAAATAATTTTCTTAAATTATTTTATAATATACTGATAAAATAATATTATTTTACTTATGAATAATTATATTTTATAAACGAGTGAATCTAATTAACTAATTTAACCTAATTGTTTTTATGGTTCAAAAGAATTTTTTATATTACAGATTAAATAAATTAAAAATAATTTCCTAAATAATATATTTAAAAAATTACTTAAATAAAATCTATTTATTATTTATATATAAATTTTAATAAGAAAAAATAAATTGGTTTGATATAATATAATTATTTTTTTTCATTTATTTTTTATTTTTTTCTTTCTTCATTTACTCCTTTTTTTCTTTTTAACTTTTTTTTCTCTCATTCCATTATAATTTTCAATTAAAAATAATATATTAAAATTTGATAACAGAATCTTTTATTATTATTATTATTATTAAAATATAAAAAGATTTAAATGATAAAAAATAAATAAAATTATTTATTATCATAATTTTAAATATTTAATTAATATTGGTTTAATTCTAATATTATTTTTAAAATATTAATTTTCAAATATTTTATTAAATTTTATAAGAGACTTAAGATATAAAAGAAAGAAAAACAAAGAATAAATTAAAAAAAATAATAAACAAATCTATTCAGATAAATAAATTAAAGACTTTGAAGGATATTCTTCCCAGTCAAGCACCCTCAAGTGATTTGGCAAATGTTTAGGCGCAACTAAAAAGGAAGTGTTTCGAACAATAAGAATTCTAAGCCATTTCATTTTTTCAAACTCATCACCACTCCAATCTACTTCTTCTTGCTGAGGTGGATTAAGCATTATCCCTTGAATCTTATTACTTCCCTTTGAAAAAAACAGAACATACAAGAGGAGTGGGTTATATGTTACGACTTTAATAAGAAAATGGAGTGGGTTATACCCATCCTTCATGCACATGCACTTGCTTGCAGTAAGAGGAGTATGCTTTCAATGCAGAAGAAGTTTACAATGAAGATAATCTTTTGGATCAATGACAATAAATTTTACATCTTATAATAAATTATATTTTCTTTTCCAATATGATTCTATATCATATCAATTGGTTAATTTAAGTTTGATTAATTTTTTTAAATTATAATGTTTATATAAAAATATCTTTTACAAAAAAAAATAATTTTGAATAAAAAAATTAAAAAACACATCATTTTTTAAATTTAATTTATGTTAGAATATTTTCGATGATAAAAAACATTATGAATTTCTTAATATATAGAAAATTGTGTTTTGAAAACTTTTAAATAATATTATTTGTATTTTAAATAAAACTAGTGAATCTAATTAACTAATTTAACCAAACAAAATTTATGTCACAAAAAAGAAATTAAATAATTTTTTTATGTTACAGACCAAATAAATTGAATATTATTCCTAAGGAATAAAGACAAAAAGGAAGAAATAAAGTAGAATCATTATATTCTCATCACAAAATTACATTTAGGTTTTTATTTTAATTTTTTCTTCTAAAATATTCCATGTGCATACAATAGTTTACTATGTTTGTTTTATATGCTTTTTTCATTAATAGTTTGCTTATAAAATATTTTATCATACTCAGCGTTTGCGTATTAAAATCTGCAAAATCTGAATTCATACTTTAATATATATCAGATAAAAATGACAGAAGAAACGTGCTTTTGCTATTTCAATTCTGGTACCCTGTTTCTTTCTCATGCATCCTCTGTTTCTCACTCTTGTGTGTTCTTTCTTAATCACCACATTTATTCAAATTTTCCTTGTTTTGCTGTTCAATTTTCCTTTCAAAACAGTATTTGAATGCAAGATTTTTAGATCTAGAACTAATTTAATTCTTCAAAATCATTTTCAATTCAAGGTTTTTATTTGTTCTTTTTTTTCTTACCTTGGTATCTTCCAATTTCCTAGAAACTTGGTTGGTGAATTTAAGAAGAGAATTGGAAGCTCTCTACCCATTAGTTTCTCAGTAGTCATTCCCATATCATCTTAATGGGAAGAAATGAGATAGAGTCCCACGGGTTGACCTATGATGTTTTCATCAGTTTTAGGGGGGAAGATACAAGGCACAAATTTATAGGACATCTTCGTAAGGAGTTGTTCAGGAGGGGGATAAACGCTTTCCTTGATGATAAGCACCTGGAGTTAGGTCTAGAACTTTTACCTGCTCTATCCAAGGCCATTCAAGAATCTAGGATTTTCATCCTGGTCTTTTCTCCCAACTATGCTTCTTCCACATGGTGCCTCGATGAACTTCGTAGGATCCTACAACTCTCCAAAACCAGGGGCAACAAAAACCTTGTCTTCCCAATATTTTACCATGTGGATCCCTTAGATGTGCAGCATCAGAGAAATAGTTACAAGGAGCACATGATGGAACACGAGCAAAGGTTTGGGACAGAGTCCCAGAAAGTTCGGGATTGGAGATCAGCATTGTCTGAAGTATGCAACTTGGTACGAGACCCAAAAATAGAAGAAGGGTACGTAACTTTATACCAACAGTTCCTTTCGTATATTTACTTTTGCCTGTTTACTTTCAATATTTATATATATTAATGCTAAAAAATGCCATTTGAGAATGCATGACTATTGATTACGAAGATTGTTGTATACTTCCTTTCACAGGATATTTGTAATTTTATTTTTTATTTGAATGCGTGTAAGGTAAATCACATATGTCTCTGAAAAAGATCATATCATGTAAATAATGCTGTCAAACAAAACATTGTTCTTTGCAGGTCTGAAATCGATTTGATTGAAAATATTGTTAAGAAAGTCTATGAAAATATAACTCTGGAACCTTTAGATATTGGTCGCAAAACGGTTGGACTTGGGCCCCGCATAGAAGAGTTGAAGTCACTTATAGACATGAATCTTGATGATAATTCTGTACGCATGTTGGGCGTTCATGGATTTGGTGGAGTTGGAAAAACAGAACTTGCAAAAGCATTGTATGACGAGATTGTGCAAAACTTTGATGCTGCTTGTTTTTTAGCTGATGTTAGAGAGAAATCAAACAAAATCAATGGCTTAGAAGATCTACAAAAGACACTTTTATCAGAGTTGTTCAAGGAGACAAAAATTGAATTGGGCAGTACAAGTGAAGGAATTTATGAAATAAAACATAGGCTTCGTCGAGTGAAAGTTCTCTTGGTTCTTGATGATGTTGATGAAAAAGACAGCTTAGAAAAGTTGGCAGGAGGACATGATTGGTTTGGTTTAGGTAGTAGGATCATCATAACAACAAGGAACAAAGATCTGCTAAATGCTCATCAAGTTGACAAAATTTATCAAATGATAGAGCTTGATGAGAAGCACTCACTTGAGCTCTTTTGTTGGAATGCCTTCAAACAAAGTTATCCTATAACAGACTTTGAAGATGTGTCCTCACGTGCTGTAGGTGTTGCCAAGCGTCTTCCACTGGCTTTAAAAGTAATAGGTTCTGATTTGGCCACTCTTCGTGATAAAAGTCTGTATGCTTGGGAACGTGCATTGGAAGAATACGAGAAGATTCATCCAAATGAAATGATTCAAGAAGTGCTCAAGATAAGCTATGATAGACTACATGACAATTCCAAACAGGTGTTCCTGGACATAGCTTGTTTCTTCAAAGGGGAGAAAAAAGAATATGTTAAAAGGATACTTGAGGAATTTGGTTCGACATCCAGTATTAATGTATTGTGTGATAAATCTCTCCTAACTATTGAGGATGATTGCTTGAAGATGCATGATCTAATACAGGATATGGGTAGAGAAATTGTAAGGCAGGAGGCACCAAATTATCCTGGTAAACGTAGCAGATTGTGGGATTGTGAAGATGTTAGAGAAATTCTAACTGAAGATTCTGTAAGAATCATCTAATCTTTTGATTTTTCAAATATTTATAATTATATTAGGGACAATATGTGATTGATGTTTGTTACTTGCCTTGTTTTAAAGGGGAGTAAAAAGATTCAAGGAATAATGTTTGATCCTCCCCAGAGAGAAGATGTAAATTGGAGCGGTAATGCCTTTGAGAAAATGAAATGGCTTCGAATTCTCATTATTCGAAACACAACCTTTTCACCAAAGCCTGAGCATTTGCCAAATCATTTGAGAGTGCTTGACTGGGAAGAGTACCCTTCAAAATCTTTCCAGTCGAGATTTCATCCAAAGAAAATCATTGTTTTCAATATGCCTAGAAGCCATCTAACTTTGGAAGGGCCATTTAAGGTACAATGAATTCTGTAGCATGTTTTCATGTGCTTTAAGTTTCAATTTTTCATTTAATTATTTCATTGTTGCATTAACTAATATAACTCAAAACAGTTGCTAATCAATTTATTAACCTTGTTCCTTTGCAGAAATTTTCATGCCTGACTAACATGGATTTCTCGTATAACCAATCTATTACTGAATTCCCTGACGTGTCTCAAGTTCAAAATTTAAGAGAACTGAGACTTGATCATTGTAGAAACCTGATTGCGATTCATTATTCCATTGGGTTTCTCAAAAGACTTGTTCATTTAAGTGCTTCAGAATGCTCCAAACTCAGTAATTTCCCGCGAAGAATGTTTTTACCATCTCTGGAAGTCCTTGACCTTAATTTATGTGCAAGCATTGAACACTTTCCAAAGATAATGCAAGAGATGACTAAGCCATTGAAGATTTATATGATAAATACTGGTATTCAAGAGCTTCCAGAATCCATCGGTAATCTTATTGGACTTGTTTATATAGACATATCAAATAGCAGGAAACTTCAATATCTACCAAGTAGCTTATTCATGTTGCCAAATGTTGTTTCCTTTAAAATTGAAGGATGTTCTCAGCTTCGAGAATCCTTCGGAAGTTTCATCCAAACCCTTTCAGAAGCCAACGTTTGTCCAGCAGTACGAGCTCTTAATTTGGGAAATGGTAACTTGTCAGATAAAGATCTAGAAATTCTTCGTTACTTTCCAAAATTAGAGGACTTGATTGCATCAGACAATAATTTTACATGTCTCCCAACATGCCTCGAGAAATGTGTTGACTTGATAAGTCTTGATTTGAGCCAATGCAGAAAGCTGAAAAAAATTCCTAAATGCACTAAATTGAGAATTCTTGATGTCAACCGTTGTTACGATCTTGAGGAAATTTCAGAGTTACCATCAACTATTCAAAAAGTAGATGCAAGATATTGCTACAGATTAAGTGAAGGGACATCAAACATGTTATGGTCTCAGGTATCACCACTTCCTTGCTTAAGCTTAATCTTTTATGCTTATTTGAAGAAAATAATATTTGTGCATTATTTCTTTATATCTCTTTTGAGAGAAAAAAAAAGTGTTATCACTTTATTATTTAAGCTAAATCTTATATCTTTATCTTAAGAAAATAAAAAAGATAATAAATGAAATAAGTGGCAATGGAAACTCTCATAAATATTATGTATAGAATTTTATAACATTGTTTATAAATTTCTTTTATTATGTTTAAATAAGATTTTTTTCATAGACATTTATAGAAGATAAAATAAAAATTATTTTCTTAAGTTAGCTTAGGAGGAGGGTTAAAACACACACTTCACTATTCATTAAGTTTATTGAAAAATAGATAAAGAGAAAATCATTAAACGTAAAGTGAGACTTACCAAAAATTATGTTGTTGAAATAAATTTTAGACAATAGTTGATATGTTTAAAAGATTTTGTTGAAGATTTTGTTATTAGCATTTCTCACTCATTGTCTTGTAGAAGTTTTTTTTTTTTTCATTTTCTTCTCTTTATGTATTTATGAAAAAAATGTATTAAAAAGGATATTTTTATTATAATTATTAGATAAAACTTAAATAAGATTACCAAGAACTTTGAGTACCATGTTACTCTCATTTATTATTCAGTGAAATGAACATGAACATGAATTTGATGACAGATAAAGAGTGTTATAAAAAAAAGGTTCTACATGAAAAATGTAAACTAGGTACAATTATTCATACATATAAAATAGATTAATTTCATACAAATAACCCTCAACATTCAATTATGGAGTGAAAAATTAAAAATAATTTTATTTTTGAAAGTTGTGTGATAATATGATATAGGTGGGGAAAGGTATCCAGAGAATAGAAGTGGTGATGCCCTTCAGAACGGAGTTTCCAGAATGGTTTCACTTTGTGGGAAATGGAGGGAATCCTCATTTCGAGGCTCGTCGCAAGTTCCCTAACATTGCTCTGGCCATGGTCTTCCACTTCCAAGATGAGAGTGAAAGGGACAAATTTGCTCGCCATCGACTTGTTGACCTACAGTTACATATCAACGGTCGATTTGTTACTCGCAAAGGGTATCACAACTTCAGAATTGAAGCAGAACATGTTTTAATCTGTGATCTACGAGTTTTGTTCAGTGACAAGGAGTGGCTTGGGCTTGATGCGCTTCTAGAGCAGGAGTGGAATCTGGTGCAGGTTTCATATCAAGCCACCTCCTCCTTGAGGCTTTGTCGTTGGGGAGTTTTTGTCTACGAAGAAGGAACCAACATGGAAGATGTCCAATTCAATTGTCCCGATCCCAAGTATTCAGAAGAGATGTCACTGCCAATAGTTCCTGTGAAAGATCCTATGGAGAAATATATAATGATGATAGGGAATCTAGGTCTTGATGAATCATTTAAGAGGACGTTGAAGGAATGGCTGGACAACAAAGAAAAAGGGGGTTTTGAAGACGAGAATATGCCTATTGTATTGGGAGAACTCAAGAAGCTATCAGAGGATGCTGAGGATGCATTGAATTCTAAAGGGTCAGCTTTAGGAGATCCAAAATCCTCCCTGAGGTGGCTTTTAGATAAAATAAAAGATGATGATGGAAAGCCTAATGTGTTTTTCAAAGGGGATCTGGCATTGATTCGACTAAAGGATCCGGTGACACTGAAGAAGGATAATGTAGGGGAAGCTTCAACCTCTGGCCATCAGGGAAGTAATTCAGAGAAGGAGCAAGACTACGATCCTCTGCTGGAAAAAATAATGTTCGGATATTTCTATGATGGAATGACGGATGGACTTCTTGAGGCAAAGAATAGTTTTCCTTCTCTAGAAATTGTTGAAACCATGAATGCTGCCTTGAACAAGGGTAATAGGATTATATTGTCACCTGAAGGGGAAGAGAAAATACCCTCGGTTGAAAATAGGACATACACGAGTGGAATTTTCGGTGGACTCATGGAAGCAAAGTTGAGATTTCCTAGTTTGGACATATGGGCAACACTAAATACCGTGGCAAGTAGGAGAGACATTCATATAAATTTGGTTGTTCCACATATTGATTGGACTAATGTGATACCACCTGATCCTTTGTCCCTGGTCATGAAGCGACAGTGTTCAGAATCTGAGACCGAGAGTAGACACTTAAAGAAACTGAAGGAGGAACATGAAGCTCTTCGCATGAGGTTTGTACAACTTGAGGATGAAAAGGCAAATGCTGCTTCGGACAATGGTGATTCAGAAACATGGAAAGATCGATATGATGAATTGATTCAGAGACTCAACTCTCAATCTGATGAGTTTGTTTCAAAGAAGCTTGATTGTAGCGACGACTTAGAATCTCCTTCAACAAGCACAGAGAAGCATAGAGACAATGGCTGCAAGTGTGTGACAAAGTATGAGAAGATGAGTGGTGCTCTGAAAGGGCGAGCTGAAGAGTTGCGGAGGCTATACGATGCTGGGATCGAAGGCTTCCAGAACTCTGAGGAGTTTCAAGATCTGGTGAGTGCAGTATACATGAATGGACTTGGAGATGGAGTCCTTGAAGCACAGGCCATCTCAATTGCTCTACGTCGGAAAATGCTTTAGTTTTTCAGTTATATATGCAAGTTTTCAATAGATGTTATATATTGTGACGTTTTTTGTTTTATATGTTTTATTTTAAAAGTTTGAAAAGTATTTGTTTAATAACATGTTATGTAATAAGTGTGTTTGGAATTGTAATTTTCATTGTTTTGGTTTTTACATATGTATACTTTTTTTCTCTGTCTGTTACTTTCTTCTTCTTCTGTGTTTCCGAGACGAGTATTTTTTTTTTTTATTATTATTATTATATTGTACGATGAGTGATTAGTTTATAGGTAAATATTCGACTAAAGAATGATGATGGATATTAATATTTTTTAATAATAACTCCCTACCTGACCTTGAACAATTTTTTTTAATATTTCATTTTATACGTGAGTTGTCATACCCATCCTTCATGCACATGCATTTGTACTTGAACAAATTTTTTTAATATTTCATTTCATACGTGAGTGGTCATACCCATCCTTCATGCACATGCATTTGTTTGCAGTACGGGGAACATGATTTCAGTGCAGACAAAATTTACAAAGACAATAAATTTTACATCATATAATAAATTATAATTTGTGTGGTTCTGTGTTATATCTTTGAGCCTGGTTAATTTTTTAAAATTATAATGTTTATATACAAATATTTTTTACAAAAAATAAAAAATAATTTTGAATAAAAATTAAAAAACACACATTTTTAAAAAATAATAGTTATTTTTAATAAAACGGGTGAATCTAATTAACTAGTTTAACCTAACTTCTTTTATGCCACAGACTAAATACATTGAATCAGAAATTATACGACAGTTTTTTGTTTAAAGTTTAATCTATTCGAGATTATCAGATTATAGGACGGAAAAGGGACTAAAAAGACAAGTTGGAGAAAGCTGGTGCTGACTCAAATTTCTTACATAACTCCATCATCTACCATTCGCGAGATTTAATTTAGAAATAAAGTCGAATAATTAATATTCTCATCACAAAAGTATATTTAGGTCTTTATTTTAATTTGTTCCTGATAAGTATTCCATATGCATAAAATAGTTTACTATGTTTTCTCATTAATAGTTTACGTATGAAATATTTTATCACTTGCGTGAATTGAATTTTTTTAATATTTTTTTGTCATATTATAAAAACTCATGATTGAAATTTGTAAAATCTGAATTCATATTTCAATGTATTCAAATAAAAAATGACAGTGTTAAAGGATCGTGGTTTGACATGTTTTAATTTAATGCGCTAAAACAACTGGCGCATTATTGTTCCCTAGTCTTTTGCTTTTTCAATTCTGGTATCCTGTTTCTTTCACATGCATCCTCTGTCTCTCACTCTTGTGTATTCTTTCTTAAACACCACATTTATTCAAAGATCATTCAAGTTTAATTTTTCTACTTTTTAGTGAGCAATTTATAAAAGTGTTTTTCGATTTTGCTTTTCGATTTCACGAATTGTTTAGGGTTTTGAGGAAGATCATGAAGAGTTTTAGGTCATGTGAGTAGGATTATCACAATTGCAGGTAGTATTTCATTGTAGCCTTCTTTCTCTACCTCCCAAAACATTAATTTCTCCATAGCACGTACTGTGCTGTTGTTCTCGTGTAATGGAAACAATACATGATGAGGAAGAGTCCCTTGGTTTCATCTATGATGTTTTCCTCAGCTTTAGAGACGAAGATACAAGTAGTCACACATTTATAAAACATCTTTGTAAAGAGTTGCTCAGGAAGGGTATATACACTTACTTCGATGATAAGCATGTCAGGGTAACCAATCCCATTGAAGAATCTAAGATTTTAATCATTGTGTTTTCTGAGCATTATGCATCTTCCACAAGGTGTCTGGATGAACTTGTGAAGATCCTAGAATCCACCAAGAGGGACAAGAAACAAGTTGTTTTTCCAATATTTTACTTTGTGGATCCCTCAGATGTACGGCATCAGAGAAATAGTTACGGTAAGCACATGATGGCTCACCAAAATGAGTTTGGCAAAGACTCTCAGAAAGTCAAGGATTGGAGGTCAGCTTTGGCTACAGCCTGTAACTTACCAGGAGAGGCTATATACACCGCAGGCAGAGGGTATGTTCCAACAATTACTTTCATATATTTCTTCACTCTCCAGAACCTTGATTTACCATTTCTATTCTAGTAAATAAATTAGCAAAACTTGTTTTTTTCTTATTATAACCTCTTGTGATGTGTTGGATAGAGAAGTAGAAGTTCCTGCTGATATTTGTTTATGGATATAACTTGTCCATCTTTCCACCTAAGAAAAATAACAATAATAATAATAACTGTCATCATGCATAATGTTTGGTTTAGTATCATATAAGAGTAGATTAGATTCACTTTAAGTTCAAGCAATTCTTATTATGATGTGATGAGTTTATATATGAAAAATGAATGTATGACCAATTCATTATAATTAGTTTGTAATGTCATTTTACTGCTTACAGTCATGTTAATATTATTTTTAAGCTCAATTACTCTTTATATTCTGTATTCCATCAATTTATTTTGATAATTGTTAAACTTAAACAATTTAAATAGTTATACAAAAATAATTCTAAAAAATTGAAAAAAAAAATTGCCAAACCAACCTAAAACATTAGATATCAGTTTGATTTGTTTCAAAATTTATATTTCATTCAAATTGAACAAACAAAATAGCCTATTATTTTATGGAATAATGATTTACTTTACCCTTTCCAACCATCTCATTGACATTTATTATTATTTTTATCTCAATTTTTTTATTATATTTTTTTATATATTATTTTTTATCACGTATCACTGTTGCTTATCATATCTATATCCTTTTGATTTTATCTCGCCCTCACTGAGTGTCACATATGTTTTCAGATGTCCAAAATTATCATGTATTATATGTTTGGCTTGTATAATTTATTTCTCAAGAACTGAACTAGACAGCGACAAAAACATATGTAACATATTTGGCTTTTATATATTTTTTAAATATTAATGAGATGTTTGCCTAAAAACTGTTTCATATATATATATATATATATATATATATATATATATATATGAATATATATATATACATATATATATGTTGGGTTTTTGAATGGTTATGTGTATATGTATTTCCGATATATCATGTGTGTGTTTCTATTCATGTACTCTATGTATATATAGAGTAAAAATATTACAAAATATTAAATATTCATAATATCTCAATCATAACATACTTAAATCAGAATAATAACCTAATGTCTTTTTACCTTCTCTCTTAAAAAATAATAAAATCTCTTAATACCTAATTTAAATAAAAGATAATAAAGTAATATTTCCAACATTCCTCCTTACTTTAATATCTATTTATTTGAATTTGATATATTTTTTCTTCTTTTTTGTTTATACTTCTTGTTATTTTCTTTCTTGTATGAGATCACATCTTCATTCTTCACTTTCTTCATCAACATATTTCTTCCTTTATCAACTTCATCTCCTTTGTTTCTTTCAAAATTCATGGTAGTACTTGTTGACTCTTTGATGCACGTTGAAAACGGTTTCTTCATCTACATCTTTATTTTCCTCCTTAACATGAAATTCCTTCAAGAAATCTTCTTCATGCTTTTTCTTTGACTTTTCTTTTATATCTTCATTTGTAATCATCTCTTCTTTCATCAAATCTAAAGTGAAACTTTTTTCTTTCATGTGAACTTTGAATATTTCTAAGTTATTTGTATCTTTAATCACACAAAGTTTGTGTTCAAAAGACACCTTATAACTTTTCTCCAATAATTGAGCAACACTTAACAAATTATGATTTATATCAGGAACATATAAAACATCAATAATCAATTTGATACCCGAATGACTTTTAACTGCAATTGTTCCTGTACCTTTCACATTCATTTCTTCTCCATTACCAATTCTCACTTTAGAAATATGTGATTCGTTGAGCTCTTTGAAAAATTTTCGATCATGAGTCATGTGGTTTGTACAACCACTGTCTATTAGCCAACCTGTGGATTTTTTGATTGTAGAGCATGTTGATGCAAGGAGAAGTACCTCTTCTTCTCTATCCTCTATAACTTGAACGACTTCCTCTGGTTGTGATTTGCATATCTTTTCTATATGTCCCAATTGACCACATTTGTGACATTTCACATCAGGTCTCCACCAACACTTGTTGGGTGTGTGATTATTTTTCTTGCAATAAGGACAAACAGAAAATACTCGTGATTTTGTACCTTTGTTGTTCTTGGCTTGGACAGAACCTCCATCATGATATAATAAAGAACCTTCACTAGCAGCATGATCTCCTCTCATCAATCTTCGTTGCTCTTGTGCTTGTAAAGCATGTAACACTTCTGCCAAAGTAATATTAGACAAATCTTTTGTGTTTTCCAATGAAACAATTGATGCTTCATATCTCTCCGGCACGATTACCAGAATTTTTTCAACTATTCTAGAATCGAGAAAATTCTTTGCCTAACAATTTTATTTTGTTAGCAATACCTAACAATTTGTTTGAGTATTCATTAATTGTCTGAGACTCTTGCATCTTTTGTATCTCAAATTCCCTTATCAAGTTTAGAACTTTCATACCTCGAATTTTCTCATCTCCTTCATATTGATCTTTCAAATAATCCCAAATTTCTTTGGGTGACTTTAGCGTCATGATTCTGGTGAGGATCATTTGTGAAACACCAACGAAACGAGACATGATTTAGCTTTTGCCTTTCTCATTTTTCTTTCTCTCGTGAGATTTCATTTGAGCTATAGTGGGATTTTCGGGTAGTGGATCAACAATATAATTTTCTTCTACAGACTTCCCATACATCCAATCCTTCAAGATAGGATTGCATTCTCACCGCCCATAAGTCATAACTTTCGCCACCAAAAGCTGGAATAGCGACTTGTGAAAAGTTTCTTTCTCCTTCCATTGTGTCAAACCAAAGCTCGGATACCAATTTGTTGGGTTTTTGAAGGGTTATGTGTATATGTATTTCGATATATCATGTGTGTGTTTCTATTCATGTACTCTATATATATATATATATAGAGTAAAAATATTACAAAATATTAAATATTCATAATATCTCAATCATAACGACCTAAATCAGAATAATAACCTAATGTCTTTTTACCTTCTCTCTTAAAAAATAATAAAATCTCTTAATACCTAATTTAAATAAAAGATAATAAAGTAATATTTCCAACAATATATATATATATATATATATATATATATATATATATATATATATATATATTCAATTTGCTATTGTACTTCTATGGTTATTTCAGTGTTTATTTATGATAAAATAAATGTGGCTAATGTCATGCAGGTATGAAATCAATTTTATTGAAAAGATTGTTATGAGGGTGTATAAAAATATAACTCCTAAGCCTTTACATACTGGTCTAAATCTCGTGGGACTTAGGCCCCGCGTTGAAGAGGTAAAGTCACGTCTAGACATGAAGTCTGATGATCGAACGGTACGTATGCTGGGCATATGGGGACTTGGTGGAGTCGGAAAAACAGAACTTGCCAAATCTTTGTATAACAAGATTGTGCATCACTTTGATGCTGCAAGTTTTCTTGCCCATGTTAGAGCGAAATCAAGCCAAATTAATGGCTTGAAAGATCTACAAAAGACACTTCTATTAGATATGTTAAAGGAGTTAGACAATGAATTGGACAATACAAGTAAAGGAATGTCTGATATAAAATCTGGCCTTCATACAAAGAAAGTTCTTTTGGTTCTTGATGATGTTGATGACAAAAGCCAGCTAGAAAAGTTGGCAGGTGGCTGTGATTGGTTTGGTTCCGGTAGTAGGATCATTGTAACAACAAGGGATAAAGATGTTGTACTTTCTCATCAAATTGAAAATATTTATGAAATGAAAGAGCTTGATGAGCAACATTCTCTTGAGCTCTTTTGTTGGAATGCCTTCAAACAAAGCAAACCTAAAACAGGCTTTGAAAATTTGTCTTTGCGTTTCGTAGATTTCGCTAAGGGTCTTCCCTTCGCTTTAAAAGTAATAGGCTCCGAGTTGGCTCCACTTCGTGAAAATAGTTTAGATACTTGGGAAAGTGCATTGGAAGAATACACGCGGAGACCTCCAAATGAGAAGATTCAAGACATGCTCAAGATAAGCTATGATAGATTGGAAGACAATGCTAAACAAGTGTTTTTGGACATAGCTTGCTTCTTCAAAGGGGAGAAAATAGAATATGTTGAACAAGTTCTTGGGGAATTTGGTACGACATCCAACATTAATACACTGGTTAATAGATCTCTCCTAACTACTGAAGATGGTTACTTGAAGATGCATCCTCTAATACAAGATATGGGAAGAGAGATTGTTCGGCAAGAGGCACCAAATTATCCCGGTGAACGTAGCAGACTATGGATTTATGACGATGTTATTGAAATACTCACTGAAAATTCTGTAAGAGTCATTTCTCTTATGTTTTTGCAATTTATACATTTTGGACTATTACATATTAATGACGATATGCATGATTTTACTTGTCTACACTCTTTTAAAGGGAAGTTATAAGATTCAAGGGATAATGCTTGATCCCCCTCAACGAGAAAAAGTATGTTGGAGTGGTACCGCCTTTAAGAAAATGAAATGGCTTAGAATTCTCATTGTTCGGAACACATCTTTTTCACCTGAGCCTCAATATTTGCCAAATCATTTGAGGGTGCTTGACTGGGAAGAGTACCCTTCAAAGTCTTTCCCATCAAGTTTTCATCCGAAGAAAATCATTGTCTTCAATTGGCCAAGAAGTCATCTAATCTTGGAAGAGCCATTCAAGGTACAATGTATTCGTTAACATGTTGTCTTGTCCTTTTTATACAACTTCCATTTCTTTTTTCATTTAACAAATGCATCCATTGTTACTGGCACTAATTAAAATTAATATTACAACTCAAACATGATACTAATAATTTTTTGGACCTTTTCCATTTTGCAGAAATTTTCATGCTTGACTAACATGAATTTCTCAAATAACCAATCTATCACTGAAATGCCTGATGTCTCCGAAGTTGAAAATTTGAAAGAACTGAGACTTGATCGTTGTAGAAACCTAATTGCTGTTCATGAATCAGTTGGACTTCTCAACAGACTTACTCATTTTAGCGCTTCAGAATGTACCAAACTCAGAAATTTCCTGCAAAGTATGTTTCTACCATCTCTAGAAGTCCTTGACCTTAATTTATGTGTAAGCCTTGCTCACTTCCCAGAGATAAAGCAAGAAATGAATAAGCCACTGAAAATTTATATGATAAATACTGCTATTGAGGAGCTGCCAAAATCTGTTGGTAATCTTTCTAGGCTTGTCTCTATGGATTTATCATGTAGTAGGAAACTTAAATTTCTACCAAGAAGCTTTTTCATGTTGCCAAATGTTGTTTCCTTTAAAATCGAAGGATGTTCTCAACTTCGAGAATCCTTCAGAAGTTCCATCTACAACCTTTTAGAAGTCAATGTTCGTCCAACATTTCAAAAACTGTACTTCGCAAATGGTACCTTGTCAGATGAAGACCTTCTTGCAATTCTTCGTTACTTCCCAAAATTAGAGGACTTGTTTGCATCAGAGAACAATTTTGTATCTCTCCCTACATGCATTAAGGAATGTGTAGACTTGACAAGTCTCGATGTGAGCTATTGCACAAAGCTTCAAAAGATTCCTGGATGCACTAACTTGAAAATTCTTAATGCTGATGGCTGTGTGAATCTTGAGGAAATTGCAGAGTTGCCATCTACTATTCAGAAAGTAGACGCAAGATATTGCTCCAACTTGAGTAAAGAGACATCAGACATGTTATGGTCTCAGGTATCATCATTCATTGTTTAAGCTTAATTATATACCTTTTTTTTCTTTTCATTGTCTTCTCATACGTATGATAATATTTAAATGCTAATTTGAAACTTTTGTAATAATATGATGATAGGTGGAGAAAGGGAGACATGGAATAGAAGTGGTGATGCCCCTCAAAACCGGGTTTCCTGAATGCTTTCGGTTTGCTGATGGAAATGGAGGGAATCCACATTTCTGGGCTCGTCGCAACTTCCCTAACTTTGCTCTAGCCATGGCCTTCCAGTTTCAAGATGAGAGTGAAAGAGAGAAAGCAGCTCCCCGTCATCTTGTTGATCTGCAGTTACTCATCAACGGTCGATATGTTCCTCGCAAAGGGTATCACAACTTCAGAGTTGAAGCAGAGCATGTCTTGATTTGTGATCTACGAGTTTTGTTCAGTGACAAGGAGTGGCTTGGGCTCAATGCACTTCTTTTGCACGAGTGGAATTTGGTGCAGGTTTCGTATGAAACCACCTCCTCCCTGACACTTAGTCATTGGGGAGTTTTTGTCTACGAAGAAGGAACCAGTATGGAGGATGTCCAATTCTCGTGCCCCGACCCCAAGTATTTGGACGACAGAGAATCTAGGTCTAGATGTAGTTTTGGAAAAGATCCTGAGAAGGAAGACAGAATGATGATAGAGAATCTAGGTCTGGATTTACTTTTCGAAATGATGTTGATGGAAACGGTGGGCTACGAAGAAAGGGAGGATTTTGCAACGGAGGAAATGCATATTCTAATGGGAGTTGTGAATGAGCTATCTACGCAGGCTAAGGATGCATTGGAATCCAAAGGCTCCTCATCGGCTTTAGAAGATCCAAACTCGTACCTGAGGTGGGTGCTTGATGCAATAAAAAATGATGATGTGGAGCCCACATTCTTGATCAATAAGGATCTCGCCATGATACGAATGAAAATTCCAGGGAAGGTACCAATGGCTATGGATGTAGGAAATGATAATTCAGAGAACGATGGACTTGTTGAAAATAGAAGTACTTTCTTGAAGAAGGGTATTAGGGTTTCATGGTCACCTCGAGGGAATGTGTTAGTACCCACAGTTGAAACGAGGACACACACGACTAGAATTCTCAGTGTACTCATTGGCGCAACACCAAATACCGTGGCAAGTTGGAAAGGCATTAAAACATCTTTTATGGTTCCGGGTTTACACGATCCTATTTTGCAAGCATTCGGGATATTGGTGAAGCAGCAAGGAAGCTTGGAGTCTGAGGTCAAGAGTAAACTCTTGGGGAAGTTGAGGGAGGAACACGAAGCTCTGCGCAACAGAATTGTGGAACTTGAAAACGAAAATGAAAATGATTCTCGTGTTGAAGATAATGAGACGGCCAGATTTTGGAGAAGTGATCAATATGATGAATTGGTTCAGAAATTTAACAATCAATATCACAAGTTTGTTTCAAAGAGGCATGCATATTGTAAAAAATCTAGTTCAAGTAGCACAAGGGTGCAAACAGACACTGGCTGCAAATGTGTGACAGAGTATGAAAAGGTGGAACGTGTTTTGAAAGGAAGAGGTGAAGAATTAGGAAGGCTATACGATGAAGGGATTAAAGGCCTCCAGAAGTCAGAGGAGTTTTTAGATATGATGAGTGCAATATACTTGAATGGAGTTAGGGATGGAGTTCTTGAGGTACAAGCCATTTTACTTGCTCTCCAAATGGACAGAAAAGATGAAGAACGGGCAATTGATGAGATTGCTAACAATGGAAACCCCGGTGTAGGAGATGGAGAGAAGAGAGATACCAAGGGAAAGGGAAAGGTTTGGAATGGGTGATAGATATGATAATCCGTGTCATATGAAATATGAGAAGAGAAATAAGAAGAAAATGGAGTGCAAATGAGATTCAAGAACAAGCAAAAGTGAGTCTTTTTGTTGAGTATTTCTCAATCATTACCCTTCAAGCTCACAGGATAATTTTTTTTTTAATTGGTAGAAATTTGTTTCGGAGATTTGTTGCAGATACAAACTCTACTACGTGTTTTCATGCCACTATTTTCTCTATAATATCCTTCACAATGTAATCCATTTTTATTTTTTATATTATTTATTTATTAAAGTCGTAACATGTAAGGTTTCGAAGGGAATCAACCCAGCTCACACGGTTGGCTCACCACGGGTTGAACTGAAAATAGGTGAGTTCAATCCGACTCATTTTTTGACAAGCCAGAAATTTTACAACCCGGCTCAACCCACCACGAGTTGGTGGGTTAGGTGGATTGGCTCACTAACCCATATTTTTTAATTTTTAAATTATATAGAAACTTCGGATGTAGAAATTTTCTTCCTTTTTTCTCAACATCAATATCTTTTTTATTAACTGAAATTGACCCATTGGGTTTTTCATTAATAATAAAATCATCACCAATACAATTTACTACATTGACATTCTAATGTATTGTTTCAAATTTCATACTGTAAATTAATTTAAAAGAAAGAAGTCAAAAATTCATATATTAAAGAGATATACGTATAAATCAATAAAAAACAACAAATAATGTATAAATGCTACAATTTTCAAATAAAGATTCATTAATCCAATAGTTTAGGTTATGAAACAAATTATTACCTTTGAAAGCAATACGATGGACATGGTGTAGTGATTAGGGATGGCAAAACGGCCAACCTGCCAGTTTTAGCTCGCCACGCCTTTGGCCTGCCAAAGCGGGGCGGACGGCTGACTCGATATAGTCATGACGGCTGTAGACCTTGGCCGATCCCGCCAAGGAGCGGGTTGGTAGGTCGACCAGCCATAATTTAGAAAAAAATAATTTTTTTAAATAATTTTTTTAATAAATTTAATAATAAGATTATTATTTGTTTGTCAATAATTTAATATATATATATATATTATTTCAATTTAATAATATAAATCAATATATTATTTTAAGAAATTATAATTTAGAACAATAATAAAATTTACATAATAATAAATAATAACAAATATATATATATATATATATATATATATATATAAATAACGTTAAACTTATAAAATTTATATTTTTTATATTGAAAAATTCAAATACCTATATCTTTTTTATTTGATAAAACTTCATATTATTCTTGGTTGAGTAATTCTTATACCTTTAATTCAAGTAATAAGGATAAATATAATCAGTGCTTAGGATAAATAAGTTTAATTCAAGTAATAAGGATAAATATAATCAGGATAAATAAGGAGAGAAAGTTATATTTCAGGAAGGAGAATATTTTCTGTGAGAATGAAACTTTTTTAATTCTCTTTTTAAAATTTTTAACTTTATATATTATCTTTATAATTAATTTTATTATAATAAAAAATTATTTTTTTATTAATTAGGCGAGCCATGGCCGGCTCCGCCCGTCCCGCGGGTTGGCCCGACGGCTTGCGAGCTTGGCGGGACAGGCCAAAGCGGTCGAGTGGGCTGAAAACACCAACCCGCCCCGCCATATTATGGCGGTCGGCGGGCTGACCCGCACGGACCTAGCTCGTTTTGCCATCCCTAGTAGTGATGTAGTGGACAAATAATAAGACAAGTAACTCAAGTGCAATGACAAACGTAGTGGTGCAGACGAACAACTCGATAACAAGTTTAAGTGAGGGTTTGACTTGTGGCGACAATCAACAATGTAAGGTAGAGATAGGACAAGATATCATCAATTAGGATTACTAAAGTATTATAATTATTTTTAAAATTTAAAATAAATTATTAATTAGGGTTAGTATATTATTATAATTATTTTTAAAATTTAAAATTAATGGTGGGTTGCGGACCAACCCACCATAACCTGGCTCGAACCCATTTAACCCGTGGGTTAAGTGAGCCGAGTTCATTTTTAACTCATAATCGGTAGAAATAAAAAGAATTGAACTCAATCTGATTCAAACCCATAGTGAGTCGGGTTGACTCACGGATTAGAACCCATATTGACACCCTTATAACATGATATCACTTTCTTTTTAATGAAAATGTAAAATGATACTATATTACATCTTATTAAAAAAATAGGATAGCATGTCAATATAATCAATTCTTATTGCATATCATATTAATATAAATAATTTAAACAACTTTTTCTAGACAGGACATTAGAGAATTTTGTTTTTGGTATACAGAACAATAATTTAAAGCAAATATAACTTTTGTTTTTCATTCACCCTATCTATGTAGGACTTTTTTTTTTTCTTAAAGCAAATATAACTGCTTAATTTAAGCACACATGGACATAACCTTTTATTGAAAACTTCTCTATTCCTCATTTTATTAGAAATGTTCCTCTTAAATATTTCTTAGACTTCATTTCCATTTTCTAACTAACTTCTCTCTCCTTCCCACTTGGCCCCACTATCTTTCTCATAGTATAAATTTTCCATATTTTGGGCCTAATTATTCCGTCTCTAATAGACTCATGCTCACTTATCATCGTATAACCCCTATTAGAAGTCCTATCATTACCCCCATCTGCAACTACAGTCTTGTCCTCAAGACTGAATGAAAGAAATTAACTTCGCAGCAACACGTCATCTTCCCATGTTGTCTCCTCCTCTGTTCTCCCCTTCCACTTCACCAACCATTGCTTGAGTATGGTACCCCCTTAGCAATTTCTCGAGCCGCTAATATGGTCTCAGATTCTTCCTTATCTTCCTCCTCTATGTCCAATTCTGATGGTAAGACAGATTCCACCATATGATTCCCAATAGCCTTTTTTAGCTGAGAAATGTGAAAAATCGGGTGTACTCTGGCTTATTCTGGCAACTGCACCTTATAGGATACTTCTCCAATTCTTTCCATTACTAGAAATGGTCTGTAATATCGAGATACCAATTTCTGATTAATTCGTCGGGCTATGGTTTGTTGCCTATGTAAATACAGTTTGATAAACACCCACTCTCCTACCTCCAACTACATGTACTTGCGTTTTTTGTCTGCATATTTCTTCATTTGTTGTTGAGTTCGCAACAAGTGATACTGCAATTGGCGAATTGTTTCATCTCTATCAACTAAATTAGCTGCTACTGCTTCCACACGTGTTTCCCCTTGCGTAAAACGCACTAATGGAGGTGGTGCTCTCCCATAAACAACTTCAAAGGGAGTCTTGCCAGTAGATCCGTGAAAGGTAGTATTGTACCATAATTCTGCCCAAGATACCCAATATGACCAATTCTTGGGTTATTCTTACACAAAACACCGCAAATAAACTTATAAACATCAGTTGACCACTTTTGTTTGACCATCAGTCTCTGGATGGTAAGCTGAACTCATTTTCAATGTTGTTTCCTACAACCTAAATAATTCTTGCCAAAATAGGCTCATAAATAAAATGTCTCGATCACTAACAATGGATTGTGGAATGTCGTGAAGTCTTACAATCTCCTTGGCAAACAGTTTAGTAATCTTCTTCGCGGTGTAAGGATGTTTGAGCAAAATAAAATGGTCATATTTAGATAGTCGATCCACTACCACAAATATCGCCTGAAACCCTTTCGATTTTGGAAAACCCGTGATGAAATCTACGGAGATATCTTCCCAAATCCTATCCAGAATAGGCAGGGATTGAAGTAATCCTGCTAGAGAAATTGCCTCATACTTTTGTCGTTGACAAACATCACATGCCTTAATAAATTCTTGAATCATCCCTTTCATACCCTTCCAATATAAATTTGCTGAAATGCGCTTATAGGTTCTTAAAAAACCAGAGTGGCCACCTGCTGGTGAAGAATGAAACTCAGTTAAAATGATATGAACAAGACTGATTTTGCTGACAACACCAATCTGTCTTTGTATAATAATATTCCCCTCTGTATGTTGAACCCCGTAGCAAAAGAGTCCCCCTATTGCAATTTATGCACTACTTGTTGTAAGAAAGGGTCCATTTCAACTTCCTTTTTTACTTGTTGTTCCTGCAGCCATACTGGAAAGGATTGAATCTCCTTCAATTCCCCATCTTCAAACATTCGTGACGAGTCAGCAATCTTATTATCTGGACCAGGTTTGTAAATCACCTCAAATTGGTATCCCAATAGCTTCGCCAGCCAATTTTGTTGAGCTACAGTGGTGATTCTTTGATGTAAAAGGTGTCCCAAACTTTTTTAGTCAGAATACACCTTAAAAATACTGCCAATCAAGTATGGCTGCCAATGTTGGACAGTTAAAACTAAAGCCTTACTGAAATAAGTTATATGTTGTCGGTCTTGCATCAATACTGCCCCTATCCCGGCTCCTGAGGCATCACACTCAATTTCAAATGGCTTAGAAAAATTAGGCAAAGCCAAGAATGGAGCTTGAGTCATTACCCTTTTTAATTCTTCAAAGGCCAACAATGTGGCGGGCCCTCAGTGGAATCCTTCCTTTTTTGTCAATTTTGTAAGAGGTCGAGCAATCTTTCCATAATCAACAATAAACTTCCGGTAATACCCCGTCAAACCCAAAAAGCCTCTTACACCCTTAACATTATGCGGAATGGGCCAATTTACCACACTTTTAATTTTTTTCTGGTCTATTGCAACTCCTTGCTTAGAAATTAAATGACCTAAGTATTCCACTTGCCTACTCCCAAAAACACACCTTTTTTATTGGCAATAAGGTATTGTTCATGCAGCAACTTTAATACTATAATTAAGTGTTTCACATGCTCTTCCCATCCTTTGTTGTACACTAGTATATCATCAAAGAATACTAAAACAAACTATTGTAAATAGGGCTTAAAAATATTATTCAGAGTAGATTGAAAGGTCGCAGGGGTGTTGGTCAGACCAAAGGACATCACTTAAAATTTATAGTGACCCTCGTGTATTTTAAATGTTGTCTTATGAACATCTTCCTCAGTCGTACGTATTTGATGATATCCTGACTTCAAGTCGAGTTTAGAAAAATAGGTTGCACCATGCAACTCGTCCAACAACTCATCTACCACGGGAATGGGGCATTTATCAAGAATTGTGACTTTATTTAACTCCCTATAATTCACACACATTCGCTAAGAACCGTCTTTCTTCTCAACAAGAATTATCAGGCTAGAGAACACACTAGAGTTGTGCCTAAACATCTCCTCAACCTGCCTTTCAATCTCCACTTTATGGTGATAGGGGTAGCGATATGGCCGCACACTAATGGATCCAGCTTCATGCTGCAACTCAAGGGAATGAGTTACATCTTTGTATGGTGGCAACCCCTGTGGCTCCTAGAAAACCTCCGCAAATTCAACTAGAATATGTTGAATATCCCCAATTTGTTTATCAGATAAACCCTGCTTCAAATTGGATTTTTCCTCAAAACTATTCCCTTTTACCATTCCCTTTTACCAGACTCTGTAAAGAAGTCACTGATTGTACTTGTTGTCCATATTTTTTCCATTTCTGATCTTGCAACTCTATTTGTTTGCCCTGCCAAGAAAAACTCAATCATCTCCTCCCAGTCAAAGATGATCTTCCCAAATCTCCACAACCAAGCAACACCTAAAATCATGTTTATGTCTCCCAATTCCAACACATATGACTCCACTGTAGTAGAGAAATTCCCGAATTGAATTTCCAACTTCTTGCATTTTCCAACAATGCAAACCTTGTGCCCATCTCCCAAACGCACCCCAATCGATATTCCTTTGTTAACTTTCAGCTCCATAGCAGCCACCACATGAGGAGAAATAAAATTGTGACTTGCTCCGTTGTCAATCAACACCCCCAAAGCTACTTCGTTGAGACGACCTTCTAAACGCAACGTTGACGGACGATTCTAACCACCACATGACACTTCGACTTCTGCAAACAGTCTCATGGACCCACATTCTAAGGTACGATCATCCTCCTCCTCTTGTACCTCTATTGTGATGATCTCCCCTTTGTTGTTTACTATCTCGTCATCGGCTAATACCACCAATCGCAACTGTCGCTCCGTGCATTGGTGTAGAGGGTGGTATTTCTCTCTGCATAAGAAACAAAGCCCTTGAACCCTCCTGTTCATCAACTCAGAATAAAGTAGAAGTTTCGTTCCGCGATTGCGATCACTGGACGGAACACGGTCGCCAGATACACGACTACCTTGTTGTGTAACAGATCGTGACTCGTGAGAGCTCAAACTCCCTACCGAAAAAGTTTTGGTATGTGTGCCTTGAGTTGGGCTTAATCCAACTCCTAATCTTCCTGGATATGGGCCCTGACCCGACCCGGATCCCAACTTGTCCTCTTGACTCGTACCCAAATCTCGATTGTTTTTCCAACCACGTGCTCCTCCTCCTCGCTGGAACCCAACACCTTGCAATTCCATTTCCACATCTTAGGCCAATCGCATGGTTTGAAGATTATTCACAGGGTTGAAGGTGTGAACCCTCCTTCAAATCTCTGATCGCAGTCCTCCAATAAAATAGCCCAAATATTGTTCCTCTGGTAATTGCGATACTTGAGACGAGATATATTCAAAATCTGCCAAATACTCTTCTAATGTACTAGTCTGCGAAAAGTCTTTCAATTCCTTAAAGGGATTATTGCTAGTACGACCACCATAACGACCAATCAGCTCTCTTTTCAACTTCGTCCATGACAGTACCTTCTCTTATTCTTGTAGAAGGTTGAACCAATGAATGGTTACACCTTCCATACTCAACTTAACTAAGCGAACCTTCACCTCCTCAGTCGACCCCTGCACCTCAAAGTATGTATCTGCCCTCATAATCCATCCTACAGGATTAGTGCCGTCAAATGGTGGCAATTCCACCTTCTTTGCAGACATCCTATACTCTGCTCCTGAATCCATCTCTGAATTTGGAGATTCTCAACGATTATCATGTTGTTCTATACGTAATTTTCCAAACTCCTCCAAAATAGATTGGCAAAATTCCACCAATACTGTCGTTCTGACACTTCCATTGTTGTCAATCTCTCCTCCAATGTTTCAACTTCATCAGACATTTTTTATAGCATGGACAATGGTGCTAGCTCCTCTCGATATCCAACAGGTCGGACCAATGATAAAAACTAGTAATGACTGAAATGTGATATATATATATATATATATATATATATATATATATATATATATATATATATATATATATATATATATATATATATATAATATTTATTAGAATTATGCAATATAAGATAATTAGCCAATAGCTCTACATCAAAACCAGAGTCATAGACTTCTCTAGAGAATAGCTCTCCTCTCCTCTCCCATCAAACTTCTCTCTTCTCCCTTCTCTCTCCTTCTGATGTGAATATTATGAAAAGGGCTAGATCTAAGGAAGGGGAGCAAATGAAGTTCTTCAACAAGTATTGTTGGTTAACCAAATTGTGTTTTGAATTAATCAATTAATGAACTTTAGTTTGGTTTTATTGCAAGTTGTAATAAGGGTCCAATTAGAAATTTAATTATCAGTCTTTGAGAGACCAAGATGGTGCATAGCTGATTGACTTTTGGATGCCACAATTTCGGTTACAATCAATCATTAAGTAGTTGTCAATTCCTAGATTAATAAATCATTATTAGCATTTATTTTTCTTTAATGAATATTTGTAACTCTGATGACAAAGCTTCTTTATAAACTAAACCATTTTTATCAGCCATAACAAGTTGAGTTTTATTTTTAGAAATATTAGAGTTTATCTCTTTTATCTTAGTGAGAGTGATTCTCCTAAATTTTTGAGTGATTCAAGAACCCTTGGCTGTATCAAAGGACTTTCACATCCTTTGTGTGTTGCCTTCCTTGGAAAGAGTGATTCTTTCCTTCCACCTTTCTAATACCTAAATTTATTACAAGGTTCTAACCCTAAAGATCCTAAATCACCCCTTGTGTAATTGTAATTCATATCATTTGGTATCAGAGCCCCGGTTTAAAGGTTTGAGCATCAAATTGATGGCAGAGGATGATAAAAAGAAAATGAGAGAAAAATTTCTTCAAGAAAAGAGAGAAAAAAAGAAGAAGAGTGAAACACTTGAAGTGAAGGAGAGCTATTTATCCATAAAAAGTGAGTATAATGTTAGTTTTACATTTAATTTGTCAAACTTATCTCTTTTTAATGTAGATGACGAATCCGATTTGAGGACAAATCCTTTTCAAGAGGAAGAGAATAATGTGAATATGACCTATGATAAGAGCTAGAGCAAGGAAAGCAAATGAAGTTCTTCAACAAGTATTGTTGGTTGACCAAATTATGTTTTGGATTAATCAATTAATGGACTTTAGTTTAGTTTTATTAAAAGTTGTAATAAGGACCCAATTGAAAATTTAGTTATCAATCTTTGGGAGACCAAGAGAGTGCATAACTGATTAACTTTTGGATGCCACAATTTCAGTTACAATCAATCATTAAGTAGTTTTCAATTCCTAGATTAATAAATCATTATTAGCATTTATTTTTCTTTAATGAATATTTGTAACTCTGATGGCAAAACTTCTTTATAAACTCAACCATTTTTATCATAAATAACAAGTTGAGTTTTATTTTTAGAAAGAATTTATCTCTTTTATCTTAGTGAGAGTGATTCTCCTAAATTTTTGAGTGATTCAAGAATCCTTGATTGTATCAAAAGACTTTCATATCCTTTGTATGTTGCCTTCCTTGGAAAGAATAATTCTTTCCTTCCACCTTCTTTCTAATACCTAAATTTCTTACAAGGTTTTAATCCTAAATATCCTAAATCACCCCTTGTTTAATTGTAATTCATATCACCTTCCCACTTGGTCTCACTTTCTTCCTCCTAGGATAAACCTCTCACACTTTTGTTCGGTAAACACTTCCCCTTTGTAATGGCAACACATGATGGGGAAAAGTGGGTTGGTTTCACCTATGATGTTTTACTCCGTTTTAGAGGCTAAGACACAAGGCTTACATTTACGGGGCATCTTTCGTAAAGAGTTGTGCAGGAGGGGATTAACACTTGTATTGATGACAAGAACATGGGGATAGGGGAGAGTCTTTTCACTTGCTCTGTCCAAGGCCATTGAAGAATCCAATATTTTCATCGTTGTTTTTTCTCAGAACTATGCATCTTCCACATGCATGGTGCCATGTTAAGATCCTAGAACGGTCCAAGATGAGGGAGAAGAAACAAGTTGTTTTGCCAGTATTTTACCGTGTGGATCCCTCAGATATTCTACATCAGAGAAATAGTTACGAACAATTTTTTTTTTATTTATAAAAAAAAAGCAGATAAAAAGGGGGAACAGGACAAGCAACATTCAAATCAAACACTACAAGAAGCAAGTAGGTTGTTGAACATAACCCACTTTCTTCAGAATTGGGAAAAAGTGCATTTATTCTTCACCAAGCACCCTCATTCAAAAGATGGTTGATAGTAACTGCAGTGTCCATGAAAAGTCCATCCAAGAACTAGATTGGAGGTCTGTAGAGATCGATAACCTTCTTCCATGATGGTCTACTGCTTATGTCATCCCACCAACCACTCACATGCTTCCTCTCCCTTATCAAATACTCTTTCTCCATCTTGTTCACAATATAGTCTGTAAATGGAAGGTGACTGATATCAGCAATGCTGAAGAAGTCCCCAGCCAGATACTTGCTCTTTGACAGCCTATCCTCATAAATGTCCAACACCTTCACCAGCTTTGCTTCATTCTCCTCAGCCACCTTGGGATCTGGAGTGATGCCAAATATTGGACCAAACAAAACATGCATAGCCAATTCATAGGCTGGTGGCTGAAAGTTGTGTGCTTCGACCTCCAGCCATTGTTCCACAAGACCCCTCTCTTCTGCTGTCCTCCCCAACAACTCAACCCCTTGAGATCTGTACTTTTCTGCATAATACCTCATTATAGCACGAGATTCTGCAGAAACAGATGAAAGCAGTCAAATTATAAGCTGGTACCATTACAGAAAAACAATAACCGGAGAAACAGACTATGAACGAAAAGAAAGACAAAACTAGGAGTTCAACTCTTCTATTTTCATTTCAATCTTGTTGAAAGGAGAAACCAAATATGAGTAGAAAAAAAAAAAAAAAAAAAAAAAAGAGTCCTCAATCATCGGCTAGAGATGGACTATATATACAGCATATAAATGATTTTGAAGAATTAAATTAGTTCTAGATCCAAAATTTTACATTCAGATACTGTTTTGAAAGGAAAATTGAAAAGCAAACAAAAGGATTCGAAGTGTAACCATATAAGGTGTAGTCTCCATCTTTAATGACAGGAACAACTCCAAAGGGCTGCAGATATGATGAATAAAGAACATGGTGAGAAGATACAGAATCAAATAGTCGTCAAGACTGATCATATTCAACAACAAAAAAAAAAAAGGGAAAAAGAAAAGTTGAACCTGTAATTTGAGGTACTCAGGATCCTTCTGCTCCCCCTTTGTTACGTCAACAGGGACAACCTCAAATTCGACTCCCTTCTCAACGAGACAAACAAGCACCCGTTTAGTGGAAGCACAGTGAGGACCGTACACCTTCACTACCATGGTTGAATTCTCTGGAAAAACCCTTCGACAAGATGAAGTGAAAGAGCCAGTTATCAGTGAGGTTTGATCAGCACATATTTTGCTTAGCTAATGACACTTCTTATAGTGTATGTGTTTTCACATTTAATAGTTTTTTGGCTTTTTTAGGGTTAAAAAAAAAAACAAATTTACTAGATATGGTCAAATCTGAAATTTTTAAAAATTATAAAAATGATTCAGATCATAATTGAAAGCACGATTTAAATCAAATAGTTTTAACTTTTTTTATTTTTTATTTTTTGAAATTATGTTAGGTAGTATAAATTTCTTTTCTTTTTTTCTTAAAATCGTTATACTTTTTTTAAAAATAAGACTAGTTCACTTTTTAAAAAATATATTATTTATAAAATAATTAATTTTAATTTAATTATGAATTTTAAAATAATTGTTTTTTAAGTTTCTCAGAAAATTTTATACTAACTCATCTAAAAAAGATTTTTAATATAAGATAATAAGAGAATCTCATAAAAAAGAAAGATTTTTAATATAGGACAACGAGAGAATCTCATCCCAATATGATTTTTAATATAAAACACCCCAAAAATAATTAAAAAACAAGTAAATTCAACAACTTATCATTAAGAAGGAGAGAGAATCTAATCTCAATAACACTTAAAAAGACAAGTAAATTTGAAGTATAAATTAATTAAACAATTTTGACAATATAAAGTTTGATTTTATTCAAATACTATGAAAAAATTATATAAATGATATAGTTTTCCTCTTTAACATTTAATATCATAAAAGATGTAAGATTAATTTGACTTTTAACAACTAATGTTAATATGATCTAAAAAAAATAAAAATCCTGTATTTTTAATGGCTGCGAATATGTTAATTTGGTTAAAAATATACTAAAACATGGTATAATTTCTTTTAAACTTAGTTAAATATTACTTTTTTTTTTAATGTTTCGCTTCTTTCAAACATCCTATGTTGGAAGAGATATTTTTTGAAGTGTTTTTTTTTTTAAATGATTCGATTCTTTCAAATACCATTTTAAATGAGATGTTTTGAAGTGTATATTTCACCCAATATCATATATCCAATCACCATTTATCTCATTTTCGTAATATAACAGAAAAATCGATTTTTTTAACCTTATTATATAAAAAAAGCCTCGTTTTTTCACGTCTCATGTATAATTTAAAAAAATTAATAACCAGCTAAACCTGATTTTTGGTACCCAATGAATTTCCAAACACTTAATTAGTCAATAAAACACTGCCGCAAGAAACAAAACTGACGTGGGTGGGTCTCATCTGGGACATGTGAGAAAGATTTATATCTTTCTTTATATAATTTAAATCCCTCAGCTCACGGATCTTCCTTGGATATTGGACCAAAGTTTTGAGACTTGCATTTAAGAATTTATTTCACAAACTTAATTATTATTATCAAAATTTTATAATTTATATTAATATTTATGATTTTAAATTTTCAAAATTTAATAATTATTAAATATATTTAATAAAAACTTAATTACTATATTTATTTCTTATTTATTTATTATATATTAAATAAATATATTATTTAATCTCAATACCAATTATCCTATTATACTTGTGAATTAAATAACAAAAATGATGTTAGAAATGGAGGGTGGGAGAGTCAGTTTTGAATATCACATCAAGTTCAGAAGAGAATTAGGAGACGCATCAAAATCTTATTTCTTTCCGTGTATGGCTTCATTGATTTTGCCACCATATTTGGTTCGAATGTGTTGTTCTTTTCCATTGGGAAGTTCTGTCATTGCTAGTGGTAGCTTACATCATTACAATTATTACTTCATGTATCCCATAAGAATGCTATTTCAACATTTTCGTTCTTCTTCAAGTTGTAGACAAAAACCACCATCATAATTTTTATTTGTCTTCTTTTGGATCCTCAAACGTTTTCAAATAACCCATCAACACATATAATATGCTTTTAGATATTGATGTAATTAAAATATTTTATAATTTAGTTAATATAATAATTAAATTTTTTTATCACTAAATTAGTTTATACTTAATAAATTTATTGTAGTTTCATATTTATTTAAGTAGGTTTGCCATTTTTTTTAATCCAAATTAAATCAATTTAATTAACATCATTTTTTTTTACGTTGTTAGCTTGTAATAAAAAAAGTATGTATTTCTTTAAATTTTTATCTGCACTTAAATTAAAATAATACAATAGAAAACAAAAAACCGCTTGGGATTTGATGTTGAAATCTCAAGAGTTGGTGGTGACAAAGATTATGTAGATAACGAAGGAAAATATTTATTATGATTTAAATTTTTTCAATTTATTAGCGGAAGAAAATAAGAAATATTTAGAAAAAAATCATAAAAGAATAATAGATATGATAAATAAAATAAAAAGATAAACAAAAATTAATTATAGGAATATACCTAATAAATAGAAACAATCGTACGTATAAGCATGACAACTAAGAGCTGATACGGCAGATTTTGCCTCTCCTATCTCGGTCAGATTATAAACTAAATTTTTATTCCCATTTTCGTTGGATTTTAAATTTTTTCTCACCCAATTTACATTAATTTTTTTAAAATATTTATATTTATAATAAATTAGTTTTACTATTTATATATATATTTTTTACATAAATAAATACTTCTAATTTTATAATTTATAATTATTATTAATTAAATATATTTTTTAATTTATTATAGTTATACTGAAAAATTAATTTTAATTATTTTTTTTATGTAAATGTAAAATAATTTAATATTATTATTATTATATATTTAAATATTTGAATACTTATAATATTATTATTATAATACTATATTTAAATATTTGATTATATATATAATTTAATTCTTTTTTAAGTTGTCATTTAAAAATATGAAATATATAATTTATAAGAAAATATTTAATAAGTTAGTTTTTATTTAATTAGTTTAAAATAATAAAATTTTAAATTATTAATTTTTTTAAATACAATTATTTTATTAGGATAAATTTTGAGATATGACAAATAAGAGATCTAAAAAATATGACATAATAAAATCTAATAAAGATAAATTATAAATAAAATAATATTAGTTACTAGTAATATTTATGTAAAATATTTAGAAAAAAAATTAACTTTATGTTCACCAAATTGGTTAAAAATATTATAAAAGAACAAATTGACGGGAGAGATTAAGAAAATGTGAAAAAGTAGAAGGTAAGAGGAATAAAATAATATAATGAACTAATTGATATAAAAGATTAAAAAGACAAAAGAATTAAAAAGTAGATAGAAGAAAAATAATAATGATAAATGTAAAAAAAATCACCTTATATTTAAAAGAGAAAGAAAAAGAAATATTTTTAAAATATTAATATTTTAAAATTTAAATTTAAATGTAAAGTCGGGGCAGGGACGAGGACTAGGACAGAACCATGGTGGGGATTGCATTACTCATCCTCGTCTCTGTCTCTGACTTTTTAAAGTGAGAAAAACCCAAATTCGTTCCACCCCAATCAACTTGATTTTTTTCCGTCAAACTCGGAATGGGGACTGGATATGTATTTATATGTACGAGTTTAATTATCATCATTATGCACGACTAATCTATTATATTAAAATAAATAATATTATTATATTAACAAAATTATATTATTATATTTATTATATATGAATTAATATTAGAATATAAAAAAACTTTTTATATTTTTTATTTATAATAAAATTAAAATATATTAAAATAAATTTTTAGTTTACTTAAGTATATTAATATTATAATATAAATTAATAAATTTTTAATTTTTAATAATGTAATTTTAATATTTAATTTTATTTTTATTATGATCTTTATTATTATATTTTGTTTTTTAATTAATAAAATTATACATGATTTATAATTAACTATTTAAATAATTTAAAATTTATTTTTAAATGATATTCCAAATAATATTTTTTTAAAATTTTAAAAATACTTTTAAATTTTTATAATTATAAAAATTAAACTCTAAATATTTCTATAAAATATCAAATTATTTTTATAATTTAAATATAAATTAATTTTAAGATATTTAAATTTTTATCTATAATATAAATTAATTAATTTATATTACTAGATTACATCATAATTTAAATCTATACTAATTTTATTTACAAATAATAATAAGAATATTTTAGTTACTATATATTTTATTTTATTATTTTTTATTTAATCACATCAATTTTTATATATGATTTTTAATTAATAATTTAATTTTTTTTAAATAATTTTAACATTTTTAAATTAATTACTTAAAAATAAATTATTTTTTATAAAATAATTTATTTTTATTTTTATTTATACTAAATTTATATTTATAAAAATAATTATATCATAATTATCATTTCTATTTAATTTATCCATTTTAACAAAAAAAATTGATTATTACACTAAAAAAAACTATTCTTCAATTTTTATATTTAATTACAATTACACTATATCTACTTAAATTCTTTCAAATCTGCTCTCACTGCTTTAATCCAAACAACCCCACGATATAATCTAAATCACCTAATCCAAACACATACTTAAATATTAAGTTCCCTTTCCATCTCTTTTGCACGTGGAATTGGATGGATTGATTGATGAAAAATATATACATTAACTAAGATTTACAATTATGTGTTCGATTTACGAATCAAATGCAAAATAGAAAATTTTAAATTAATACTCTCTTTTATTTTCATTTAAATTTTACAAAATAAAAAAGAAAAATTTTAACAAATTTGAAATTATTTATGATATTTATTTTATTATTAAATGAATTAATATTATACTTTCTATACAAAATTTTAGAAACGATTAAATTAATTATTTTGTAGGTTAATTTAGATAGAAAATAATTTTAAAAAGTTGTTTATATAATTCTCAAAGGTTCTTAATTTATGAAAAAATTGTTTGTAAGTGATTTTAAAGGAGTCATAATCATAAGAAAGAAAGAAAAAAAAAAGTCCTGTGATGGTTGTGGATGTCTTTTAGTATTTTTTTTTTCTTAGTTTCTTGAGTTTCATAGGTGAAAAATAATTAATGCGAATAGTTGTGGTCAATATAGAACCTCTTATTATATATTTATTTCTCCTGCTTTCTAGACTTATGGAAAAAGAGGAAATAGAAAAAGAAAAATATCAGCCGTATAATCTTATGATTGGAACATTTGATAACTTCATATATATATATGTCCTCATATTCAAAATAGCTGTGGTCCATCTATTATTTTAACTACCAGAAAACAATAAGAAAAAAATAAAATTTTTATTATAAAATATTTATTTAGATAAATGTTTTTATATAAATTAAAAATATATAAGATATTTACAAATCAACTTATTCTAAAAGTATGAATAATTTCTACACTTCTTGAAAGCTACATGGTCAAACCTCAATTATTTTTTGTTTGGACAAAAGCCCAGGGGTACCCGTGTGAACGATCCTATAATACGGGCTTAAACGAATAAACGGACCCACCTACCCAATTCTAAAAAAGAATGTTAATAATCCATGATAATATTCAATTAAAACTAATTAAATGAAAACACATTCCAAATACTTTCTCCATAATAGTTTTTATATAAACATATTTATTAAAAATCATTTATTTTTCAATATTTTTTTTGTATCGAGACAAATAAAAATATCAATTTATTTAAATTGAAATTAAAAAATTCTTCTTTATATAAAATCAAATATTAAAAAAAAAAACTGAAATTAAAACAAGTTGGATATAATAGGGAAGAAAGATGATCTATTTATAAAAATGGGGAAGAAAAATGGAACACAATTGTTCTTTCGATCTTTCATCTTAATGTTTAAAAAATATAGACACCGTATCGCCAAATCAACGGCACCATTTCGTATCCACAAACAACAAATATTATATTATTCACAGAATGATCAGCAGCTACTCATGAGAAGAAATCATGAAAATATATATTAGAAGATAAAAGAAATCATGGAAGGAAGCTCCTACCGTTCTTATTCAAACAATTCAGTTCCCTCTTTTTCCTCTGGAGAATGAAAGTGTTCCTTCGTGCTTACGCAATGATGAGACTATATTATCGGAGACAGCTAGATAGTTCTACGGTACTGCAAAATTTGTATAATAAACAGCTGATACAAACCAATCAGCATACTAAATGATGTTTATTAGTAATTAGTTTCCAGTATATTGAATTACTTCCCATATAACAAGAAACTTCAACGGGACCAAGACGGACATATACACATATCAAAAATGACACCTCGGGCAACAAATGAGTTTGATTATAGCTGCGGGGATATTCTAGTATCATTTTTCTTCAATCCCATCAAATTCCACCGGTTTCCCATGAACAAGCTTCCTGCAAATCAAATATAAAAAATTAGAAGCACATTTATACATTCATGGTTTAAGCATCAATGTGTTAAAAATAGATCAACAAAATACAGCTATTTCAAAATAAAAACAGAAAATTCCTATTCAGAATTAAACAAATCATTGATTAAAAAACACAATGAATTAGTGGCAACAAGACATGCCAAACAATTGGGTATTCTTCAACCATTAGGAAGGAATGATTTTTTTATCCTTCAAATGTGTTAAACTCGAGTAAAATGTTATGGTCAACAAAAATGAATCATGCTAAGGAAAGCATATATAGCATGGCCCAACTGAAATTGTCACTTTTGTCATGTTGACAGAAATTTTAAAAGTTTACAAAATTTCCCTACTTTTGGTTACAATCAATTAGTAGAGATACCTTTGAGATATAAAATTCTCAGACAGAGCCTTATCCAGCCTCTCTTCAAAAGGGGTTGCATGCCAATTTACTTTCTGGTCCTATGGGCAATCAGACAAAAAGGCACTAATCAAATGGAGTGTATAGATTTTAAAACCTTATGACTGCAGATAATGATTGCAAGACGTACCTCCTTGTACTTAGTCGTTGAATTCGGGATGCCATTGCCATACCACCACTTAAGAGAAATGGGAGAATGCTCCTCAATTATTGATAGAGGAGTTAATCTAGAAGACAAATTTGATTTCTCCTCATCCTCATATCCATTTGAAAATTTCTTCAACCCTTCTTCTGGGGTAGGAGTTCCATTTTGAGATTGGTCAACCAAATCACTCTGCTCACTTGAATCTTCTTCGGGGTTAAAATCTCTATCCTCAAGTATTTGGCACCGGAAGACATTATCACCTTGGTTGTTAGTTGGATAGACAAACTGGGACCGAACATGAGCCTTACCACTACGTAACTCTTCTAACGGTGTAGGATACACTGTTCCTGGTGTTTGCATCTCATCAAATAACTTCAACGGGGTAGGATAAGGAGATTGTTTATATGCACTTTGGTTATTTGGTGACTTGTTTTCCTTCATATGCCAATCGTCAGATGTGCTTCCATAGGATACCAAGTCAGTTTCGCTTTCAAAACGAACAAACTTGCTCTTTCTCTGAGTATTCGTGACTAGCAAAGGTGAAACTAAAGCTGCATTCCTTTCAAACCTATCTTCCGTATGAAGATTCCCTCCACAACTTTTTTCTATGTAGTCAGTAGAGTCATCTTGAGTATCTTGTGACGTGGAGATACAGCTGCAAAAGAAATGAAACTAACATCTGATCAGGTTCTAGTTCTCCTTCCTATGTAATTTCAGTGGACAATTCTATGTTCCAACCGACATCCCTACAATTAGTAATTATTTAAAATCCAACATATAAAAGAAAGTGCGAAGGAACCTTTCGAAGGGCATTTCTTTTAAAAGCAGAACAAAATTGTCTGATTCTTTGTTAATTAAAAATGCAATTTCTCTACCAGGAGCTCTAACTGCTGAGAATGTATCTAAAGCTGACTATAAAATTGAGTACAAATGGAAGATTCACCTACTATGCAAATTGACTAAAATATCACTACTTCAAATTCATTATCATTCAATATCAGCATTTAAAAAAAAAAAAAAAAAAAAAAAAAACTCACAACCTGCTTGGCGTGTGCTCAAATGAATCCATACTATTTCCCCCCTTTTCGCAAAGTTTTACGGGAGTTGGTGGATCAAATGGTTGGACATGCGACTGAAGTTTATCCACAGACGTGTTTGGAAGCCAAGAATGAAATCTTGAAGGGTCGGAATCTTGATCAGGAGACGGTGATGTTTTCAATTTCTCAGATGCTTTTCGAATTTCAATAGGTGTTCCTGCTAAGGTCCCACAAGCTTTAAGAAACTTGGCCTGTAGAAAGAGTTTAAGTAGTGAGACAATCAAAATTCAATCGACAAAAACAAAAATGTGAGAAGCAAACATAATAAACAAATAGTAAGAGAAACTTAGAAAGATTTGAAATTTGACTTATACCATGGTTCACATATAGAGTTTTGAAATTGGATACAAAAAATGGATTACATGAAGACAGCGGATGAAAAAGAGGTTTATAAATCACCTGTTGATCTTTTTATTCTATACTACATTCAAGAAGGTTCGTAAAATTTACAACTCACAACTGTTCAAGAACAATTCATTTTACTCAGCTTAGCGCAAATTACAAGATATAAAATGAATCTTATTTTACTCGATGCCCTAACTTATTCAAACAAAAAACACAATTATAACAACCAAACACAATTTGAGAAAATTATTAAGAAAATCATTTTAGCTGCAGTAAGTGTAATACCAATATTAATAGTACTACGAAAATACCTCGTCGTTAAGCCCCTGGAAATCGCCCTGAAACCCCATACCATCAATCCGTGAAGAATCATCTCTATCTTCTAAAAAGTTAGAGTACAAAATAAGTGAAACACATAAAAGAAAAAGAAAAGAAAACGTAAAGAAGAAAGAAAGAAAGAAAAATACCTTCAGATAACAAAGAAGCCGAGCTATTCCGAGATGTCGCAACAACCTGGTTTACACATAGCGAAATTCTAATTATTACAAGCAAAAAGAAAAGTAATTAAAGTAATTGGTGAAAAGAACAAAGACAAATGCGAAATGTGAAATGTTACGTTGGAACGTTTGGAGATGGAAATGCAATGCGGTGTGTAGTTACGGCGAGTGTCTCTGATCCGGAAGCAGGCGAAGAAGCAGCCCATTACTCTGGTGAAGGATCGGACGAAGAAACGGAGGATAAACCCTAACACGCTCCTCAGCATGTCATGGAAAGTCAGAAACCCTAACTTCGAATTCAATCTAAAATCGAAACGGGGTCTGAGAAAGAGAGGGCGTGAACTGTGTCTGTGAGTGTTGGTTTGAATTTTGAAGTGACTCAGAGCGAGGGAAATTAAACTACTTAATTAATATTATTTAGTAGGATCAAAATTGTCAATATCACACTTTTTATAACTGATTTGTTTATATGTTTTTTTTTTGTATTAGACGTTTTATTTTTAAATAAATAAAAATAATTTTACTAATTATAATAATATAAATTAAATAACTTTATAACCTCCAAAATTTTACGTATTAAATAATATTTTTTTTAAATTATTCTTACACAACTATTTGTTTTTTATTTTTTAAAAATTACAGTTTTTTAATATATAACTAGGAGTATAACTTCTCTTCTGCCCAATTAAAAAAATGATCGAATTTTAATTTATAATAATAATAATAATAATAATAATACAGTAACGTATTTTTAAAAAAATTAAGTTATTGGTGGATTATGCCAATATATATAATAAAGTAAATATTTGCAGCAGTTATATACACTAATGTTGAATTTATTTTTTAAGAATAATAGTTTATTACTTTCAATTTCTAACATTTGTTTAGTTTTATAAAAAATAAAATATTTTTAGTTTTATTGTTTTTCAAGCTAGTTAATTGTTTAAAATAAATTATTAATTAATATAATTAAATTATTCAAAATTGTTTTTATATATGAATTTCAATTAAACAGTCTATTTATTATTCATGTATCCTCTTCAAAACACGGTGAGTGTGACGAAACATTACGTGTTAAACAGTATTTGGTTGTGTACGAACGATTTTAATAAATTATTGTGACAAAGTTCCTCAAATTCTAAATGGTTATGATGGTGTTTTCTTGATTACCTAATTAGGGTTTCCAGAGTCCAAAAGTGCACGAAAGCATATCCCTCGATTCCAAGCTTTCACAAAGAGAGGAAGAATACATACCCAACCTTCATTATCTTAAACTTTGCTAAACTCCATCCATCATAAATGCTTCAAACTGGTTTCTATCTAAGAACTCATCAAAATTGAACACCACGTATCAAACCAAACCATCTCCAACAATCTACTCCACACCCAAAAACAAAAACCTTCCAAGTGCATGCCCACTTCGGATTTCACTTTTCATGTGATGCAATTAGCACCATCATTGGTAGACACGTTTTATACAAATTTTGATTTAAGGTTGTAATGAATAGTTAATTGAGATTCAATATATTTATGTTTGGTTTTGCTTTTGGTTGATGTTATTAAAAGAAAGCAGCGTGTGACAAACTTACAAACTTGTCATATTCCATGTCGAATATTTCATGCATCTGAATTGGCATCAAGATTGTGGTAAGAAAAGAGCAGCATCATTCTTGTATCGATGCTCTTAATGAATCATTTTATAATTGTTTTAGATAAGTATGGCTATTTTTTTTGTTAGAAAATCTATTTTTATTTTTTAATACAATCTTTTTTGTCAAAGAACGAAGTGCACATGACGTGTTTCAAAATTTGTCATATGTGTTTCAAAGTTTTTTTTTTTTTTATTGATTATTTTGTATATGTAAGATTGAATGTAAGTAATAATTATATGAAATAACACATTATTTATGTACACGTTGTTGAAGATGTACATTTTTTTCAAAATGTTAAATATCATAGTTGAGGGCAAGAGATATGCTAATTATTTCAATTTGCTTACGACTTTAATATTAATTATTAATTATATTTGTACAATTTTACTTAAACATTTGTTAAGAAAATTCTTTTAAAAACATCTAACGTGTCTGAACGAACTCGCAATTCAATTGATTTTGGTTAAATAAAAACAATAGATGATCAAATTCATAAAATGAATATAATTAAATGATAAAGTGTAATATTTTAAAATTTGAAAAATAAAATGACATAGAAATCATTCAAATGTGTGATGCATACCCAACAGAAACTTCCGACTCTGAACCTGGACACAGTAATGCTTACAAAAACAATTTCAAAGACATTGAAGCCATGCATTTTGGAAATATGCAAAGCAAGCGAACCAAAATATAGGACCACATACAGAGGTGATAAAGGGTAGCCCTTTTTCTTGGTTGTTATTATAAATATAATACAATAAACGCAACCTTAAATAGAGGTTGTGAGAGGCGAGGGTGTTGCACTAAAGACAAACAAGTTGATCCCAAGTTGATCACATTCAGGATTACAAGGCCACTGTCCATACATTTTGACATGTGTTGGCTATAAGATTCATTACAATCACAATTTCCGTTTTCTCTATATCTTTGGTCTGCTTCCAAAGTTTTTTACAGCCTCGAAAAACAAACAACATCATCCTAGTCTTGCTAACCAAAGTGCATTCTCAAAGGTTTTCATTTTCATCCTTTATTCCCTCTCTTTTCATTGACTCGCCACTTTTCACTCGTGGAGCTGCACCTAAAGCAGTGGAAGGAAGTCTCCCTGCTCTTGAGATGTCTGGTGTTCTTGTTTGGGTGAGTTGTGGACCCAAAGAGAATATCAACTCCTTTCTGAGCTTTGCATGCAGGAGTAGCAGTGGGGAAAGAGCCCAAAGGAAGTTCTCTGGAATCAGCTTTGCTACTGGAGCTTCTGCTTTTTCCGGTGCAGTGGCAGCTGAGACTTCAAGATCCTCAGAGGAGAGGGTCTATGAAGTGGTGATGAAGCAAGCAGCTCTTGTAAAGGAGAACAAAAGGGGTACAAACATTGCTCTGGATTTGGACAAAGAGGTTGAAGCTTATTTCACCAATGGGGATCTGTTGAATGCAGCTTATGATAGGTGTGGTGAAGTCTGTGCTGAGTACGCCAAGACATTTTACTTAGGTACTTCTTACCATTTTCCTTTGATCTTTTTCTCATAAATGAATTTTATTTAGTTATCCTTTTCTATGAAATTGTTTAGAATCATTATTTGTTCATTTTCCTAATTAATCTTTACAATACAAAGAGTTAAAGTATATAATAGGTCTTGAGCATGTAATAATCTATCTGTTACTCCACTGTCCCTCTACAACGTTATTATACATGAAATGTTTCTTTATTCCTAAGGCCTTATGAAGCGCATTTCCAAAAGGTTTAATTCATATGTATATTTCTGTCTTTTTCTGGTTCTACAAGCAAGAAACTTAGCGGCTAGATTAAATTATTTTAGTATTTTCAATGGATTTTAGAATTTTATCTGTTAGTAGTATGTTTTGTTGTTGAATTGACTCATCTTCAAAACGGTAAACTTCTTAGGCACACAATTGATGACTTCAGAGCGACGAAAAGCCATTTGGGCAATTTATGGTATGTGTGATCAAATTAACATTACTTACTGCTACTTTCAGCTTCTCCGGTGAGATTGTTATGGATTGAAATTTCATTGTGTGTGCATTGCAGTGTGGTGCAGAAGAACTGATGAGTTAGTGGATGGACCAAACTCTTCACACATCACCCCTGGGGCCTTGGACAGGTGGGAGCAACGATTAACTGATGTTTTTGAAGGTCGACCCTATGATATGTATGATGCTGCCCTCTCACATACTGTCTCAAAGTACCCCGTTGATATTCAGGTACTTTACATGCCAAATCAAAGATTGAGCTTTGCATCATTTTTGGACTAAACTTACATAAATTGTTGAGCTACTTTTTGTGTTATTCTTCAATCAATCAAAATTAGAGCTTTATTTGGTAATTTATGTTGACCTTTAATGCAAACCTTTATTACCTAGAGTACCCAGATGAGATTTCAATTCTGATTGGAAACCCGTATAGAAACTTACATCTATGTTTTATCCTGTAGATATAACATGCTCGGATAAGATACTAGAACCAAATTGGTCATCTTATATGAAATAGTAATTGATTCTGATAAGTTATGAAACTTGATTGCACCTTCTTTTTTAATTTGCTAAAACTGATCTCAATGACATTGACTCGTCTCTTTCAAATAGCCCTTCAAGGACATGATCAAAGGGATGAGGATGGACCTTAGGAAGTCAAGATACGATAACTTTGATGAGCTCTACCTTTACTGCTACTATGTTGCTGGGACAGTAGGCCTTATGAGTGTGCCAGTAATGGGGATAGCACCAGAATCAAAGGCTTCAACAGAGAGCATTTATAATGCTGCACTGGCTCTAGGCATTGCAAATCAACTTACCAACATACTCAGAGATGTTGGAGAAGAGTAAGGTTCTTTGAACACTTCAACGCCATGGAATTGAACAAAAAACAATAAAGAAATGACATTTAAGATCTTGTCACTCAAGGGTATCTCACCAATAGTGTCCATACCATTCAAATTATGTTGTCTAATTTGGTGTGGTTGTTGATCATTGTAGTGCTAGAAGAGGAAGAGTTTATCTGCCTCAAGATGAATTGGCACAAGCTGGACTTTCAGATGATGACATTTTCCGGGGTAAAGTTACAGAGAAATGGAGGAAATTCATGAAGGGACAAATAAAGAGGGCAAGGATGTTTTTTGATGAAGCAGAGAGAGGGATTGCAGAGCTAAACCCAGCTAGCAAGTGGCCTGTGTGGGCATCATTGTTGTTGTATAGGCAAATCTTAGATGCTATTGAAGCCAATGATTATAATAACTTCACAAAAAGGGCATATGTAGGAAAAGTCAAGAAGCTCTTATCACTACCTGCTGCCTATGCTGTTTCATTTCTAGGCCCTCAGAACTTGACCAAAATGGTTAAGAGATAATCAATAACTGTTACAATTTGTTGGCACTGAATTAGAATTGTATACATCTCAAACTACCTACATGTGTTAAAAAACAATGGCTATCCATTCATTTAATCCATTCCTAATATATCAATAAATATTATAGATCATTCTTCAAAAGTGTGGAAAAAGTGAATAAAAAGGAATGTTGATGAATTTTTGGAGTTATCAAATCAAATTCTGCAGCGTGCTTATGTGACACACTTTTAATGAAAAAATAAAAAATCCAACCTTTTTATTCATCAGAGTATCCCAGTAGCAATATGAATAATAAAAGGATTTTTTTTTTTTTGAAAGAAATATTTTGGAATGTAATCATCTTTATATTCTATATTATTCTTTCTGAAAAGATGTGTAACTCAAATTATTTTTTATTTTGTTTAAGGAAACTGTGATATAATAAAAATGCAGAAAGTATTTGGCCTTTTTGAATATATATCGTTTGACCCAGATGATTAAAACAAGGAAAAGAAATTAAAAAAATTTGAGATATCCACTATGATGAGTTTTGCTGGAATCATTAATAGATAAATAGTTTATGGCAGAATGTCTCTAAAAACAATCATAACATAATCTCTTCTCACGTGTTCTTCACGAAAAGAACACAAAAAAATAAATATATAATTTCACCTTTTATGTTCGTTGACGGTAACATCATTTTTCTCATCTCATTTCATGTATATCAATCTAAATAATTATTTTCTAAGAAAATCCTTTACCTTTTTATATGTTTTTAGTATATAAGATTTTAAAAGAGTATCTTTCATCCATAATTAATACAAGATACGGATAATTAATCATATTTACTTAAGATTATTACTTTAATTTCTGACATTCAATTTATTCATAAGTGTAGTATTTTTTTTTTCAAAAGTTATCTTTAACTAATTAATGTATGGCAAGAATAATAGCAGTAAAATTTTAATTTTAAAACTAAACTCTTCAATTTCCATGAAAATTCATAAAATTAACAATTTATGAATTAAAATAATTAAAAATGTTTTGGTAAAAAATGTATTGTATAAAGAAATAATTATTTTCAAAATAATATCTTATAATTAAAAAAAATCAATTAAAAGACTTTAAAAAGTTTTATATAAAAAATTTAAAATCATTATTATACAAGTAAAAGTTTCAATTGCAAGACAATCTCTAATTGAACATATCAATGTAAAAAATTTACAAATCTTTTGGTTATTGGAAAAGGATCAAATATACTATAAGCAATGGTTCTTCCTTTTCTCTTCTTTCTTCATCTGAAACAACAACTATAACAAATAAAATGAAGCTAGTAAAAATGTGCATGTTCATTAGCAAAACCCTCTAATTTAACACAACATCTTATTTACTAAATATTCCACGTCATCTTCTTCTTCTTCTTCTCTACTCTAGCAGAACATGGAGTTCATTTTTTCCTCACTCTGTGGTTAAGACCTTCCCTCCGAGTTGAAGATGATGAGGAGGATACTGAAGATGAAAAAGCTGTATGGTTATTTTCAGCCATATCTTTGTGAAATGCTTTCTGCACATCATCTTTAAGTTCCATGAAGCGTGCTTTCTTCATTTTCTGCTCTTCTTCAGTGCCCTTCTCTAGGAAGAACACATCTGGCATATCATCTTCCAGAAACTTATCAAGCACTTCAGAACAATGGGGAAAGAACCGCCTACCATTCTCAACTGTACACAATTGCAAATCTGTGTTAGTTATGAAGTATACTACACTTGCACATTGAAGTTTTGCATAAGAACATAGGAAAAATGCATGCTCAACAACTTATTTGTCATATGATAAGTCATACTATCATATTATCTGTTTCAATTATGCGATATTGTGGGTAACAAAGTGGATTTTTTTTCATTTATATGTTATTCAACTTGTTAATTTACATATGAAACTCAAACTCACATTTAAACTCCAAAACTTCTATGATTACTGTACTAGTGTTAAAACTTGTCTTTATCCCTCTAATTTGGTCCTGTAAGACTCTTGTACAGTACCCCTTGTACCTGGTTTGTTAATAAAACTTGGCTTATAAAAAGGTACTACAAGTGATGAAATGTTTCCATACTACATTCATCAGTTTATATTATAACTTTTATTTATTTAATTTTGTTAGTGTCACGTACTTACTATATTTTCCAAATTGTGGCAAGTTCCAACCAAGGCCATGCAAACTTGATTTGGTGTTAATGGAACAAGTGTTATCCATATTTCACAATGATGCATAATCATTACAGGAAGACATTTCAAATTTACATACCTGTTTTCATAAGGGCATGCAATCTTAACTGAAGTTTTCTGGTTCGAGCAGAGGGAGATTCATTTAAATCTACTTCTTTAAGTTTGTCATTTGTGCCCTTTAAAGGTGAGTTTGCGTACAGTGATGACGAATCTGCCTCAGCATTCTCAATGGCTACCCTAGCCTCAGCAGGAAACAACAACCGAGCAAATGTAACTGCAACATATGGAGCAGGTTAATTTCATGTTCACGTGCTTCCAAATTGAAAAGCATCATGCAATTATTGTTTCGGTGTGATTCTGATGCATGCATAGACCAGAAGTAAAATGGCAACCTATTATTATTATTATTATGAAAATGACAACTTCTTACTGTGACAACTTATTGGCATAGCCATATATCAGTAATCAACTAGTTACTGTGATTAATGTAATTAGAAGGATTTCATCTGATTGTGCACATATCTTTATTTAAGGTCTTATAATCCCCTATTTAAGAAATTCACATTAGAATCTATAACTCCCTGTTTGTGTACCAGTCTATGTGTTTTTCTGAACAATAGGAAGCAAATTCTGATTTTACCCTTTCAATCTGCCAACTCAGACCCAATATTCATGGAAACAAAGTGACCTATACCAGTGAAAGACATACCTCTATCTTCAAGATAATCCAGTCTCATGTGCAAATCATCAGCTGTTAACTGTGATGAAACAGACATACTCACAGTCATAGAACTTCTTCTCATCTCCCTCTCCAGGACATCAACACAGAGCCTGTCCTTGTTAGATTCCTTACACCGCACTGTTTTCTCATGATAATCCTTGCGTCTCGTCAACCTCTGACAAATTGAAAGAGCAGTCTGTCCATCTGGAGTGGTATCTGTTGCACATGCCCCTTTATTCAGCAGTGAAACCAAAATGGATGGATCCTTTCGCCTTGCAGCCACATGAAGAACTGTGTATCCTCGGGAATTTCTACGAAGAATATCAGCCATGCCTAGACCAAGAACTTCTTGAATAACCTTAGAATCACTATAGGCACAGGCATAGTGCAGGGCATATGCATCATCTAGGGTGACCCTGGACTCATTTAGAAGAAGCTTCAGTAGCTCAACATCATCAGAGTCCAATGCTTTATGGATTTTCTTGATACTCTTTTCACTCAAAGGCTCCACTTCCAATGCATCATCTGAGGATTCTGGCAGAGATGAGAGTCGGTGCGATTTGATTTCAGTCACAACTTCATGAGGCAGCTCTTTTTCCAAAGATATGTTGTCAAAGTCAGACCTTGCTACTCTGTGAATGCACCGAGAGAGAAGCTGGTCTAGTTGGAAGTTGAAAGAAGCCATAAGAATAGGAATGACATCTTCCACAAGAGCCTTCTCAACAAAGTTTAGGAGTTGCCGCTGCATCAGTAAAGAGAAATTTACATTAGATTTTTTAAGCAAAAGCCGAAGCTGTCTCGTTCTTGGTAGTAAAAGATAAACATATAACTAATAAAAAGTGTAATATAAGCTCACTAAATATCCTCCTTAAGAAATATGTCAGAAGATAAAAGCTGCAGAGGAAAAATGGAATAATATGGAACTTGGAAGACATGTTATTATTGACACATTACTAATATCAGAAAACCTTTGTGAACAAAGGTACTTAGCGGTAGTCAAAAGTGTGCATATGTTCATTAAGTGCACATCTATTTCAAAATTTGTTCACTAGGAAAATAGTTAAAGTGTTGACCACATTCCTAAAGATAAGTATATAAATTTGGAATCAATTTTCAAAACCTGTAAAAAGTATAATGCTTATCTGCTGTTTGTCTTAGGCGATAGGTAAACTATGGGAATACTTTATCTGGTAGTATTTTACTTACACTGATGGGGAAGCCTAAAAGAAAGAAAATAACTAGAAAACATTTATCATCATGGGGTGGTTTTGGGTTGGGTTTTCAGCCCAGAATGATTTGTGGAATTGCTCCACATTTATCACATTTCATCTCTTTTATGCAAAAACTAGTAATAAAATAAAGGAAAAATAACTAGGAATGAGAAAGACACAACCTAAAACACAATATACCTGAAAGACTAAAACCAGCTCTTTCATCTGAAAAGTGGCAGAAGCATACATCAGCTCCAAGGAATAATTGATAGCAGGGCGACATGCATCATGGATACATGTTTCATCAACACATGTTATCACTTCTGTTGGTGAAGCTTTTAGCCTTCCAGTATACAAATAGTACAAGAAAACTTGGAAAGCTTCATATCCAACTGCGCCATAAGGCACCAATTCAGACATGAGATACCTTGGCTTTCCTTCCTTCCCCGATCCATCAGTTCCTTTCTTAAAAAGCTCATGAAAAAAGGGACTGCGCGAGGCTAATATACAGCGGTGAATACCCACACAGATGTCTTCAACGAGAATCTCAGCATCACAATAATCATTCTCAGCATCAATCAGTAGCTTCTCAAGGCTTCCACTGAGCTTACTCAGGCTCAAAATTTCAATATTTGTCCCATGCTCAATGCTGGTGGAGGAAGATACGTTGTGATTACTAGAACCATGTGAGAGGTGAGATGATACAAAACTCAAGGATGATGATGAATCATTTGAGTTATCCATGACCCCAAATACGATAGATTCCAATTGAGTCAAAGAACTGTTGACTTAATTTAGAAGTAAAAGAAGAAATTAAACCCCTTCAGGTACCCATCTCAATTGAAAAGCTAGTCAACATATTCTATAGCTAAACAAACCATGCTGAAAGAAGCAAATTTCCACAAGGGCACTATTTCCCAACCACAACACCGAAGTCACTTGCAAGTCAAGCAACAAAACTCAGATTCCCAGAAAGCATAAAGATGATTTTTCATCTGTGGACGATCCATCATATAAATTGAGGCATGAGAACGAAAAAAGTTTGTACTTTTAGCAGTTATAATTTGTACGGAAAATTATATCAAGAGACAAAGAAAAACGAATATTACACAAAGGGTGACCCTTTAAGAGCTAAGGTGAACTCATCAGCAGCTTGAGAAAATAACCAGAATCAAAAGCTGGAGTAAGAGACTCTTGGAAGAGGCTTCAAAACACTGCAAAGAAGAAAACAAAAACTAAAGCAGATGGCTAGTTTGGAATGAAGCATGCTGAAGGGTCTCAGTCCCTTGAACCAAAGAAGCGGAGACTTGGAAGGGAAAGAAAAAGAGAACCAATGCACAAAAGGTTGACCAAAAACTGGAAAGAGAAGATAGGGAAAATAACGCAGAGAGAGACGATGCTCGGTAACCGAGAATCCCTGTTCTCCTTGAAAGGGAAAGGAAACGGGAATTACACGTTGTTTGATTGTTCTGTCTTTTTATTTTACTTTTTCTTATTTTCTCTCGTCTTCTTAATACCATAAATAAATACTATGTACTACTAACTATTGTCACATTGTTAAGTACCCACTGTTCTTCATGTTCATCAACATAATTTTAATTGCATTTGCAAAACATGTGATTGGATGTGAAAAAGGTCGTTAAGAAATTTATTCAAGCACAAAAAGTAGTATATCAGTGAATGACTTCCCCCTTTCACACGCCTATGTTTGTTCTGAAAACGACAAATTTTATATTTCGTATGTATTTTAGTTCATATTCTTTTAATAAAATTGAAGTTTTATTTTAATAATTTATAGTAACATGTAGAAAAGTTTTACTATTTATATTTAAACTCTAATTCATACGAAAAAAAGTAGTCATAGATTACACTTGAAAGTTAATATTATTTTTGGGATGAAATGAAAAGATTATAATATCAATCGCTAAGGAAGAAAAAAATACTACAATACTAAAAAGTATAATTATATATATATATATATATATATATATATATATATATATAAGAGTTTTGTCATATTTAAAATGGTTGTTTTGACAATATGAAAAATGTGATAATTGTTCCACGAGTTTAGTGCGATGCAGTTGTAACGTAGAAACAAACGATGAGAAAAGAACATTAACAGCATTTATCTTTCTTTTTTTTTCTTTTCTGCGAAAGATGCTTCATATATACTCCGAGGGTGGAAAAGAAAGATGCAGTAGAATATTTTAATATTGTATTGGCCAAAATAGGAAGGAAACTGTTCAAAGTGAATGCAAGCAAAATTCTAGTCAAGTTTTTTTTTTTTTTCTTATTAACTCGGCACCGGTGGGTCCAACGTAAATTTGTCTTGTTTCATGAACGATGAGGATTCAATGTTCCACCGTGTTGCAGGTGAAGATGATCCTGAAATGAACGCGTTAATAACAATTTCGAAAGGAATGTTAAAAATTGCAGATTGTCCAATGCACCAGGAAGAACACATCCTATTCTGTGCAGATAGCATCGTTTGAATTTGGGTGTATCAGATTCTACGGGGTGGTTCAGTTTTCACATTATCTTTTTTTTTTATCGTACAAAATCGAAACACGTGTCAGACATATATCCTTTTCACTGTTTCTATTTTATATTTTTATGTCAATATTGTCCATATATGATTTTTTTATTTATTTATAGTCTCCTACTTTTATAAACATTTATATAATGCATAAATACTTATTTATTAATTTTTTAATTATCATTTAAAACAAATAAAAGCAACGGTTTGATAATTTAAATTTCAGTATATTTTTTCTTTTAATTATTAAGAAGGTCTTATAGAATTATATAGCCTATTTTTGTATAAATTCATCATAAATGCATAAAAAACTAAATTAGTTATTCGATACTAATAAATATAACTTATTTTACACGTTGTTTGAGGCCGGTAAAATAAAAAGTAGCGAATTATGAATATATAACAGAGAAAATGAAAAAAAAAAAAGTGCTTCAATGATTCTCTTTTTTGATACTGGTGTGAAAGGAAAAAAAGAATGTGAGGCCAGTGATTTAATAGCGTCCATTCTATAGATAAAGAAGAGGATAAAGTATATCAAAATACTTTTACTTATAATTTTTTATTAAAAACATTTTAATTATTAACACATATATTATTTTCTTTTTTATTTCATTTTTACATAATCAAATACGACAGCTTTTTTTCTTGTCAAATAACTTACAAAATCACCCATTTTAAAAAAATCATTTAATTTTATTTCATCTTCGAATCAATATATAAAAACAAACAGTTTCTAAGAAAAAAAAGGAAATAAGTTTATAATCTCCACAAAGACAAGTAATAATTATTTAGTGTGTTTGTTTTATCCAGATCTAAAAATTATTATATATATTTATTTTTGTATTATGTATTTTATGAATTTACTATATACATAATTTTATTTATTTTTTAATGATAAATTTTCTCGAAATTTTATACACCACAATGATATTTTAATCTATGTATATTTGAAATGCATATGTCACTTTATGTATCGGGCTCTTGATTAAGAAAGAAAGAAGATACTGTTATGAGAATGGGAACAAAAATGGAAAGCCACGTGGCTAGATCGCAAGTGGCGTAGTAGCATGAGTGAAGATAAACTCCAACGCAGTGGAACAGATCTCTTCCAGAGGCAAATTTGCGGTTGTATCCACAACCAGCCTCGGCACGTCACCGACGTCGTACTCCGTGCACCCTCCGTACGCTTCGAGAAGCTTCTCCAGCTCCTCCCAGGTGGCGGGCTTGTGTCCGCCTGCGTCGCGGCCGCGCGCCTCGAGTCTGCGGCGCCACTCGAGGCGATCGGAAGGGCGGCACTCGATGAGGAGGAGGTGGGCGGAGAGAGAGGCAGCGAGGGAGCGGAGGCGGTGGAGGTGCGCGGAACGGGAGAGCGGGGAGTCGAGGAGAACGCTGAGACCGAGGCGGAGCTGGGTGGAGGCGATCTGGCAGATGACGTCGTAGGAGAGGTCGTTGAGGAGTGAGGGGGGTGAGGTTAGGGTCAAGCGTTGGGTGCAGTCTTTGACGTCGTCTTTGTCTAACAGAGGGATTCGGAGGGACGAGGCTATGGATTTGGCTAACGTGCTTTTTCCACTTCCTGGGTGCCCCTTCATCGCTATTATCACTTTCCACTCCAATTTCGCCATTTCCACCTTCCAAACCAAACACACCTTTTCATCTTATTTATCTTATCACATCGTGGAATCGCTTTTAAATCTCCATCGTTCAATCTCTCAACCAAACATAAACATTTTAATCTAAATTTTGAATTAATTTTTTATTTATTTTAATCGATTCAGTTTTTAATACAGTATTCACATATTATTTTTAATCCTAAAATACATTATTTTATGAGTTTATGTAATTCTGATTTTATAATTGTTAATAAGAAAAAAAATTAAATTATGTATTATAGATTTGATTGGTGTTTCCAAATTTGATTAGAGAGAACTCCATCAACAATATCTATCATAATACCAACTTTTAATTAATTGTAATTAATAATATGAGTATTATTTAAAGAGTATAATATTCATATATTGGATAATATTTCATCCTTGAATATTTTATTATTAGAAAGAGAAGGAACAATACTTGGTAAATATTCAACATTAAGGATTTTGAATTTAAGATAAATTGTTAACTTGTAAATTTCTCCATGATTTTTCTAAAACAATAAAAATATAAAATAAACTAAGGTTAATGCATGTATTTCAGTTTTTTAAAACAAAATGAGGAAGTTTATGTTAAAATTAAGTATATTAGCTAATTTTGATTTATAAAAAATTGTTTAACTTATTTTATCTTTTAAATTTGTATTTTCTTATGAATTAATAGGATGTTATTATGCTTTATAGTTTTTCAATATAAGATGTAAATTTAAGAGTTAAATTGCATGATATTGTTTTGATTAATATATATTAAATGTTAAAAGTTGAATATTTATATAAATATAAGTTTATATTTAACCAATTAATTATTAAGGATTGTATATAAATCAATCTGGTTATATTAAACGAAAATCTTCAATTAACTGCTGTAAATATTTTGTACTCTATTAAAATATCTGAAATTGGAATTTGATGATATTTATTTCACTATTTATTATTTGCGTAGATATTTTTTTCAGATATTATGTTTATTCTTATTAAGAAGTCATTGTACAGAGTCATTCTAAAAATAAGTCATTAATCATTATTTATATGAGTAATAATATTTACTCATTCATATTGAGTTAGTTGTGTCAACAGATTTTCTTTTATAAAATTTTCTTTTTATAAAGTTAATAGCACGATTTTGTTATATTTAAATTAAATTCAATAAAACAAAACAGTATATTTTAGGAATATAAAACGATAATTAAGAACATAATTTTGTTTTAAATAAGTAGTTGTAAATAGTCGTTGTAAAAGTTTTTCTAAGAGACTTAATTTAATATAACATAATTAAATACATTATAGTGTTGGCAAATTTTGGGTCATGAATATATATGATACATATTTAAATGTGTTAGGGTCATTATTTATTAAGCCAAATAATAAAGTGATCTGAATAAATTAAAGTTTTGGCTAAAGGCATATGTCATGAAAATATGATTGTGTAGAGACCATAGAGTAATTTTTAATTTGATGAGGGGCCAAATTGGAAATACTAAAACTTAAGTAATTAACCTAATTTTGGTTATTTAAGGGGTCATGGTCCCTTCGAGAGCACACGAGAATGTAAATTACGAGTCCATTCTTTTCTTCTATCCCCATCAGAGAGAAAATCCATAGGGAAAATACAGGTGCTCTTCAGGTGGAAGACCATAAGATCAAATCAAAAGTGCTCTACAAAGGATATCGTCATTATGACCAATTCAGGTACGCTTTCGCATATAGTTTATAACATGTTTACAGTATGGGATTATATGTATGTTTGATATGTAGAATAAAGATCATATTCCATTAAAGTTTAACCTAACAATTGGTATCAGAGCAACCCATACTTGATTCATGTTTGCATTTGGAAATTAAATAACCGAAGTTGGAAAATAATCTTCAAATTTTATGAACCCCACACTCAAATTTGGGGTAAAATCCCCGATTTTAAAACCTAATTTAATATATGAGGGTGAATCCCCCAAACTGCTTCTGCTCCTTCGTCCCTTCGTCTTCATTGGCTATTTCAGTCGCGGGGCTGCTCGCGACGGAAAGGGGAAGCGTTGGAGATGTTTGAACAGCGGTGGCTTAGGCCTCTGGCTAATTCAGCATTTCCAAAACCCTAATCACGAATTCACGTCGCGGTGGCGAAGAGGTCAATGTTCGGTGGCGGAGGGGACGATGCGCTGGCAGCGCGGCTTGGCATGGTGTCGTCGTCGCTGCTGAACCAGGCGACACCGTCAGTGATGTCCGGCGAGGTGTCAGTCGCTATAAGGGAGGCGATTTAAACCTTGATGCGATGAGCATTTTTGACAATGGAACGCTTCTGCTGAATAACATATTACAAAGTAATTTTGTTGGATTATCTGGTCAAATAAAATTTGAGTCAGATCGGTCTCTCGTTCATCCTGCCTATGGCGTCCTTAATGTGGTTGGAACTGGCCTTAGGAGGATTGGTTACTGGTCCAACTATTCAGAAACAGTATCAGAAACAGCCAAACAAGTCGTTATCTTGTTCCAACTCCGAGAAGTGGTGACATGGTTCCTTAGCCAGGGGGAGAAACCATCGAGCATGGACTCCTTGAAGCCTCGTCCGGGGACATGGTAGGTTCCATCAGGTCTGGTAACGATGAAAGCAAAGAGGAGGATGAAAAGGAGAAGAGCGATTAGGATGGCCATGCAGCCAAGGTAAAAGGCCAAGAGGCCTTGCTTGTTCCAGTAAGCACCGACAAAGCCAGCAAGAGAGACGAGGAGTACGAGGAGGCCAAGGATGAGGACATGCCAGCGGAAGTTGTGGATGCACTCGTTGTCTGGTTTGGAGGCTAGCCATACACCTGCACCCATTATGGGCATTGAGGCCAACAGGGCTATGAAGTTCAGCACTGCAGTGATGTTGTTGCTTACTCCCATGGCAATTCAAATGCGATGTTAATTACTTTTCTATGTGTTCTTGCAAACTAAACTTGACAGTTGGAGTGTGTGATGTGAGGAGCAAATATAAGTAGATGTACGGGAAATGTGGGGTGTTGCAGGATACGTGGAAGAACTTTATAACTATTATATGACAGACAAGGCAAGGCACCTCAATGATCCTGGTACAGAAGAAGTATTTAGAGTTCTTTAGAAAATTAGGTGTGAAATTAGCTGTTGTGTCAAATTTTGACACTAGATTAAGACCTCTCCTGCGGGCATTAAATTGTGACAATTGGTTTGATGCGGTAGCAGTGTGGGCCGAGGTTGCGGCCGAGAAAACAAATCCAACTATATTTCTCAAAGCATGTGAGTTGTTGGATGTAAAACCTGAGGTTGCTGTTCATGTTGGGGATGATCGCAGAAATGATATATATAATCATTATATTCAATATAAATAAATAATTATATAAATTTGGTTTTGTTATATAAATAAAATATTACCTTTTGGTAGTTTAATATTTTTGTGAGCAAATTGAGTCAAGAAGTTACCAAAGTAACCTCTCTTGAATTGGGAAGTTCATGAAAAATATTGAATGTTAGTGTTTGTGTATATTCATGCGAGTATTAGTCGGCCCAAAGGAAGATTAATATTTGGCCGAATTGCATACACACTTGTAATGATAAACATGTGATAATTATAAGGATTTGCTTTGTCGATGATAAATCAATCCAAAGACTGGTTTGTTGTTGGACGTGCTTTATTGTCAATGTTTGATTATTACAACAAGATACCTCTAGCAGTTAATATTACTGTCCAAAGACTTGATATTGATGGTGCATTGGGTGTCTTGAGATGGGTTAAACCATTATTTGAATATATATTTTATTTATAATTATTTATTTTATAATGTGAGCATAATTAGTTTATTTCTTTTGTTCTAATCCAGCTACAATTGCTTCTGTATCTGCAAATTTGAATTCTGTTCCGATCCTCAATGGAACAAATTTTAAGGACTGGAAAGAGAATATTGATATTATTCTTGGCTGCATGGATATGGATCTTGCGTTAAGGACTGAGCAACCCCCTACTCCTACGGATTCAAGTACCTCTGAACAAAAAAGAGATTATGAGAAGTGGGATCGCTCAAATCGCATGAGTCTAATGATCATTAAGCGCGACATCCCGGAGATGTTTAGGGGCACTGTTTCTGAAAACATCACAAGTGCCAAAGAATTTCTTGCTGAAATTGAACAGCGCTTTGCAAAAAGCGATAAGGCGGAGGCAAGCACTCTTCTTCAGAACTTGATCTCCATGAAATATCAGGGCAAAGGAAATATCAGGGAATACATTATGAGCATGTCTAATATTGTTTTTAAGCTCAAGGCACTAAAGCTTGAACTCTCGGAAGACTTGCTCATTCATTTGGTGTTGATTTCTCTTCCGCAACGTTTAACCAATTTAAGGTATCTTACAACTTGTCAAAAGGATAAATGGTCTCTTAATGAGCTCATTTCTCATTGCGTGCAAGAAGAAGAAAGGCTAAAACAAGACAAGACAGAAAGTGCTCATTTTGCAAGCACCTTTAAGGCTAAAGGCAAAAGAAAGAGATCGGAGGATCCCAAGAAGGAAGCTGCTAAAGGTCCAGAACAAAAGAAACAAACTCAAGAAAATAAATGTTTCTTTTGCAATAAGACTGGACACATAAAGAAGCAATGTGCTAAATATCATGCTTGGCGTGAAAAGAAAGGGTTGCCTAAACTACCGGAAGCCAACTAATTCTGAAAGATGAATATACGTTGAAAATGGCAAATTGGTGGAGATGGAGACTATTGAACATTTTAGATTATTATTGTGTACTGGTTTTTTATTTTAGATTTAAAAGACATTTTTTGTCGTGCCGTCTTTTAGACGAAATTTGGTTTCAGTTTCTTATTTGGACAAATTAGGTTATTTGGAAATAATAAGTTCAGTTTGTCTTTTAATTCAGATATTGTTATAATTGGTTCATTTTTTAGCTAATGATAATCTATATTTACTTGATACTGTGGTCATCTATAATGCAACTCTTAATACAGAATCTCGTGGTACTAAACTAAAATTAGACTTCCGAACAGTAAGTAGTTACTTCATTGGTTATTCTGAAAGAGCCAGGGGATATAAATTTTATGATCCCACATTAAAGACAATTTTTTGAGATGGGAACTGTTATGTTCTTTGAGGATATTGAGTTTGGGGGGAAGAATAAGATTAAGAATTTTGTATTGGAGGAAGAATCGACAATAAATCCATAACCGATTCAAACAGTTACTTTTAATAAAGTAAGTTCGGAACCTCCACAAGACATTGATGATAAACCCCATATTCAAGATGATTTCATTGTTCGTCAAGATCAAACTCAAGATCCTCAAGAACCTGTGCGTCATGAGTCGGGGATACTCCAGTTACTAAGGGAGACAAGTTTAGTCTAAATTAGTGCCCAAAGGGGAATTTAGAAATTGAGGAAATGCAACGGATTCCCCATGCATCAGCTATCGGGAGTTTGATGTATTCCCAAATATGTACGCGTCCAGACATAACATACATAATTGGGGTTCTAGGCAGATATTTAAGCAATTCAGGAATAGACCATTGTAAAACAGCAAAAAGGGTCATAAGATATTTAAAGAGAACAAAAGATTATATGCTCACATACAGGAGGTCAGACTAGTTGGAGATCGCTGGGTTTTCTGACTCAGATATTGCAGGATGTCAAGAATTTGTAGCATGCTATGAGACATCAAATCATAGAATATGGCTGAGAAATTTTGTCACAGGGCTACAAATTATGAAAGGCATTGAAAGACCACTTAAGTTATATTGTGACAATAAATCAGCTATATTGTTAAGGAAAGAGTACAAAGTGGACAGATTTTCATAGAACACTTAAGGACAAACTCCATGATAGAATATCCTCTAACTAAAGGATTTCCGCCCAAGGTCTTTCATGAGCATGTTGCTCACATGGGTGTTTTACAGTTTGAGGAATTTGTGGTTTAGTGGGAGTTAGTCATTTTCATATATTTTATGTTCTATGTTTAATTTTATATATGTATACATTGTTTTTTGGACATATTTGGTTATCTATAGATATGCGGTTTTCTTGTTCATTCATTACACTTTGTACATTAAGGTTATTGTATCGATCTCGATAAGTTAAAGTTTGGATCAGTTGAAAATAGACGTGTACGGATCACCTTCACGTAATTTTTCATGCTACACATTTCATGATAAATCCATGTCATTTGGTTATGTCAGGATGAGTAATCTTGTTGGTTTTAGTTGCGATGATGCAATGAAAAACTGGTTTGGTTCTATATCCTGATATGATTAATGGACAGGACTTTTGGAATATGCTAAAGGAATATAATGACAATTTTGAGCTCATAAAGTCTAACACATTTGTAAGGTTGTAAAGACATATATATTTGTGACCAGTGGGAGATTGTTGGCAAATTTTGGGTCATGTATATATATGATACATATTTAAATGTGTTAGGGTCATTATTTATTAAGCCAAATAATAAAGTGATCTGAATAAATTAAAGTTTTGGCTAAAGGCATATGTCATGAAAATATGATTGTGTAGAGACCATAGAGTAATTTTTAATTTGATGAGGGGCCAAATTGGAAATACTAAAACTTAAGTAATTAACCTAATTTTGGTTATTTAAGGGGTCATGGTCCCCTTCTGGGAGCACACACAGAATGTAAATTACAGTCCCATTCTTTTCTTTCTATCCCCATCAAGAGAGAAAATCCATAGGGAAAATACAGGTGCTCTTCAGGTGGAAGACCATAAGATCAAATCAAAAGTGCTCTACAAAGGATATCGTCATTATGATCAATTCAGGTACGCTTTCGCATATAGTTTATAACATGTTTACAGTATGAGATTATATGTATGTTTGATATGTAGAATAAAGATCATATTCCATTAAAGTTTAACCTAACATATAGTCATTAATTATATTTTATCAAAATATTATTTAACGTTTAAAAATACGTTATTCTCGAACGTATTATTACAATAATGAACCATTATATATATATATATTTCAATTTTTTTAAATACTTTATGAATATATTTTTTTATTTCTCTTTTTATCACATAATAATTACTATTAAATTTATATATTTTTCTCACAAATTATCGTGTATTATACATGCATACTCCGCAATTCTAAATATAAAAAAGAAATATATTATTAACATTTCTATCAATAATCAATAATAAAAAAATTATTTTATTAGAAAGGCTTTAACAAAATAATTAATATATTAAATCAAAACTCCTTATTATAGTATTATATACATTAGTATGTTATTATTTGCTTTGCATATGTAACTTGACTCTTAAAAGACAAACATAACATAAAACGTGAAATCATGTTTCATGCAAATATTCTATGTGATGAAATATATAAATTTTCAATCTTTTGGTTGTTGGTACAAGTCAGTCAGTTAACAAATTCAAGAGTGAAACCTACGTACACATGTTTAGTTTGTTTTTTTGTTATGATTAACTTTAACATCCCAACTTTATTCATACCATCAAAACTTGGTACACACGAAATAACAAATCATCATGACATGAATGGTTAGTGGGTAAAGGGTGAGATTAACAACAATTATTCTCTATTCACATGATAAACAATAAATAATACATACCTTGCTTAACCAGAACGGTACTGTGACTTTGGATGGATCATGGATGCATGGAACTACTTGTTTCTTCACAACACAACCTCGTTCCTTCCGACAACAACATATTTCCAAATTCTGCACCTTTTGACGAGTTTTCTTCATTCAACAGCGTGGTTTCTGTTTCATTTCGTTGTCCATTACAGCGTAGCAGCACAGGTCTCGTTTTTGCAGTTCAGTTTCAGTCACACGTATCTCACTTTCCATAAAGGTTACGCTTATTGTAACAGTGATCATAGAAACAAACATATCTCAATCTAACTTCACATGTAAAGTGGTGAACAGAAACAAGGAATTAAATAGAATCTTTCATAAAAATAAATATTTGTAAATGTATATTATTATTTTATAAAAAAATAATTATTGTTATAATTTCAGTGACTATATGTGGCAATGTTTAGGAGTTTAGTATGGATGGAGACGATTGAATACTGAGTAGTTTAGTAGTCAAAACAAATTTTTGTTTATTATTATTATTATTTATTTAAAAGAAAAAAAGAGAAAGTATATAAAAAAATTAAAAAAAGAGAGTGAGAAAGTGTATAAAAAACTTGGGGTGCCAACCCACCCAAATATTTCTTACTATCTCTGCTATCTTCCTCCTCTGCCTCACCTCTGCCAATCCCAATCCAATTCAGCATGTTAGGGTTTTTAATGTTCCAAGATTTCCGTCTCTTTTCTTCAATCAACACTGTACACGCAACATGATTCCAGTACCTTCGCCACTCTCACCTATATAAACGCACACACCAAACAGCCGATCACATCCATTATCTCTGTTCACGCGTATATCCCTTTTACGGTACTTTACTTCCTTCTCTTCTCTCCTCAGTGCTGTTAAAGCTTAGACAAATCGCTTGTTGTTATCATTATTTTGGTTTTAGTTCTTGAAGAGATTTTACTCTGAAGTTTAATGTAATTTTCTTTTTTTCTTTTGCCGTCGTCGAACTTCCTAGTAGTTGATGCTTTCAAATCTCACTTGATCAAGTGGTTACAATTCATATGAAATGTTGGGGGGTGGGTTTTATGTGAAATTAGAACCCTATCTGAATTTCGCTTTGTTGAACTTCAGTCCTTAGACGATTTATGATTTTTCCACTTTTTCTTATTTGAGTGTCTGCTGTTAGCTTTGCATTGATTTTCGTAGTTACGGATATCAGAGAATAGTAACTTATTTGATTTTCTGGCGACTGATATTTGGAGTGGTAACTGGTTAGGCTTGGTATTAATGAACAAACCGTTTGTTACTGGGGTTTAGGTTGAAGAGTGTTTGTATTTGGTATACATTTTTCTCTTACTCTCTCCAGATTGATTATTTATTTTCTGCAGATATTAATAATTGAATTTGAACGTATGTTGGTTTGGTTGGTGGATCTAAGATAATGTGTTGGTTGTTGCTATTTACATTGCTGGATAGCAACATTTGCAAATTGGAACTGATCTTTGGGTTTTTTTGGGTGAAACTCGGTATGTACATGTGATATGAAGCATTTTATGTCTCCTTGATCAATTTCAGAGGTTTTGGATGGAGTAAGAAGAGTGTTGTGGCAATGTGTTTTATATGCAAACAAACTTCTTGCTGTCTTTGCTTGATTTTGAACGTTTGAATTTGCTTACCTTGCTGGAGTTGATTTGGTATTGCTTTCAATGAGAGATATTAGCACACTTTATTTAATTTTGAATGTATCCTTTTCAGTACGGAGGATACCCTATCCTCCAAAATCATTGTAATTCTTCTTTCCTAATTATATCTGGCTCTGTCCATATGAAATCTTTGATTAATTATCTCTTTGGCACACGATAGACATAGATTTGTTAAGTCCTCAATTTGTGTGTTAGTTATCCTTAACTCTTTAGTTATTTCACAGGAAAACCAAATTAGGATTCATCTTTGGTTTTTAATCCTTTTAACATCTTATCTTCAAACATTGTATTTGTTCATAAAACAGGATACAGGAGTCAAGGAGAAAGCTCATAAGATCTTCAAAAGATTTCCAATTCAAGGGGTGGTGTTGCAATGTTGGCTTCTAAAGAAATGATGAAATTCAAATCTTACCAGAACCGGGCTAATTTGTTCGTGAAGGAGTATTTGTTAGCAGACCCTCTGATTCCATACACCTCTATTATTGGGGGTATTTTTGCTTGCAAGATGGTATGTTGTGTTAAATTTTTTTGTCATTCTTTTATAAAGTATTTCACTTCACTTCTATCTTTATTTTACAATTTGTTTTTTTTTTTTCAGGTCTATGATCTTACTCAGCTTTTTAGCACTGTTCACTTTAAGAGCTATTCCAGCCTTTCTAGGATACAACGCATCGAGTGGAATAATCGGTGACTGGAATGTTTTGTGAAATGTTTTTATTTTGTTTATGACAAGATAATAGGCTCACAATTTTCTTACTATTATCTGTGCAGTTCTATGTCAACCATTCATGCTATTTTCGTAACAACTATGTCATTGTACTTGGTATTTTGCTCGAATCTATTTTCTGACAACTATTCTTCTGAACCCGTTCCATATCGAAGTTCTTCATTATCTACATTTGGTCTGGGGGTAAGAATAATGTAGACCTTTGCCAAATTTATTTGTGTTTTCTTTCTTTTTTGTTCTGTAATTTATCTTTGCACATCACTATTGTGATAAGATGAAGGGATGCCAATAAATCTAGTTCACCTAATCAATAGGATGAAGGATGGATCATGGAGTTTAATTGTATGCCAAGTAGGGAAAACTACGATGATCCAAAATGTGTGATTAATGTAATTAGCTTCATGGTGTTTGGATCTTAGACTGAACAAGTTAAATGGAAAGATTTTCATAATTTATGTATGTGATTAACCATATTATTCGAACCTGTTAACTAATATTAATCTCATCACACTTGTCATTTCTCTTCATTTATGTATTTCTGCCAATTCCCATTTAGTATTGTTTCTATAAATTGATAATAATGATTTACGTACTTTTATTTTCTTAATTTTCTTGATACATCCAATTGTAACAAAGACAATTATGTTTATAAAATATTTCTCAAGACTGTGGTAATAAATTTGTATTTTATTTTAATTTTGATGTGACAGGTGTCGATTGGTTACTTCATTGCTGATCTTGGGATGATATTTTGGTATTTTCCTTCCCTGGGTGGATATGAGTATGTAAGCATCTAAGCATCATATCTTTTGACTCAAATTATTTAAACCAACCAAACTTGTTCAACAGAACATCGATTTTATGTTATTTCCTATTTGGGAGTAGTTTGGTTTCCATTTTTTTTCCTTTGTTTGTGGGTCTTTTTGTGTCTAGGTCTGAATTTAATGTGACTTTATATTGACATTGATTTAGGTGATTCATCATCTGCTCTCTTTAATAGCAATAGCTTTTTCAATGACGAGTGGGCAGGGTCAGCTATACACATACATGGTCCTGATATCTGAGACAACCACTCCTGGAATTAATTTGAGATGGTAATCTACCACTTACATATGTACTCTGTCTTTTGTATAATTTATTTATTAATAAATATACTATGTTTGTAAATGGTAATCTACCACTTAAATATGTGTTTTGTCTTTCATTTATGATTGATTTATTAATGCATATGTTGTGAATAATAATATAATTGATTTATAAATACATATATTATGTTTGTGAATGGTAATCTATCACTTAAATATACACTCTGTATTTCATAAATTGATTTATTAATGCAAATAATATGTTTGTGAAGGTATCTTGATGCAGCTGGAATGAAGAAGTCGAGAGCTTATATAATAAATGGAGTTATAATATTTATTGCTTGGTTGGTGAGTAAAACTATTCCAATTTGAAATATATTTACGTCCCTCTTTGTTTAGACAAACTGTCTGAAATGTGCTTTCTTTCTGCAGGTTGCCAGAATACTTTTATTTGTTTACATGTTTTACCATGTCTACTTGCATTTTGATCAGGTAATAACTACTGATGTAATGAATTTCAGAAATTGTCAATTGTCTGGTAGATGTGGTGCTTTGCCACAAGCAGATGTTAGTCTTTTTTTTGTTGGCTAGTAATGTTTTGTTGCCTACTATACCTCTTTGAACGTCAATGTGTGTTTGATTGGGAGGGATGGGGTGCAAAGATCAGCATTTAGTACGGTAGTCTGTGTTCATTTGTAGTAGCATTTACATACCATTTACCTCTAAAGAATAAGATGACATTGATAGAACTTTTTTCAATAAAATTGCAATTTGACTCTTTTTAGCCAAGCCAATTTTTGTCATAGTAGATCATGATGTCAACTACTTGGTCATGAAATCTTCGTCCCAGAAGATAGTTGAAAATATAGCAAACACGAGATAGGGATTACGTAGTGGTTTATTGTGAGATGAGAGGACTGAATCATGACTCTTGCATTTTACAATCATAGTCAAGGCGAATGGGTAATATTTTCATTTTTGTAATAAATGCTACAGTCTTTCTTGCATGGGAATAAAAAAATGTCTTTTTTGTCTTCTAATTTCTGGTCAAGCAAACTGTTCTTTATAAAGCTTAGGATCTCACGTCATTCAATCATTCAACAGGTTGAGGAGATGCACATGATTGGACAAGTGTTAGTTATTGTTGTGCCGCTGGTGCTATCAATTATGAACTTGGTTTGGTTTTCAAAAATTATCAAAGGATTGAAAAAGACTTTGGCGAAGAGACAGTGAAAGTTCTGCATAGTTATAATTTAGAAAATGAATACAGGTGAATGATGTGTAGTGAAAGATGTAAACAGAAACAGTTGAAAGTGTTTGGATCCCCCGTGATCCGAACTTGTACAAATGTGTTCATTCTGCCCTTTTTTTATCCCCATTCATGTACATTTGCTGGTTTCATTTTATTATATTAAATGTCATGTATTTCGTTCCATTAATTTGGAATCTCAGTCAATTTCCGTCAATAATAAGAGTATTTGGATGACCTTTTTTAAACATAATCTTAAAAGAAAAAAAATAAATAATAAACCTGTTGCTGTATGCAAGATCCTGTTTTACTCTATTCAATCAACCTCCTGGGATTTATTTTTAAAACCTATCTAGACTTTCATTAAAGAATAAAGATGCATAATATATGAGAATTTCATTAAATTTTATGGCTTGATTGATGCAAGTGAAGAAGAAAGTTGCCCCAGCTCAATTAGATCAATCCTATTGTTATATTTTTTATAATTAATAATCTTCGTGTAAATTCTTGTATTATTATTATTATTATTATTATTATTATTATTATTATTATTATTATTATTATTATTATTATTATACAGAAGACAAAAGAGAACATTTTATGAAGGTTAACAAGCCTAGCTAATAAAGAATACAACAATTAATCAAGTATGAGCCTAAAATGTTAATAGTAATTAACTAGTGTAGCGCATGTGTAAGTAAATAAAATTAGAATGAACATATTCAGATTGTTAGGTCTAAGTTAATATAATTATTTTCAAATGAATGCGTAGAAGTAGAATCAATAGAATGATTAGCAGCTGCAGTTGGTGAGGAAAAATGAATCACGTCTTTGCTATTCTCTCTTGGCATCATGGAAATCAAAGGCGTGCTAAAGGAAAATGATGGATTAAGAAAACTTTCTTCTTCATTTGACATATCATCACTTAGCAACCATGCTCTTGAATGGGGTTCCTGCAAGGTTCCACTGTATATTTTTAAAACTGTATAAACATATATGAATTATCATGTAATGAACACATGTCTTTTGTTTTTGTTTTTTTTAATAAAAATGTTAAATTTTAATATATGCTGTAATCATATTCGTTTGATCAATCAATAGTATATGTTATGTGAGCATTCCTGATGCTTTCACTCTTTTATTTGGCACATAATACAAACTAAATAAATGCACATTTTCTTCTTTAAAAATATACTAAAAAATGTGTGATTTAAATAAAACCATTAATAACTGAAGTCTTATTAATAGAAAATAAACTAGTGTGAAATGTGTATGCTCGTGGTATTATTTGATATTCAACTTTTAATACCGATAAAAAATAAAAATGTTTGGAGTAAAGGAGTACACAAAAATTTCCATTCGATTACTTAATTTTGTCCGAAAGATTACATTACATGATTTTTATACAACATAAGATGGTCAAATAGTTTAAAATAAATACCTGGTTTAGGTCATAGTCAGTTTCTTCACTGCTTTGCGAAAGCCCATTTTTGTTGTCTAAGAGATGAAGTTCTCCCTTCAGAATTATCCTGCTTACATAGTTTGATACTCATTAAGTTTTTTTTTTTTTATATATATTAAAAGGATATGAAAAAAAATAACTTATTCATAAAGTGACAAGTATTCATGATTTTAATAGTATCAAAGATATTACATATGTAAATGATACCTTCCATTTGTATAATTTAAGTTAAAACTAAAAATTACCAGGATTTATGTTTTACAAGAAGTATATTATTCATTTTAGTTAAATGTTACACATTTAATTAGTACAAAAAAAATTATGGTTTTGATACATATTCAAAAAATTTAAAATATTTATGAATAATAATAATAATAATAATAAGATAGTTTCTTATCATATTAGTTATAATTATATCTTTTTACTTGTAAAAGCTAGCTCAAGAAGAAATTAAACTTGTCCCGATCTTAAAAGTTAACTAATCTAAGACACACACTAACCAAGAATTTTGAAAATGAGTGATGGTTATTACCTTTGGGTTGGAGCAATGGAGAACACTTCCAAATCATTTGCATTTCCTTTCCTGTTTCTGTACATCTATCAAAACCCATTTCTCTTCCATGTAAGAAAACTTTTTCATAATTCAAAATTTTAGAAAGGAAATATACACATAACATTACAATTAATTTACTACCATTCTTGTGCTTCATCACTACATTTCTGAGTATAAAAAATATTACTAACAAGGATTTCTGCTTTAATCACAGTACGTACTGATCAGAATCTAATTTCTCACTTCTCAAATAATTTGAATAGAGAACATAAAAATGTATGACTAGTTAGCCACCCTATGGCTCTGAACTCTGCACAGTGATGCTGCTTCGTTTATTCATGATTAAATTAGTTTCTCATATCTCTAAAATTGATGATATTTTCAAAAAAGATGAGCATTTTTAATACTCAAAATTCTACATATGATTGTGCTTTACCTAACGGGGAATTTGTGATCAGCTCAAGTATATTTATGAACAGCTTAATTAATACTATATATATTGTCATTTTAAAAGAAGTCTCAATGTGCTTTTGTTTCTTCATCAGCAATAATTGAAGTAACTTTAAATATATTTGGTTTAGGTTATTATTGCCTCAAGAAATTGGTGCCAAATTATTTAATATATATATATATATATATATATATATATATATATATTTATGTATATATACACATGTATATATGTATATGCTGCATACCTGAAGATGGCTTTTGATGTGAGCGATCCTCAGTCCTCTCACACGCATCTGCTGCAAAATTCTCTTAGGAGTTGCCTCTGCAAAACCATTTTTCTCGATTTTTATTATTTGCAGTTTAATTTACCATCTCAATTTGCAAACAGTTCCTTCCCACCTTATTTGGAATCATATTTGACACACACACACACACACTATAGACACACAAAGAGAGAGAGAGAGAAGAAAGAGATGAAACGAGCAAATCGAAGCAATCCAGAAATGAAACTCAGACATGCAGAAAAGTGAGTCAGTAAAGCAAAAAGGTTAAGGAGTCAAGGAAAGTTCCAAGGTTGGATCAGAAGAAATCAAAATGAAAAAACGGTGACTTTTCTATCACAATCAAATGCTTTCATTAACAGAATTTTGATGCTTAATGTAAGGCCCTATATACATAATTTACTATAAACCCTAGCTAACCCTAGAATTAGAATATGTTTTTATATGAAGGAAATTAAACTTAACTGTGTTTTCCACCTAGACTTTGAATAGCTTCAACAAAGTGTTGATGGAGTTGGGGTGTCCAACGAAGGCGTGGAAGTTCAGATTTGTTGTACTGCCTCACACTTGTCTCACAATTTTCCATTTTCCTGGGCTTCACCTTTTCACATATGTGAGGTTACGGCATAGATTGAAGCTGAAAGCAAATAATAAGAGTGGTTTCACACCTTCAACACTTCAACACTTCAATGTGAATGCTGCAGAGGTAGCAACCTCTACAAGTCTATGGCCAATGACTTTTCATGACATTGAATTAAAGGGATTCCCAAAACCTAAGGCGTGTATTGCACTAAAATTCATGTTCCCTATTTTTCAAAGAATTAATCGCTTTTGTTATGTCCTATTTCAAATTCACAATTCAAGAGAATGAAACGTGCTTTTAAAAAGCTGATATATGCGTTAGATTCCACCATCACTGCTTTCACATTCCTATTTAACACCAGAGAGAACTAAACATTCTCAAAGCATTGATTAACAAATATAACAAGTGAATTTTTTATAAAAAATATGAATTCAATATAATCTACTATAACAATCTAATTAATCATGAATTGTCAAATAATAAAAATATATCAACGTTATTTTAGGTTAAACATAATATCATATTATTTTATAGGATTTATTCATATCTCATGATGAATTTTCAATATTAAACTCTCGAAAAATAATTAATAATAATGTAAACTTTTTATTAATAACTTTTTGTTTCAGAGAGAAGGTGAAATAGTTGTTAAAAGAGGAAGAAAAAATGTGTTGAATTGTGGATGGAGATTGATGTCAATTATCGACGGTGCCGACTTTTGGAGGCGTATTTGTCTTCCTTCTTCTGCCGTGTTCGTCACTTTCTTCCATCAAAATTCAAACAACATGGAAGGAGAATTTGAAGCCTAGAATTCAGAATTTCCATAAAAAGCTCGTGATCATTAAATAGTCTAAAGATGGTACCAATTCAACGATCCCATGCACGTAAATGTAGAAAAAAAATGCATGCAAGACAAAGCATGTTTTAATTTCCTCATTCACACCTTTTTTTTTTCAAGTAAAAAAATATGTATAAACATATATAAGAAGTGTTAAACAGTATAATTAAAAATTAATATCTAAATTATCCATTTTAAGTTATAATATATATAAGAATGGATATAACATGAACAAGTCAAAATCACTTAATACAAATTAATTTTCTCTGATAAGCAATATTATGTTTATAGGTAGATCTTGATTATTAATTTTGAGATGGTCAAATAATATATTATTATAAAAAAATATATAAAAAGATGAAAAAAATGAAATAGTGAGAAAATAAAATTATAAATGTATAAATAAATATATAAAATGATTATTAAGTTTAGAAAGATAAAATCATAAATTATATATTAGTTAAAATTAAGATTAAACAAAAATAAAAAAATAAAATTATAAATATATTAAAATTTGAGGAGTGATACAAAATTCTAGGTAACGACTACTCTTCTTTCTTCTTGGAACATGTGATTTGAAATGAAACGAAGATGGATGTGATAGAGAATTAATGCGTGTTGACACTCTGAAGCATTCTACCATCCATCCCTTTCAATTCAGGAAGAAAGCTAAGTGAAGTTTAAATTAATGTTTAGGAAACCTAAAGAATAGTTAATTTAGTTTAGTTATGTTGATGAAAAATCACTAACCAGTGCAGAGAATTTTGAAGATATAACGAAAGTTCTCTTAAATAAAATATTGTTATATTATAATATTATAAGTTATTCTCCTTTGATTTATTATTATTTTATCGTTTATCTTTAAATATACTATTTTATTATTTAAAAGTTAACTTAATTATTAAAGTGATTTTTTAGGTGAAATATTTGTTTTTTTTAAATGTTATTTTCAATTATCTTAATATCGTTAAAATATGATATGTAGTTGATTTTAATCTAATCTCATTTTCTCTGGTTGAACCTCCAGAAATAACGATATAAATTAAAAATATAATAATATTATAATATTAAAATAAAATTAATATAATATTTAATAAATTGATTTTATAAGATTCAATATATTTCTATATTTTTAATAGATTTAAGTATATCTAAATTAAACTCTTTTAAATCTGAGTTAAAAAATACACAAATAATACATAATATATTATATCTTATGAACCTGTATTTTTTTTTCTCACTTTAACTTTCGGATGAATCATCGTACTCACCCTTCACTTCTATTACAGTTTCGGATGACTTATTAGATCGAGAAAAAAATAATTCGAAGAATTAAGATAATGATAATTGGATTAATTTAAATTTGAAGTAAAATTGACCAATAATAAACTAACTAATTCAACCTAATTTATCAAATTTATTAGAATAAAATAATATTTAAGAACAAAATACAAAATTTAAATATATTCGTGACAAATTTTAAAATAATAGTTACAAGTGAATATAACAAATGATGTTATATTCGTGACAAAGCTCAAATTATAATTCTCCATGACCCAAAATTCAGTTACCCGACCCGAATTTATATTCATTATATCGTTGTAATAATGAATTAAAACGATCCGACCCGTACTCGGTTATCGAGATTTACCAAAGCGTAAAAAAAAGCTAATGCTGAAGACACGGCGTGGAGCGGTGGGAACAGTCCTCCTTGGACCTCTCATTTGCCATCAACAATGACATCGCTAAAATCCAATCTCTCTGCGTCCAGATGGATCGCTTATGCCGCACATCAACGTTGTCAAATTCACTCACATTTCTGTTTCTAAAACACTTTAATTCTAATAATTTGGATGCGATGCGATGCTTCGAAACAAACCGAGGGAATGAATGCGCTTCGAATCACGTGCTCTGGTTGGAAAATTGCCAGTTTTTGTGTTTTGTCACATGCGTTGAAGTGCTAAGGTTTTCAGACATTGAAATTAAGGGATTAATACTTCTAATGGAAATGCTGATGCACATGAGTGATCAACATTATGTCGTTTCTGTTTGTTTTAGTGTCTAGATATTGAGTTTGTGATGTTTTTGTGTAGAAAAGTAGAACAGATAGGTGAAGAGACTGAGTCCTTGGGAGAAAGTTTGGATAAATATAATTTAAGGAATCAGAAACGGATCTTGGAAGCTAGAGAGAGGAAATTGTAGGACGAGCTGTGTGTAATTGCTGGCTGTGACAATCTGGTTCAGTGAATCAATGTTTCTTTAGCTTTGCTACATAACTCATTTTGTTAATTTGGATGTGCTAGAATGGGGATTCCAGTCATGTTTGGAGAATTTTTTTATGAGGAGGCATAAGCAATGTCTATCCATGGCTCTCCGCGCGAAAATGCTAATGCAGTTGGGGAAGCCATTTTCTCGACAATACATGGACAAAGAGAAGGCTTGAAGGCTGAAGGATAGCACACCAAACACTGTTAGGATATTTGATCAGTTTTAGCTATGACGTCTTCTCTTTTCTGTGGTTTTCCTTCTCCAGAAATTTTACATGGTAATTGTCTAAATACTATCTATGTTCCAAAATATTGACATCTTAACTCTTCCTTTGCTCTAGTTTTCTTTAATTGAAACTAATTCTTACTACACTATTCACCCACCCTTAACAGTTTTCAATTGCTATGTGCTTTATCTATCTTTTGTTGGTTTTGGTTTTCTTAGTGAAGTTTAAGTTTTTGTTGAAAGTTAATTATTACCAAGCCTCTATTTTAATAATGTTAATTCTAGTAATGATTAGGGTCCATTGGTATTACTTTCAACAACGTTGCTGATATACCATTCTGTTTGATATATATGTTGGTGCAGAGTGCTTATAGAAATGCATTAGATGTTCTCAATAGAGTGGAGATAGTTGAAAGACGTAACCGTGTTGATCAATGGGTCAAATATGGAGGGATGCTACTCACCGTCATTTTCTTGTTTGCTTTTATTTTGTGGGGACATTTACAGGGTCAGGTGTTGAAAAACTGACTTGTTTGTAATTTTCTCTATGGAAAGAATATAAAATTTAGAGTTTAGGATGCTTAGGAGAGCAGTTTTTCGACCAGAGAAAAAAAAATTCTTACAACATGGCAGTTGTAAAGCCTACAGCACAACATATCGTTTCTCATATGATTTCATAATAAAAGGTTTTATTAATTATTCTAAATTCTACTCTTCATGTTAAACGTTCGCACTAGAATTGAACAAGTGTTGAGGATGGCAGGTATTTACAAAATTTGACTGGTTATACAAACTGAGGGAATTAGTGAACCAATCAAACTTCAATCTTAAATCACCCCTCAATTGTGTCGGGAGTCCAACACAAACCTGCTGACCAAGATTTTTCGTTTCGACACTGCATCGCATACCATTGTTTGCCCAATGAACAAGAAGGCTATATCTTCTAACTGAAATTTTCACTGCTGGGATTTCTATTCGATATAAGCTTCGGTGAATACTGAACATTCAATCAACTTGCCTTTGTATTTGAACCATTATCGTCAGAAAGTGGGGATCCCAGTTCTTGTTTCCTAGGTTTTAGAAGGCCCAGAGTTTTGGCGGCCATCATAATTCATAAGCTCTACAAGGGATCCTTTTGGTCTCTTTCCAAATCGCCTAGTTACTGGCTTGCCTAAAGTTGTAGCATTTACCATAGTGGTTACTGAGTCCGCACCTTCTGAAATTGCTGGCACACCAATGCACCCGTCACAAGACAGAATACAAACTATTGCATGCATAGAAGCCGCCAAGATGGGAGGAAGATCATTCCTTGGATGTGTCACCTAAAGAATGTGTCAAGAATGTTATACGAACAGGAATGGCATGGATAAAACACAAAAGTGAAAAGCAAAAGTATGATTTGTTTATTTACTTTGTATAAAATTGCTGCTGATAATCGCTCTCTCAAGCAGTATAGCTGAGCAACATCAATTGCTGTTGAACGAAAATAAAGCCAACGGTCCATGATTACTTTAACCATGTTATCAGGAGAAGACATCAACTTATCCTCACGGCCTCCACTGGACTTGGCATCTAACTCCATCCCATCTTCACTTCCAACTTCATCTTCACTCCCTCCTGCATCATCCTCATCCCCATCGTCATTTTCTTTTGCTGGAGCAACTGCAATCTCTGTTGAAAGCAGCAACAGTGGAAGTGGTCCAACGACTGTGCAGTTCCTTATGTTCATACCCACGTCACCACGAGTAATCTCATCGTACACAATTAAAGAGTGATCTAAATTTTTCTTGAATGACAACTTGAAATTTGTAGAATGATTGTGCAAGCGAACTTTATCACCACTTGCTGTTTCAACTATAAACCTTTTTCCACCTTTATTTTGTATAAATCTCCCAACCATTGGATATAATCCTGCAACCAAAACCGCATGGAGCACACCAACCTCAGATGCATTCACACTGTAACTTGAAGCATCTTCATGGATAAACCCATTTCGAATTAGTTCCGCCTGAAGTTGCCTGCGCATGCCAGATAACATATGCATGGCACTTGAAGACACAAAATACTGAGAACAAAACCGTACTTCTAGACCCATTTGCTTTGAATTATTCCAGCATTCGAATGCAGCCAATACAGCAAACTGATCACCACAACCCCCATATAAAGAAGCAAGCTCAGATTTAGCAGCTGCAGCTCTTTTCTTTTCGTCTGGTAACATTGGAAGTGTAAATGGATCTCTATACTCAGATGCGCACGCAAGAGTTAAAGCTGGATCAAGGCATTTCATCAGTATAGCAAAAAAAAGCATTCTGCAGATTGATGGGTGAACAGGAAGAGAACCAAGCTTCTCCCCTAGTTGGGTGAGCTTTTCATCATTTGAAAATGCCCCAATCTCTTGAAGAACTGTAATAGCATTGCGTATGGACTCAAAAACTGGAGGATCTAACGTCTTGGATAGAAATTCTTCTACTTTGCAATTTGGATCTAGCAACTTTACCTGTCACAATAGAGAGAAAAAACCAAAACTAACGTGAGGGGATATTTTTTTGTCTAGTTTCATTTTCATATAGAATACGTCCATTGATACCCTGCTTGTACCCAAAAGAAAAAAAATAAAAGCAACACCCTTAGGAAGGTGCTTGTCTACTTTTAAAACTAATTTAAATTTGTAAAAGATGAAACTGGTAACACAAACCTACGTAAAAATATACTTGTTCAAAATTAAGTTCGGTTAGGTTTAAAACTTATTCAAACTGATTCTCAAATCAGAAATAATGAGTTGGCGACTCCTTGACCTTCAGTAAATGAGTCGAACTGCTTTATCTAATCTAACAAGTAACAACCAAAACACATATATAATGCAGAGGAGAAATGCTGTTAAAACTAGAGACATATCTTTACAAAACCTTAACCTTAGGCAACAAATATCATAGACACCAATTTCATCAAACAATACAATAAGACCCTTCACTGCTTTCACATCCAAAACAAGAAAGTTGTGTCCTTCACACAAACCAGTAATCAACCAATTTTGCACAAATAAATTCATAAAAATGCAGAAGTTTGAATTTAGCATTACAAAGTAACTAATTTTTTTATTTTCTAAATTCTCACGTTGACACTCTAAGGGGGAATACAAGAGAACTTTTTACTATTTTATCAATCAGTATATAACAAGCACCAAGTCACCAATCAGGGAAGACAGAATACCTGCAGACAAAGCTCCTCAATAGGTATTCTCCTAATTTCTGGAATTTGAAAATCTGGCAAGGAAGCTGCTCGAGTCCTTGAGTAAAGATGATAACATATTCCAGGTTGACAGCGGCCAGCTCGTCCCTCTCGCTGCTTAGCACTTGCTTTTGAAATCCAAGATGATTGAAGGGTTGACACATTGTTATAAGGATCATAACTTTTTTCTTTCATTCGTCCAGTGTCTATGACATACACTATATCATCAATGGTGATAGCCGTTTCAGCAATATTTGTTGACAGTACAATTTTGCGGCAACCATGAGGTGGGCGCCTAAAAACCTTCTTTTGTTCCATGCTCGGAACCATTGAATGCAGAGATATGAGCATAAACATTGAGGTATTCTTAAAAAACGATGATGCAAACAAATTCTCACGTGTTCTATTTATTTCATCCCAGCCTGGAAGAAAAACAAGGATTCCCCCATCTGTTGAATCAATACATATTTTTCTTATCAGCTGCTCTATCAAAACAACATCAACAAGTTCTGGGTTGACTGTTGATAGATATTTATCAAGTAGCTTCTTCTCTTCTGTGGAGTTGCAAAAATCTTTGTCCAAGTGCTTCTTCAAAATTTCGGCTGCTTCTAGTTGGTTTTGCCTTTGAGCGATCTCCAGTGCAGTCATTCCATTCTGGTCCTTTAAATAGCAATCTGCCCCACAAGATAAGAGCATGCACATTTCACCCACTTTACCTTTCCCAGCAAAGACCATTAATGGAGTAACGCCAGTTAAAGAATGTTGGTAATTAAAGAGTTCTGGTGTTCCTTCAGAAGAAACCAACTCTAACAGCGTGTCCCACTCATCATTAGACCAAGCCAAATTAATAGCTTCATCGATAGAAAGTTTCTCTTCTTCACTTAGCTGAGTAGTGTTTATTGAAGTACTACAAGTGGTACTATCAAGATGATTATCATTCCTAGATTTTACAATAGAAAGTACATCCTCCAAATAGAAAGTTTTCACCTGAAGAAAGATTGGGTAGACATTGCAGTAAGTAACATGTCACAAAGTATTAGCTAATTACAGTCTATTACTATATAACTACCGGATAAGTGAAGCCCGGAACACTGATGATTGGGCAGCTCCCAAAATATTGAGAAAATCTCACAGCATCAATAGTGGCACTCATTAATATCTGTATATTAAATCACCAGAAGGTTAAAAATGGGAACTAACATAATTATAGACTAAACATGCACTTGACGGGAGGCAGAAAAATAGAGACAAAAATATATAAATCTAATAAGTTTGAACTGACCAGACGTAGATGAGGATGTGAAGGGAGCATGTCTCTGCATTTAGGTTAAAGAAAAGAGATATTAGGTGCAAAATATCTCAAACAAGCTTAGTCTACAGCCCAATTTTCCTCTCAGTTACGCAACATGTATTTATACATTTGTATTTAACTACAACACACTAGAGAGTAAAGGCCAATAGTTTCATTTCAATGGTATACCTGATGATTGCTAACATGAAGTCTGAGTATCGATCCCTTTCATGAATTTCATCCTAAACAAAAAATTAACGTCACCTCAGTTTGTGATGCCTACTTTTCAAGGATTGTATGCACAGGATATGCTTTATACATGCCAAGGCATGTGATGCGGATATTCAGAAGAGATAATATATGAAAACAATTGAATTCACTTCTCACTCTTCTCAACAAAGACTTTAAGAGAATAATAAGAAAGTTTCAAAGTACATTTCACCTCAAAATATTACATCTATCACAGCATTGTTATGGATACGCATTGCTCAAGTAACCATCAGAAAACCATTTATTTGAAGTCTGATATGGTCCATGTAGTTACAGCCACCATTTAGTAACTGCTTTATAATCTTTCACATAAAACTTCTACCAATATGCAATCATTAAATCAGTGATAACTTTTCTTGTTTTAAAATTTATTAAACAATATCAAGTTTTACTACTTTCACCCAATGCTATAATAAAAACTGTCTTGGACTGGCTGGTCAAATAATGTGTGATATAATCAAACCAAGTTAGTTACTGTATTGGAGATGTTATAGAATCAATGTGACCTGGCATGACTCAGGTGGTTTTTCAGGCTAAACCATTCCAAATGAACCAATGACCGGGAGGGTTTCTAACTGGATCGGTGTATTCATGTGTAGTGATTTTTTTAAAAATAGTATGAATTTACAATCTTTCAAAAAAAGAAATTATATAGGTTATAAATGCTTTCAAATATTTTAAATATACAATAGTTCATGTGATTGTACCAATGACCCAATAACTGAGTATTATAACTATTCCGTCTAAAAACAAAAGTGTCTCACTCTTACGTTCGTTACGATAACATCGTTAGGATCAATTTTCATGTGCGAGATATTGTCCGTTTTGGAGTTTTAAACCGTCATGGTTTTGTTCTTAAAAGACATCTTGATGGGTTAAGAGATAAGGGGGTATATAAACTACCATTGACTTCGATTATTAAATGTGTAAGACTCATAAGCATATCAGAACAATAACCAAATAATGATCAAGTTTAAGTGTAATAACATATCTTTTACCATTTACTTCCAACCATATAATAGAAATCATGGTGACATCATCATTAATGAGTAGTGGTATAGTCACTTCACTCAAACGAAAGGGAATTTGTTCAAAGGTCAAGCCAAATTGATATAAATGATTAGGCAGCTTTGCAAATCAAGGGATTGTTGGTTGAAAAAACATTTTTTGTTTTCAATTTTAAGAATAAAAATGTCAAATGGTTTTTACTTTTTCCGGAAATTCAAAAGTTTGTATAGAAACACTGAAATCATTTTTTATTATTTTCTGTTTTCACAGTTTCCTATACAAACTTCTGAAAGCAGAAAACAACAGTTAACAAATTGACATTTTTCTAATTAAAAGTGAAAACAGAAACACATTTTCTCCAACCAAACATCTCCTAATTTTACAGCAATTTCAAAAATCATGTTTCAGATTCTAACAAGTTGTCCCCATCAGTTCAAGTTTTCAATTAAACAATTTATCTGAGAACTTACCAGTCATACCTAGTAACCAATTTTTTGACCATTCAAATAGTTCAATAAATGAAAAAATGTGATATGGAAGAATCCAAAAACGTAAAGCATTTGCCAAAAGTTTAAGTATCACACTTATATGCTCTAGCTGAAGATCAAAAGTAATTTACAAAAGTACCATAATTATGTGAGTGATTCCAGAAATGTCATCCTTCATGTGCCCTTTCTTAGACGAATGAGAACCTTTGGAAACCAAAACCCTTAATAGCACTCCAGTAGTACATAGCACAATTGATGATTGCCTTCCTCCTCTGCTTTCTAACCGTATCTGGATTTTTTTGTTTAAAATGTAAGACACGGAATTATATGTTCATGAGATGTAAGCCACTAGAAAAGCTAGTAATGTTCTACTAAGAAGAAAGGCAAACAGTGCTTCAAAAGCGACTGATATAACCACCATAGGATATTGAATGTTGAAGGGAAAAAAAGTCATACTTTGTTGTGAGTGTATGGGAAAACAGAAAAAGATATTTGTTGATTGAAATAAGAGAAAAATCATACTTCGTTACTAATGCATTTTATAGATTTCCTACTTGGTACCAAAAACAAGGTGCGTTGTCAGTGTAATACACAAATGCAATAAACTAGTCCGATTATGATAACAGAGGTCAGTGTTCAAACAAATATTTCAATACAAAATAGATCCAAATAAAGGATCATAGTACCATTGCTACACCAAAGATACATAAATAAAATTACCTTATATCCCACATTTTCTCCAATAGTCTCTCCTCTCTCAGTGGCTATTCTCTCAGAAACTATACATAGAAATAGCCGAACAAAACACATCTCAATTAAGACTTAAAAAGGAAGATTGGAAATTAAGTCCGAAATCCCATAGAGTTGCACACCTGACATTGCAGAGATCCGTCGCGGCTGAGTACAAACTATTTTACATACCTCTCCCTTACCCCACATATGATCCAAAATAAACTGCGGGACCTGAATCATGTTTAATATCAAGTTAAAGCAGGAAACAAAAAAAGAGAGATAAATGCATTGCAAAGCATGAAAGACCTTGGTCCGTATACAATGGTGGAATTATAGATGGGTGAAATCCAAAATCATAAGCATCAAGAAATTATCAGTGTGTCCACAGTTATCAAAGCTTGAGCCAATTAGTCTAAATTGAGGATAAAAAAAGCAAGTGCTTTAGTGCAAAAATGGAAATATGGGTGTTAATTCGTATCACAATTTTCGAGCATACACACTAAAAGGACCAATCATAAAAACATCAACACATGACCAAAAAATAATTATTTAGAAACAGTCCCAAACAAGTTACATGTAAATGTAGCTGTACCATAATAAAGACAAGGCAAAAGAATTGGTAACCTGCGTAGTCTTTCCACAGCCAGTTTCACCAGATATGAGAACTACCTGCTTTGAAATACATGGAAGGAATATTGAGACCAAAACACATGCAAAAATCTAATATGCAAATTAAATTTAATTGACGTATAGAAATGCAGTAAAACTAAAAAACTCAACTATGTGATTTGATATATTTAACATGTCAATGTGAATCATATAAATTATAGTGCAATCAACACCCAAGCTACCAAGTAGATTCATATCCAAAGGCAAATTTACAAAGCAGAATTTTAAATTAACCTGGTGATTTTCCACAGTTGATGTAATTGCATCCTTGAAAGATGCAATTGGAAGCTTAGATCTATCTTCAATGATCTGCAAGAATGGAAGCCAGACAAATGATTCAATAACAAGACAACCTTTGCAGATACTACCCATACAGTGGAGTGGAATAATAGAAAATCAACATTCTGTTGTGTAGCTGTCTATAGAAATACGGGAGAAAATAGGTCAGGTACCTGACTAGGACATCAGGCAAGTCAAGGCCAAGGCTTTCATGAAAGACTATGTATTTAGTTAAAAAGTTCAGACTTTATGTCATTCAAAATGTCTTTCAGGCGAACAAGTCAACCTATTTAACTACATGTAAATATTAATTTTTTCTTAATATTATTATTACATTACATTTTTTATTACGTATTGAAATCATTTACTTATTTATTTAACACTTCAAATGTCAAGTGTGTTATTAAAGGATATATTTATACCCTATTTAGAGACCTTATTGCAAAAGAGACCTTAAATAAGTTGGACTTGACTTGCTAATGTCTAAACAACCTATTTCAACCCTATCTCATTCCTTGAATATTAGTGGTTTTAGTTATCATAGTTTATAGTTTGTTTTAAAGAATTTTTTCCTTTGACTATTAAATGTTTCAACATATTTAAGGATATGCCAAATTTATCTATAAACTTTAATATGAAATACGATTTTAAATAGGCTACCAACCTAAGTCAAACTTTCAAAAACGCCAAGTGAAGCATTAAAAAAAGGCTGTAACATGTAAGACCTTGAATATTTTTAGAATGTCAGGAACATTTAAACAAAGTCTTGTTTGACCTACCTTATTTTCATCCCTACAAAGAAATGATTAGCTATACACACGGTCAACAACCACTACATGACTCAAGATTGATAAATATGAATGCCCCCATAAGAGACATTCATAGGCAATGAATAAAATTCTATAGTTCAGGAAAGGCCTATTGTTCATCGAAAAAGGAAAGCAACCCCTGGAGGTTCACAGAGGTGCAAATTATGAAGGATAGGCTATTGATAAAATATCCAAATCGGGGCATTGCACATTCTTGGATGGTAACTCACATGGAAAAGCAAAAAATAAAAACATTCTTGCAAGGTTGAGTGTAGAGGTAAAATTTTGACCTACAGAAAAGGGCTTGTGAGCTATTATGGATGAAAATTGTACTTTTAGAGCTCAATAAAAAATGAAACTCCTATGAAGCCATTTTGTGACAATAAATCAACATTAGCATGGGACACAACATAATTCTTCACGATAGAACACGGCATGTAGAGAAGGACCAACACTTTATCAATAAGAAGCTGGATGGTGATCTTATAGCTATAACATATGTCCATTTAGGGTTTCTATAAGTTGATCTATTAACTAAGACACTTCTCACAGAACCCTTCCAAGATTTTACTAGCAAATTGGGAATGATAGGTAATCTATTCATCAACTTGAGCGGAAGTGTTGTGTAGTAAGATCAACTTGATTTCTCTAATTAAGACAAATTTAATTCGTTCTCTCTCTCTCTCTCTCTCTCTATATATATATATATATATATATATATATATTTGCCAATCCTCCCCTGATTTCCTGGGAGTTAAATTAGATCCTAAACCCAAATTTTAAGATGGTGTTAGAGACTATCATAAATCCATTGCTAGGCTACCTGCATGACAATGCTTCGTTTGGAGTGTCTCAAAAAGGACTACCAACAGTGGAGCTGACAAAAAATTCTGAATGAAGCATCATAGTGTGGAGTATACAGTTTTGCAAGACTACGGATATATCCTGAGTAATGCTTATAAGGCTGGGGTAGTTCTTGCCTTCAAATCCAGTTTTGCAAGTCTAAGTTAATCCCTAAGTCCAAATTCTAAGAATGTGAATAGTCACTGCTACCTGTTGCACCATTTTATTACTAGTGAAATGGTATACAGTTCTGTCATTTCAAAGTCAACTCTAAACAATAAAATTCATATATATAGGTTTACCAAAAAAATTCATACATGTAGGTTTCTGAAGTTGAAAGGCCATGGAAAGAAAACAAACCTGTTTCAAGTTAGAGACGTTGTTAATTCTAGAAGCAAGAGCTTCCAACCTCCTAGCAATTTCAGCTTTGGTCATAGAGGGCCTGCGGAAAATATCATCCTGCTTCTGTTTTGTTTTGTCAGTAGAGGTGCCACTATTTTCTCCAACCATCTCCCACAAGTCTCTATCACCAGGAGGATAATGAGCAAATAAATCACCCAGCACCCACTTTGCCTCTTCAGAAAATGTGAAATGAGGAAGACTTCCAAACCCATTATTAGTGTCAGACTTCTTTTTTATTTTTTGAACAGACACTCTTCTGTCCTTCCCAAGTCTACACAAAACACAGGCCCAATGTAAACAACAAACACCCAATCAAAAGTACTCCATTACCAACTATTCCATTGAAGAATTGTGACCATAATTCTTATAAATTTAAAAGTGCAATTAAACACGACGTGCTTTCATTAACACTCACCCAGAACTTTTAGATCTAAACCCCATTTTAAGGGACATTTGATGCACCAAAGCACGCTCTTGGTTGGACAAACCAGCATCAAACTGGTACACTGCAGAAAAACAAAACAAACCCAGATTTCATTAATGGATACACCTATGCAATCATCATCCTTCCTAGACAGATTTTGAGTAGGTCACGAACTACCCAACTCAAACTTCACAACAACAAAAATACTGCAAATATCCAATCCAAACGAAACATCCAAAACATTCAGGAAAGAGAGGGGGGGACGGGGGCATTGAATGTTGGTGGGCAACCTTCATCTTTGGAAGCTCGGAACTGTTCTAGAATCTGGGAAATGCGAATCCTGGTGACTTCATCAACTTTGGGGGTTTGGCGGTGAAGTGCTTCTCCTTTCTTCTCTCTTTTGTTGATCATCGTTTCCAATGAACGAATCCAAGTGGCGAAGTTGTTGCAAGCGCCGCTGCTATTGTATTTCTGTTGGGTGTTTCAGTTTTTGTTGCTGATTTTATCAAAATTTAAATTGTTAAAGGTTAAATGTTTTGCATGAGAGGGTTCTATCTACAAAACCTATGTGTATAAAATAAATAACGTTTACGAGTTTTATTTTCTGTGGTATAAATAATCTATGTTTCGGGATATTAATCTTTTAAATAAATTGTAATGTTTCGATAGATTAACTAAATAATGTTCTCTATGCCTAGATTCAAAATCTTGGCATTCGAAAGTGTTTCCTTATCTGCTGTTCCATTTATCTGTTCCTTCAACTAAATATATTTTTTATTTGTATATTTGTTTTCCTTTGCAACTATTTATTTTAATTGAAATATACGAGTAAAATGTTTTAAATTGACACTACTCAAGAAGATAGTTTTAGATTTTAATTTTAAAAATGTGTCAAAGTAATTATACTGTATGTTTTTTAACAAAATTGCTCTTTTCCCTTAAGTTTTAATTGATTGAATTTTTGTTGGGTGGATTTGTAAATGAAATCAAATCTAGTTTCATATTTATTTTTTATTTATTTAAAATTTCTTTGAACTTTTGTCTTTATCAAGTGAAAACCACTCAACTAAAATTCAGAAGTAGAATTTATTTTTGAAGGAATATATCAGGATGATTTATATTTTTAGTGCGATAAGAATAAAATATTGAACAATATTGTAACAAATGATTTATAATATAAATTTGCAAAAATTTCATTGAATAGTTCAAAGATTTTCTGAAAGAGAATGTCAGGATTAAATTCATTCAAAAAAAAGAATATTAAATTCCTCGTAATTGTATTTTTATAGAAGACTTCTTTTATTTTTGTATTATTATTATAACATAATAGTATCAACCATACATGTTAGAAACTGATTATATCTAATATCACTTTCTTTTGCATTTATTTTTTACTTATGTTTAACAAATAAAAATCATACTAATATAACTAACCCGTGCACGAAAGGTCATGTTCATACAAGGTCCCATAAAAAAGAAAGGTAATATTGTTGTTGTCTTTTATAGTCTTGAGTCACTCTTACCGTGTGCCAAAACATCTTCATTTTTATTCCATAGTTTGTGTTTAGGAGTGTGGTTGATGGTTCAAGTAAAGAATGTTTTGCATTCCATTTAAAAAAAAAAAAAAATGCTTTAGCGTAAAATTCACGACTTGTGATTGTTTGTTTCCTTACGAAAAGGATAGGACAGATAGCAGTAGAAGGATTGTATGACACGAAAGAGAAGGAAATCTGGCAAGTCCCACCAATAAAAGTAAACATCTTAGGTGAAAGTTAGTGTAAAAAGAGAAAATGTATATGAATATAACAAGTAAAACTAAATAAGATCACCTCGTCAAAGAAAAAAGAGAAAAAATATAGTCTCCCGATTTATTGAATCTGATTCAATTGGGAATATTTGTTTGAAAGTTCTTCAGTACCCCTAATAAATCCCTCCTCCCTGATAGATATCCTTCTCCATTTTCATTCACTCCTTGAAAGAAAATAAAATTAAAGGTAGTAATGGAACATGGATTTATTGAAATATATGAAAAGTAACATGCATGTTTGATATGAATGGTCCACTTGTGGTAATAGTAATGGTATTTACACAATAGCAATGATAAAAAAACAAGAGAAATCAATCGGATTGAGTTTGTGATCTAAGTTCCCCCATTGCAGTAACGGTGGACGCCATTGCTGTGAACATTTTGGTACTCGTTGTGCAGACAATTTAGGCCCCATATCCGAATTGTCCGGTCATCACTAGCCGAGGCTAACATGTGGGGGTTTGCTGGATTCCAGCTCACACAGTTAACAGATCCTGAATGACCAGGCAATGCTTCTATTAGCTCCCCTGAGCTTCTGTGCCATATGTAAACCTACAAACGTACACCCACCCAACTTCAAGTTTAATAATTGTCCACATTTATCCAATAGAACTTACTTTCCAAAGAGGTTAGGTAAATAGTTTTAATAACATTATGTTATATAAATAATTATTATAAGATCAATACATTTGCATAAATTTCTATCAATCTAAGATACATTTGTATAAATAATTATTTTGAAAGCCAAGATCAATACAAATAGGAAGCCCCAATGACCTTACAGAGAAAATCAAGCAGAATTCTCGAATAATCAATCAAGATGCTCCGAGTTTTATCAAGATAAAATAGACTGACAAAAAGTATCATTCCATGGATCTTTTATGTGAATATTTTAATAAACCTCTATTGGCACACCAAGTGCATGTTGAACTTATTTTGAAGAAATAATTATTTATTTCAACAATATTTTTTAGAGAACTTTTGAAAATTATGTGATTATTTCCTAAAATTTAAGCTTACACTAAACATGCACCGAATTCCTGTAATAAAACACAGATTTAAAAAAAAAAAACAATTATTCTTTGATGATATAAGAAACGACAAGCACCAAAGCCTTTCAATTTGCAAATGGAAAAATTTATACTTTACAAATACTTTTCCATTTTGATCAATGTTTAAGGATTCATACCTGTGAATCCTCACTTCCACTAGCAATAAAAGTTTGCTTAAGGCCACCAAAGCAAGACCTGATAATATATCGGGAGCGTTTATGACCTTTGTACTTGCCAACAAGCTTAGGATCTCCTTCAATGTTCCATAGATGTATTTCTTGATTCAAAAGATTAACCAACAAGAATTTGCTATCCTTTGATAAGGAGAAAGAGGTTATTGTTTGATGCTCTTCAATAAATCTCTCATCCTTTGTTTCTCTATTGAACAAAAGTACCACATTGGCTTTACAAATACTTACAATCTTTTCCCCGTTCTCCGTTATTTCCAAATCAGATATCTTAAGGGTTTTTTGACCTTTCCAAGACTCCACTTCTTTCCCATCTAATTCCCACATGCAAATGCTCTTGTCACTGAAGCCACAAAGTATATATTTCCCACATGGGAACCATGTACTTGAGACTAGGCTAGCACCAGCTTTTTCATAAATTTGGATGCATTTGCCAGTAGAGACATCCCAGCGCCTAATAGTCTCCTCCACTCCACATGTGAGAAGCTCTTTGTCATTAGGACTCCATGAAACTGAAGAAACAGGTTTCTGATGACCAGTCAATCTATGCTTTACAGTCAGTCCACCATTTATGCCAACCTATTTAAAAAAATTAAAATGTAACAGCTGACTTCATAGGATTTAGTCGTATTTAATTTGTGAGTTAGACTGCAATTTTTGTTTCTAGATCAAAAGGGGTTCTGAGATCAGATGGAAACATTACAACTTGGATTTGAATTTGCAGTATGATGACAAAATCAAACACAAGCATCGAATCATTTGGTAGTAAATAGAAAAATGGAAGCAAGAGCAGAAAAGAGAAAATGTAAATTATCATCAATATCAAATATTACCTCCCAAATTATTGCAGTTCGATCATTTGATGCTGAAGCCAAATATTTCCCATTATGTGAAAATTGTACAAACCAGACTTCATCATCATGTGCTTCTAATATCTGTTGCAACATAAGCAAGAAAAGAAAATAACATTAGAATATAGAAATACTCGTGCTATATAGGAAGTGAACCCCGGATGGTCATTGTAATAAATAGCAAAAGGATGAAACCTGAAGACAAATTCTTTACCTTTTCTCATTTTCCTCCCTGGCTTTAGGGGATTAGTTTTTAAAAGAAATCAAATTATAAATATTAAATCTGTGTACAAAATTTACCCTTGAATCCAACTAATACATGCATCTCATTTACACGAAAGGAAGTGTACTTCAATAAGTAAAAAGTGATGAAGGCATTTTCGGTAGAAGTTGCAGCTGCAAATAGTGTAGTTGCATATATATACTGAAATACATGACACCTATGGAAATGGTACCTTGCCCAGATATCTCTTATTATGTAAATATGGTCAGTAAGCTCCAACTAGCTCTGTGCATCAGTTGTCAGGATATTAAAATTTAGATCTTCAAATATATTATAGAAGCACTGAGCATCGACTTCTATATGGAGATAAAGGGCATGCACATGTAAATGGGGATGGGTTTACATAAAAAGGCATTATACTTTAAGGTTAATTTCTTCTAATAGGAAGAAACTTGGTACTCTCAAAGAGTAAGAAGCAGGATTATTGACAGATCAGGTGCAAAAGTAAACTATCAATCCATGGCATTAACGACAAGTGACCTTGGACTGAAAAGATGCTTCTAGCAAAAACAGATGCAAATGACTAGTGACAATTGCATCGTAATCTTTCACGAGACACCAAACACATGCATAGACTACCATTTCATCCAAGAAATAATTTTGTCAACTCAAATGACAAACTAGCATGTGTTTACTAAGTCTATTCAAAACCTATGATAATTGGATATCACCAACATGTTGGTTTGATGAAACCGTTCTTATAAGCATTGAGGAACCCACCCTTAAAAGGTAATTGTTAGGAGGGAGAATCAAACACTTAAATTTCCCACCGACTATCCCACACTACATAATGCAGGACTTGGGCACCCCATAATACCCAAGTCCCCCCTGCCACTTTCTACTGATTAACCTTTCTTTTACCTTTACACAGAAAATAAAAAGGAAAATTCAAAGGACCTCAACAACAGTCACATCCATTCCCAAGATGCCACAATTTAACATTCACATTTCACAAATCTAGTAAACATTACTTCATATCAAGAAAAATACAGACAAAAGAAAGACTAAAAGACAACATTCTTGTCCGGAACAGGCAAACAGAATGGAGGAAGCTGCTTCTACTACCACCACTAATTAACAAGTCAACAATATCTGCTAAGCATATCATTTTCTAACCTGTAGCGTACTGGAAGGAATCTGATCTTTTCCACAGTGATGATCTGAATATAATGACATCTCCTTATCCAGTGAATTATGGAATGGGCATGCCTCTCGTTGTAAGATAAGGGCTTGCTCAACTAAATGCTCCAACCTCTTTTCAGGTATCATTACTGTCGGGGGAAGCAGTTTCTGCAATTCCTCTATAAGCTTTGACCGAGACCTCACCCTTACAATATCTAGTCTAGGGGACAATGAAACTATGCAGGAAGAAAGTTCTCGAATTCTACTACTATTAATGCAAAGTGGAGCAATCTCTGTCCTCAAGGTCTTCAAAGCTTCCATGACCTTTTCACCGTTTAGAAGCTCAAAGAACTTCTGCTCCAATATTAAAAATGAGGCTGACTTAACCATGCTTTCATCTGCCAGAGAAATTTTATGTAATGTGGCAACACTGTCATCCCAATTCCCATCAAGTATTTGCTGCATAAATAGATTCACCCCAGGAGAGTGTAAAGGTATTCCAGACTCCTCCTCTAGATGTGCCCCACTCTTTCCGTAACCGAGAGAATATAAAGCCTTTGCAATAATCCTGACAAATTCCTCTTTCTTTATAACCCCTTTGGAACCAACAACTTGTTCATCCCCTTTGGATGGTAGGGGCCGAGCCATGAAGTCACTGGACAAGCCTCCAACAGGCTCTTTAGAAGAAGAACCGTTAGACAAGCCAACTAATCCTTTAGAGGATAACTTCATTCGCTTTAAAGCTGGTTCTTCATCTTCCACACCTCCCATGAAAAGTGCCCCTCAGCCCATATATAGTTTCATAGTTTCAGCAGCGAGAAAACAACACAAACAATCATACAGCTAAGAAAATGCCTCTGAAAAACCACAAGGAATCTGCATGGAAAACAGAATAAAAAACAGTAAGTACAATAAAACCAAGTCCTGAACTAACAGAAGCTAAACCAGCAAAAACCAATTTCAAACATTGAAACAACAGACTAACACAAGCTTGAAAATGTCCACATTTGGTGGTAGATCTTGATCATTGGTTTTAGAGGACGAAATAATATATTATTAATGAATGATAAATAAATATGAAAATTTTGAAACGATATAAAAAAGGTGAGAGACTAAAATTATGAGGTGTGTTTAATGATCATTTGGCAACCAAAGTCATAAATACATTACATAACTTTGGAGGTTCATTCCCCTCACCTCTCAAGAAGTTCAGCCACTCCCTAGAAATTGAACCGAGCTTACACAAGCAAACAAATTGAAACAACAAATGAAATGCCTGCAAAGAAAACAGGAACAACAAATTAAAAAAAATGCGTGATAGAAAACAGAACAACAGAAGTAAGTACAAAAAAAAAAAACTGAAACAGCAAACAGATTCCTCAAATTCAAACATCATCATCAACATCAACAAAATAACAATAATGCAACAATCCAAGCTTAGTTACTTGAAAGCAAAATGTTTCTACCAATTTTATTTCCATCTACCAAATCAATAGAGACCCCGTGATGCCAAAGCAAACTCAAAAATCATCATCTCAAAAGCGAAACGGAACTCAAAAATTGCAAAATAAATAAATAACAGATAATAAATAAGCAAATTATACATATGCATTTTCCGAGTAAATAAAAAGAGACACGTGGAGAAAATCGGAAGAGTACAGAAACAGGATAAGGTAGAAGAATCGGTATCAGAAGTCGCAGATCCAATAACATGAAAAGAGGATAACGACGGTGATGATCCACCGACTTACCGAACAAGCACAGCAACGATCGGAATCTAAGTTTTAGACGCGATCGTGAGTTGAAAACCGCCGATTCCTTTTTCTTCTTGTTCTTCTTCTGCTTCAGACACTCTTCAGTTACCAAAACCACACACGCTGAAAATCCCAAGCCTTCTTTCTGCTTGCGCCTGCAAAGAATGATAATATATACGTGTAATATAATATATCTTTAATCAAAACTACAAATTTTTATATCACTAATTTATAAATTATCAACAGGTGCAACTAAATTTAAACTTTCTTAAATATTTTCCAATTTGAATCTTGTGGGCGAAAAATAACATAATTAAAATAAAAAGTTTACCAAAAAATAATTTTTTACTAGAAATCTCCTTTTTTCTTTTTCTAGTGTTTTCTTCCAAAGCTTTTCCTGTGAAGATGTGAAATGACAATGAACACCCTGAACACTATCTCTTCTTTGCTTTGGTATATGCCTTCCTTGTTTTATAGACCATCACGCGATTGCTTTCATAGTTCTGTTTCGATACGAAACCTTATTGGTTTTCTATAATTGTTTATGATGTTGCAGGCTCTAAACAATGCAAAAACGTAACTCGGTTCATTAAGGCACGTTTAGTGGTTCATCTATGTGTGCACATTGGGTAGAGAGGATCAGAATCGTGGACATTTTAAATTATTGAGTCATGTTCGTGTCAGACATTTCCCCTCACTGCAACTATAATCAAATGGATAACTAAATTATTGAGTCTTGTTTATTTTCATTCACTTTTGTTTTTCTGAAATCAATGTTTTAAGATTGTATAGTGCATGTACCTACCGATAACACGAACTCTAGCCTCCATCTATGACTACAAGAATCGATGTTATGCATTGAAATAGTCAATTTATATGAACCTCTTATTAAGCATTAATGGTTTTTAAAATGTACATTACTAATTATTAACTCTATTCATTTAAAAAAAAGTAGTAATGAAATTGAACTCTGTTGATTTTAGCATGACATCATAATCATATACTTAAATATGCTTAAAAAAGTTACTCTCTTTATATGTATTGTTATTTATATTTACAATCACATACTAATTATCATCTACTTTTTTTAATAGGAAATGAAAAATAATTAAATTTGGATTAGATTCTTATTAAAAAAATAATCATTTGAACCAATCCAATCTTAATTTGAAATGGTTTTACTAATTAACGAGTCAAGTGTTCCCATGTGTGCCAAGGTACCAACTTTTGAACTATATACCTAGTTTGATGATCAAATGGCACCTTTGTAGAGAAGAATGTTACTAAATAGATATCAAATTTCCTTCTCTTTGTTAATTATCAATTATCAATTGTTGTTTTGTTCCACACAAAAGACTCCATTGTTCATAATGCTTCTACTTTTCTTCTTTGGTCTCATTCCATTTACTAAGTTTCAAAATCAGCTTTATATACCATTTTCCTTGAGATGATTTTTTCTCTTCAGTATAGCATTAGTCATCTTAAGAACTTGCATACTCCTTGAACCCTCTATCTAGCATGATAATGCCAACAAATGGCTTAACGAAGACAACTTAAAATGCTTAAGTACAGAAAGAAAAGGAATGGTGGCTGTCTTTACAACGCCAGGAATACTAAGTATTCAGATACTTAATCTAACCAAGTCCCCTAAATTATGAAACTCGTGGACCAAAGGGAGGTTAGATAACTCAAAACATAGATAGCATGCACTTAAGGTTCATTTACACATAGCATATTTATAACCTGCTATTGAAGTTTTTAAGCAACACTGAAAGAACTGGCTGTGTTCTCCACAAATTTTCTTGCTCCCTTAAACCACCTCTTGTCTCCAGCTTGAGCCTTGCAAATGTACAGTTTTCCGTCTTTTACAGTTGCTCTAATTAATTGGTGCTTCCCACCTTCATCTCCATCAGCAGTCCTTGTCAACACAGTCAAAACATAGTACTGCTTCCCATCAACCACAGGTGTTGCAGTCTCTAAGATGTTAGCCGTGGCCACAGCATTTGGATCAAAACCACCCTGAGCAATTCATGTTCAGACTCAGTTAGGACATGCAATGGTATTCAGTGCATTTGTGTTTCATCATCAATCACTTACCTCAGCTTGAGTTTCGCCAAAGAAGGCCTGTTTTCCTAGTAAATAATCCACCTGCAATGAGGAAAAACCAACTCTTGAATTTCAGCCAGCAAGTAGAAACTGGTGTCACTGGCTTCAAAAATTCACAGACTACCTTTTTTTTTTCGAATTTATACTGCAAAATTAAAATTCATAGACTACCATTTTACTTTTTGAAATACACTAAGTTAAAATTGGCAAGTGAAAAACAAATTTTTGGCACTAGATTTGGTCAGTATTTCATTGATTTTGTTGGAACTTGAGACATAAAAACAGTGCATTAATGGGGCTATAACTGTTCCTTAATAGTATGAAAACAAACACAAAGTAGTACTAGTTCAAGAAACAGGTTTACCTTAGAGAGGAACTCTTCGGGCGAACCATAGTCAGTGATGGACTTCTTATCAGTTGGAGTCACTGTGACAACAACATTGCTGGTTGTATCAAAGTTATCCTCATATCTAAGAACCTGGCCTGTGTATTCAACCTCTTTGCTTGGGTTCCACTTTGAGGGAATCGATAGTTTGAATCCATTTCCATTGTATGGCAGGAAATCTGTGTTTGTCTTTGGCTTTCCAAACACATTGGCTGCAAGCAAACAATCAAGTTGCTGAAATAAATAATGTAATCCTCATAATTAGAGGGATCAATCGAATTCATTTATGTGCCCCACCTAACTACTTCAACTTATGAGATAAAGTAATCCCTTGATATGGTATTAGAGACTTTATGCCCAAATGGTTAATTTAATCAAGACATCTTAGCCAACTCCATTCTTTCGACTACAATTGTAGCCTTATGATCACTCAATTTATATCATCTTAAACTCCACCAAGTAGAAAAAAGTGAACAATTGACAAAGTATCACTAAAACAAAAGAAGGTTACAGTAACACTCTAGTCACTATACAAGCCTGCAATTGCAGCTAACCATTTGGGTGGTCCATAAGTTTTAATGGCACCAAACATAGCAAGTTTCCCTAAAGTATGACATGATCTTTTCAACGAGAGACAGTATGAATTAAGGATCATACAAATGCAAATGAATATCATTTTTCATATACATTTTGGTAGACATAACTACACAACTTCACAAATATTTTTGGTATTATTCTTCAATCAGAATCAGAGTTTTATTTCAGTAATCTATATTAATCTTTAATTTCAATTCTTTAATAAGCAGACTGTGGACATGAAACTTCAATTCTAGTATAAAACTAACATAAAAAATACTTGAACAACGTCATCTAAGTGTTGTTCATTTTGGTGGCATCATAGATATTGTTGCATGATTATAAAAAGAGAGAGTAATATACCAGCTTCACCATAGGCTGCATCTGCAGGTTGGACTTTGGAGCCAACAGCAGCAGCACCAATGAGCACAGTTAGAGCTAACCGGCGAGAGATAGGGCTGACATCATCCTCTTGGGGTGTTGTCTGTTTCTGGGCCTTGCACACAAGCTGGTTAGGCTTGGTGCTAACCATGATGCGTTGTGATGGGGATCTGGCTGGGGTGGTAAGGGCATGGTGGTGCAAGAAACATTGGGTAGAAGCCATTGAGCACTGATCTTTCTCTCGCTCACTCACTCACTCTCCTAGCTCTGTGACGAGACTCTGGTGAACTTGTGGAGTAGGAGTTCAGTTTGAACTTTGGAGTGTGTTATGTGGCAAAGAGGATGGGCTGGTTTTGGATATTGGATTTGGAAGAGGGTGATCAGAAATATTGGATTAGATTCTGGATGTGGGATAAGGTAATAGAGGCTCTCATTGGTGCCACGTCGTATCACGAATTCTCATTTGCCTATGCCAGACCGTTCATGCCTCGCCACGATCTTGTACTCATGACTCTATTGCATATACCATGTTAATGTTTTTTCTTAAATTATATACAACTAACTAAAGAATAACATCCAATTTTTTTAATTTATTTTATTTAAACTTATATAATCTGATAGCCTTAAAAAAGTGAGAGAATACAACTCATCCACTTATCTAAATTATGTGCCGATAAACTGCTCCCATGTTTCAATTCATCAACCTTAATCAAATAATGACGATTTTAAAGTTGTTTGGATTTTTTTATATAAATATTTATAGAAAAAGATAAAAAATTCTTCAAATGCTAAAATTAATACATACATATGTTAAAAATAAAATTTATAAAAATCATATAAGAATTAGAGATTATATGAATTAGTTTATATATAAAATTAATTTAATTTACAACTATTTTTATCTTTATTTTCTTCTTCTTCAAGTGTCTGTAGAAAAAAACTGTAAACATATGATTAAAAATTTTATTTTATCAAACTAAAACAATAGATATTTCCACTACTTAAAATTACTCCTAATAGAAATTTATAATTATTTTTTAAATATTTTAAAAATTTAACTTTGTTATTTATTTTTTTATTTATCTTTTAAATATATTCAACAACAAATTTTAATTTAATATATTTATTTGAATTTCTAATTTATGTTTCTTTCAAAATATAATGATTGTATTTATATAACAACACATGATATAAATAGTAAGCGGTTTCGGTGGAAATAGGTTTTACTAAGAATAGACTTAGTGAATAGGATTTTGAATATTTTTATTGTTTTTTAATTTTGATATTTTAATGTATTATATTATTATCAATAAAATGAAAGTTTATATTTTATTTGTATAAATAATATAAATATCTATTATATGTATTTTGGAGTTATTACACTAATTTATATATATATATATATATATATATATTTCTTTTTTAATTTCTCTCACATGCATCTCACATTATTTCTCTACAAATTGTATATAACTTTTTTGTTCCTGTGACATAAAAAAAATTGGTTAGGAGGGATTACATGTAATTAGAGATTTTTATTTTAAATTATTAAAATTGAATATATATATATATATATATATATATATATATATATATAATATAGATACAGATAATACCGTTCATCTATTGTCTAAGGATATTTATAAAAGTAACATGTGGACCACAAAAAATTTCAAATATATATACTCTATATTTAAAAAAATATCCTATTATTTATCTCAATTATCACATTGTTCATTTTACTTTTTTTCAATATTTAAATTTAATATACTATTAAAATTTTTTAATCTTGTATATTCTAACAAACATTCTTTCAGTCAAGAAAAATATTTGGGAAAAAATTTATCTCATTTGCTTTAATTGTCTTTAATGAGAGAGATGTGAATTTTTTTTAGCATTGATTATCTGAATATATATAAATAATATATATATATATATATATATATATATATATATATATATATATATATAATATTAAGCATTGTGTTTATTAATTTGTTGTAAATCATTACCATCATGCATGTCATATCTGTCAACCATGATCATACAAAAGTTCACCTACCTCAATATACACATGACTTAACTAAAAGTTGGTTTTGGTTAACGACATGCACCATATGCTCATAATACGGTTATTTTATAGATAAAAAATTAATTTGGATGAATTACATTAAAAAAAAGATGTTTATTATTTCAAAATTTTAATACAAATATATATAAACTAAAATAAAAATACGAATATAAATATTAACTTGTGAAATCAAATTAAAATATAAATTAATTAAAAATAAGTTTAAAAATTTAATACTAATATAAAAGATGTAATATAATATCTTAGAATAAAACACTTAATGAATAAAATATTACCTGATAAATGTCAACTATATTTTTAGCACTATTTATATCAAAATGAAATTTATTTAAAACCATCAAGTTTGCTAGGTTTTATTCATAAATTAAGAGGGAGTAAATAATGAATGGAGAAAAAAACTACATGCATTATTATATATAATTGGTGCTATTACCCATCATCATGCAAGTTCTGTCCAAAAAAAAATCAAAATTAATATTTATTCTAAAATAATAATCTTTTAAAATTCGATGTAAGTTTTTAAATTTAAACTCCTTTATTATTTCTCTTAAATAACACTAATTATACGAAGGAATATTTTTTTAATATTAGAAAATTAACAAAAATAATAGAATATATGAATTTGTTTTTTGTAGGGTTAGAGATGCTGAAGACTGTTTTCTAGGTCTGGCACGAACTCCAAAAGTCCAAAATGGGAAATGACGTGGATCTTCACATGTTTTTTGTTTTCATGTCACAACGCTGCAAACAAAATAATGGCCTCCTATCTTATTTATTATTATTAGATGTAGAACGGAATATAAAAATAGGACGAATGGACTCTTGTATTATAATTATAATTATAATTATGATGAAATATATATCTTGACCTATTTTATTAAATGGTGGATTGAGGATTGATTCGTCGTAAATTAAAAATATATTTTTGTAATTTAATAATAAAATTATCATTATTAATTAATAATTTAATGTATATATTTTAAATTAATAATATATTATTTTTAAAAATTATAATTAATAATAATTATAAAATTTATATAATAATAAATATATAAAAATAATTTTAAACCATAAATTTATATTTTTTAAACTATTAGGCTGAAAATAAAAAATCCGTCCTGGAACGGCGAACCGACCCCTCAAACTTGATAAAATGTTTATAAAAAATATCACTCATTCAAGAGAAAAAAAATATGATATACAGAATAACACTATTTAATAAACATCTTACTTTATTATTATTATTAATTAATAAATTAAATTAAATTCTTTCCAAATATTATTATTATAATTACACGGTTACTAACTTTTGCATAGCTTTCCACTTTTTCTTTCTGCAATTCATCCATTAAGCATCTCTCCCTTCTCACTCTCTGTTCGCTACTTGGTTTCTTCTACACTCCATTTCTCTCTGGTTTGTTTTTTGTTCTGTTTTGGATGCTGCAATTAGTTGATTTATGCTTCTTGTTTGATACTGCTGCCTCTTTTGCTTTTCTTGTGTTTTTTTTTTTTCTTTTCCACTGTCTTGTTCAATTCTCCTAACAATACCCTGGTTAGGGATTCGCACGTGTGCTTAGACTTTGAATTTCTTTGTACATTCATGGTTAAGCGAGGTTGTATGTCAAAAGGTGCCTATTTCTTATTTATTTTTTGCTCATGAATTGGTTGCAAAAACTTGCGGTACTTCTTTTTCTTTTTTGCTTTTCCAGTTTATATTTTTTTAAAGAAGAAAGGAAGCAAGAGCAAACAGCTGAATTTTTTTGAACAAATTATAATTTTTTTTTCTTTCTCTTTAATCAAGAATTAAAATAGTTCTCTCTTAGGTCTTTTTTTCCGCCCAACTAAACATAGCATTACATTGAATCGAAGTGTTGTCTGCGGTTTGTGTCATAACTACTCAGTTTTGGTAGAAGAACAAATTTTATAGTGCATTGGCTCAATGTGCTCTCCATTTCCCTTTTTGCATATGATCCCTTTCATTTCAACAAATATAATTTCAAGAAACAAATAAACCCCCTGTTCAGGCCTGTCCTAATGTGACACTAATGAAAGAAGGCAAAGAAAAATAATTAAAAGGACTGAGAAAGCTAATAGCTCAGTGAAGACAGGATGAAGTTAAAGCCAACTTTGCAACCATTGCAACTACCTTTACTTAAAAGACTTGATGTTGATGAAGTAGTAAACTTGATGAAGCTTGATTACAGACAGGCTAAGTCAATTACTTGCTAGAGATGTTTCTTTTGTGACCTTCGACCAATAAGACTTATTTCATTTTAGATGAGATAACATTTTTTGTCTTTGTGAATATGTGACTTGGAGTCAGTGGTATGTTCTTCTCTTTGTTTATGTTTCAGGAAAAATAAAACTGTATCTTAAATTCATTTCATGTGTGTTGGTTTCGTATAAAAGGTGATTGTCTTATTGATGCTGCAGTGGTGTTAGGCATGGTAGCTATTTCATATAACATTTTGTGATGTTCTTTTTGTTCGAATAGAAGGGCAGGAACAATGTCTGAGAAAATCACCGCTGAAAACCTTTTAAACACCCTTGTGGAAACAATTGCTGAGAAGCAAAAATCTGTATCATTTTTTGAAGAAGACAAGTCAAGCTCAGTGAGCTCCCAATTCAAAAGACTGTTTGGACGCCAGAAACCTGTGCACCATATTTTAGGGGGTGGAAAATGTATGGTAGTTCTAGTTAATTGCTGTAAAATCTATCATATTGACCTTGATTTTTAAATTTCTTTTTGGGTTTTCCATTGGATGATGTAGCTGCTGATGTCTTGTTATGGAGGAACAAGAAGATTTCTGCTAGTGTTTTATCTGCAGCAACAGCTACTTGGGTGCTTTTTGAATGGCTTAATTACAATTTCCTAACACTTTTATTTTTTGTTCTGGCTCTTGGCATGCTTGGACAGTTTCTTTGGACAAATGCTTCTAGCTTGTTTAGCAGGTTATCCAAGCATCTTTTCTTCTCTTGTTTTGATGTCTGACATTATGTAAATATATTAGGCTACATTACATCTTAAACTTGTTTTTCTACGTGGGGTGACAGGAAGCCGTCTAAAGTTCCTCGTTTTGTTCTCCCAGATGATTTCTTCACGAACATTGCGACTGCAGTTGGTGCTGAGGTTAACCGCGGATTGAGGTTTCTCCAAGATGTTTCATGTGGAGGAAACCTAAAGCAATTTCTAATTGTAAGTTTACTCTCATCTTTGCTTGCTTTTTAATTGTTAATTATAATCCATGTTCATGATTAGAAGTTAGAACATGGTTTCCAGAAACTATTCTTCACTTTATGACTTCAGTATTTGCTATAATACGTTATTCAATCAATTGATCAATTCCATTTATTTTTGTTTGCTGCTACATCTTCTGATTTTGACATGTTATTGATTTTTTTTTACCGAAATTGTCAACTGTTTTTTTTCCCTCTCAAAATTATGCTAATATGATTGGTTCTATATTAAATTGATACTATGCTGATGGGAAAAGTTTCCTTTTGTGGAAACTTGTCAAGTCAACTAAACTGTATGCGACAGTAACTTTTAAGAGTGATTTGATATAAAGCTGTTTGTTATGACAATAATTAGTCAATTATTTGTGTTGTCATTTTACCTGATTTTATTACTTTGTTGTTCCTAAAGATTCCACATTACTGAGCAAAGAGCATAAGGAGTTGGTATGATATAATTGAATTGGAGAAACAAGGATTTTAAATTGTAACTTCGTGGTCAATATATGCTGTTTTACATGATTTGGATGTATTATTATATGACAAATATCAATATGGATGATTTGTGTTTAGTATTCTTAAATGGACAACCATGATGACGCACTTTCTACTTTGCCATATGTTATTTTATAACTTGATTCTAATTATTTATATATGATAAATTATATTAATTTTATATTTTGTTGCAAAGAAAAAAATATATGTTTTTTGTGTGGAATTGTGATAATGGTTATGACATCCTCAGGCTGTAGGAAGCTTATGGGTTGGTGCTGTGATTGGGAGCTGGTGCAATTTTTTGACTGTCATGTATATTGGTGAGACCTGCTTTCTTTCTTTCTATTGATATAGATTAGAATAAGTTGGACAAAGTTTGAAAAAAAATTCAAATTTCAACTAATCCAACAAATAACTGCTGTAGAAAGAGTGAATAATTAAATTATGAAAATTTATTATATTAGCATTTCTTGGATGGTAAAGACAACCTTATGTTGTGATTGTATGATATTAAGGATGGTTAAAACAACAAATTAACTTTAAAAATCTTGTAATTTGTCCCTGACATAACTGTCAAGAGGCTACAATAAGGAGTTTGGATAACACAATCTGCGTACTCAGATGTTATCTTGTTAAGTATTTTGTGACAATATGCTGCCTCAATTACTTAATCTTATTTTGGAAGCAAATCTAATAAAAGTCTATGTTGATATATGCTGTTTTGTCGGATGCTGAATCTTTTTCTTACTGAAGTTCAAATGGATCTTAAAAATTATATTTTTTGACAAATAACTCATATTACATGTTCAACGAAGATGGCTTGATTTTTTATGTCACACTTAATTTGCTAAAAGTTTTATTATGTTGTGTCTAAGGTTTTGTTGCTGCACATACACTTCCAGTTCTCTATGAAAGGTACGAGGATCAAGTTGACAACTTTGTGTACAAGGTCTTTGATCAGATGCAAAATCACTATCAGAAGCTGGATTCTGGTTTGCTCAGCAAAATCCCCAAGGGAAAGCTGAAAGGAAAGAAGTATGAATAGATTCTTCCGTATGTACATGATTTGATTTTCAATATCCGTTTTTTATGATGGAAAAGACTGAACAATGTAACTAGGGAACAGTTCTATGTGAGTCTTTAAATTTGTTGTACTCATTATTTGACCTAGGATGAAGACTTCATTAACAACTGGTGCACAAGGTACTTACAAGGGATTTGATAAAAGAAAAGGGAGGGGATGGGATGAATGGTGAGAAACTTCAGTAGAGGGAAAATCTATGTTTGATTCAAACGGATCAAGTATTAGATTAAAAAAAATTAATGATAAGGATAAAAGAATAATTCATTGAATGAGCAAATAAAATTATTGGAAAATTTTTCCTTCAACAAAATTTGATGAAGAATGAGGAATAAATAAACAAATGAAAAGATTTGAAAAACTCTTATATCATATTTTACTTGTAAGGCTTTAGGTATACACTATAAATAATATACTGTATTGTGATGTGTTATAATTTGATGATATATATGATTATAGAAGTTCGAGAATCAAGACTTGTTTATACTATAATTCTAAATAAAGGGAGAATAAATATAATAGGGGATATTTTCATGGATTCTAATTACCTTAACCTATGAAATAAAGGAATATTTTTTGTTTTTTTTAGTAAAATAGGTTGATTAATATTTTATGTATTTATTTAATTAGTTCATTTTAAAAAATATTTATTTTAATAAATAATTTTACCTGTCTGTTAAACAAATAATTACGGTAAAAGTACTTAATTCAACTCTTATTTAAGTTTGACCAACTGTTATTAAGTTGCAAATGTGATGCATTGGAAAAGTGATAAAGGAGGAATAGTGAAGGCACATGTATGCAAAAGCTTTTTCCTTTCCTAGTGATGATGACTTTCATTCACGGTAAAAGGACCTATTAAGTGTATTTTTCTCTTTAAATTACCAAAAGTGAATACTTTCTAAGAAAAAAAGATTAAAAAAAGTAATAAAACAATTTTAATATAAAAAGTTGTGTTTCATGAAATTACTTTAATTTTTCTATTAGTTTTATGTTCTTTTAAACATATGAGAAAGTATAACTTTAATATTAAAAAATAGATTTTTATTTGTAATAATAATAAATAATAATAATTATTATAAAATAATAATAACAATAATTACTGTAATAATAATAATAAGAATAAGAATTATTAAAAATAAAAATAAAATCGTATTGAAATTCTTAATATTAAAATCTTACTTTTTTTATACCACTATAAAAAACATAAAATAAAATAATACTTTATTTAACGTTGTATTTCATGATATAATTTATCTAAATTCATATATTTGTTTATTTATTTAAATAATTTAAAAAAAATCACACCTAAGTGTAATTTTTAATCCTTTTGCATTTACATTTAATTTTGGTGGTGTTTTTGGCATATCCGAGTCATCCAAAGCGCATGTGACTGTGAAGCTGAAGCGTGTGTGCAACTCTTAACTCCACAAGTTGAATGTGTTCTTCAACATGGTGCCATGAGCTTGCCTCATGTTTTGGCCCTCCACTGTCCACCATGGAAGTTTGTATGGTCTCAAGCTTCACCACCTCATCCACTGCCCCTTCATAAAGTTGCATTCTAACAAGAAAACAAAACCAAAAGTGCCTCGTTGGTACAAGAGAAAGAACACACAAACCAAACTTATCTTTCACAAAATCTGGCACAGAAAAATAACGCTATAATTCTCACATTCTTTTCAGACCAAAAAAATGATAATAGATGTTATAATGTGGTAAAGAGAAAGATTAAAAAAAGTAAAAATACTTAAATGTTTAAATAAGATGAATAATGTTTTACAAAACTATAAGAAAAAAAGAATATTTATTAAGAGGTATTTTGAAAATGTGCTATAAGCATACAATTATGAGTTCTGGAATATGGTAAAAGCCACCCCCACATATTACTTTTTGCTTTTATTTTATTTTAAAATACAAATTTGTAGTGTATAAATGTGAAGACTCGAGAGCTTATTGAGTCAACAACCTAGGTCACAACCGAGACATTGTAAAATATCTGTCATCTGTGTAACAATGGTGGTCTTTGTTGGTGATGAACATGGTCTGTTCTTTAGCATTGCCTGGGCTGCTGCAACTCATGAACTTCACAACTTTTGCATGTCAAACCAGGGAGATGATGATGACGACGATAATGACATCGACGTGGCTCCAGCTGCATAAAATTTGTCACCATATATCAGTAGATGACTTGGAGGTACACTGAAGAACAATAAATACTGTAGTATTCTATTCTGTGTAAGCTTTTGTAGTCTTGCTTAGTTACATTTTGCAGAAATTTGTGTTGGAATTAAAAGGTAGTGTAATGATTTCTGTCAATGCCACATAATTTATGTTTTATCTGTCATTAAGGTTTGATTTCTCTCTCTCTGACTCAATTGTATATCTAATTTTTTCTTGTCTTTCAATATGATCAAGAGTGAGTAAACAGATAATGTTGAAAGCAAACGAGTATATACTTAACCAAGTTAAACAAATTTTGAAACTTTGACATGACCCAATTAAAAATGTGTTTCTGTTATGACAGAAACACATTGATCATTTTCAACCACAAAGGAGAAGCCAAACACTTTTTACACTTTTCTTCATCTAATGTATGCCTTTTTAATTGAATAATTTATGCGATCTATTCATTGTTTTCTGGTTTACTTCTCAGCGCATATACCAAAAGTTGTTTATTGCTTAAAAAGAATTCAGACAAGAGAAAAAAAAAGAGTCAAATAGACATCATAAATTTATTTGGCGTATATAAACAGAAGAAGCAAAGTAGTCCACGGTCCACCAAAACAACAACAGCAACAGTGTTCAGAAACCATAAATATATATTCACCCCATTCCCCTTGTCTCAAATCATAAAAGAATTTCTTCTACACCAGTCCAATGGTTCTGGCCCAAGATAGAAGTGCCTATTAATTTGGTCCAAGATAGAAGTGCCTACACCGAAAAAAGTGTTTTGAGATTTGTCTGAAACTGGTCAATGATTATACATAGAAGAAGGAACCCAAGTACCCCTCAAAACTATACTAATAAGAGGTGTTCGAAGAATAACTATGTAAAATGGACAACAGAAACCTATATTGAACTATTATTAAAAATAAAAATAAAAAATAAAAAGAAATATGTATCTAATTTAATTTTATGAAATTAATTCTATAAATAGAAATTATATTTATTTATATATTTTAATATTATGATATTTTTAGTCGAAATTTTATTATTTTTTTTAGAGTTTTTTTATAATATTTTTTCGTTTTTGAGAGAAATTTTTATCATAATTCCGTATTTTAATAAAAAAAAATCATTATATTAAAATAAATTTATTCTCACGAGAAAGAAGTTTTTTTTTTCACTAACTTTCATCTAAAATTCAAACAATAAATTTATAGATATTTTCTTTATATATTACTTATCTTATCCATTTTTAACGTTAATTATAATGTATAGAAATATTACTACATTTTCATCCATAGAATTTTCATGTCAATAAACGAGGATACAATTCAACATCCTTATAAATTATGAACTAGTTCTTACAAATTAACTGAATTAACATTCTATTATAAACATATGATAAGAGTGTTTGAAGGTTCACTTTATTTTTTAATCACTCTAACTTTTCCTTTTGTTATACTATTGTTTATATCCATTTTTTTTGTTCTCATTTTATATCTGTTTTACTTTCAAGATATAAAACATATATATAAGCATTGATAAAATAGTAGAACTTTTTTTATCGATGATTCTATTAAACTAAAGTGATACACGTTGGATATTTTGATCTAAGGTGGTTAGACTTTAGAGTTGGACGTTGACCTTGGGTGATACAACTCAATATGTATTTAATTAAATTTATATAGAAAATAGAAATGAACATTTAAGTGTTATGTGAAAGATGCTGAAGGTGTGATTTGCATGTATAGAGAAAAGGTCAAAAAACATTAAATGTGAACATTAAATTGGTATGTGATTTGCAAACATAAGTTGGTGCAGTCAAGAAGGTGGTGGGTCCCTTTGTCATCATGTATCTTTGTCACTTAAGCTTTCATCACCCATCCCATCTTCTCGTACCAATCTAGGTTTCAAAATTTATTACATCTATGTCTCAACATCTTAAACCTATCTACATGCATTAGAATTAACCTTTATATTTATATATAAAAATCCAAAACAAAAATAAACCCTTAGTGAACAACATGGACTTTAACATCAAGGCTTAACAAATATCTTTAGGATTACTAAACCAGAGATAGTCAAAGATTGAATCTCTCAAAAATTTGAACAATAACTATGCACTTTGATCATGAGTTTTAGTTCAGGCACACTAAATCATGTTCTTTAGAAATACTTGATCTTGGATTCAAGATTTGTAAAAGACTATTTACTTTTTCGTGTCATAAAATTAAAGATACTTTATTTTACATAGTAAGTCATCAAAATTGTGTACATGAAATAATATTTATTGACATAAATTATTCTTTTGAATGAAATTCAGTACTTCAGCTTTAACTTTTGATCAAAACCCAAAAAAATTAACTAAGATAACTTAACAAGTACAATTTGATCAATGTGATTAACAGAATCATCAAATTCTTTCTGTTAATGTGATTATGTCATATTGGTTAAGATCAAGGGAGGACTCAGATTCTACATTATCCTTGCACTGGTTTGAACTAATAAAAGCTTATGAGTTGGGAAGTATTCTTGATGGAGCAAAAAGTAAGTGAAGAAAATGAAGTTAGAGAAGGTTGAATATTTGGAAGATGGTTGATGCCTTTGATCATTAGATATCAAGATGAGCATGAAACGAGTACCACATCTTTTTCCTTTCTTTCTCGGACAATGCAGAGCCTTGTCAGTCTCCAATTATATACATCTTGTCCCTGCCACGTGTTGCCACCACAATCATCTCTCAGATAGCATCCATCGTGTGCATGGAGAATTGGATTTCCTTGTCTGCGTTTCACATATTCAACACCAAACCCTGAACTTTCAGAGTCCCTTTTGAACTGGCCCCGTCTTCATTCACTCCACTCCACATGTGCAGCCATGTTTTAAGTATCATATTTTTCATGGGATATTAAAAACTGTGCTACAACCTCTGTCACCAAACTCCCTATGCACAAGCTCATCTTGCTACAAAAGAAGAGGGAGTTTCATCAGTTGCTAGCTAGAGTCTATTTATAGCTTCTACTCAACAAGTTACTAAAACCTGTTTTTGCCTTAACCAAAAGAAATAAAGTGTTTTTACTTCGACTCAGGTGGGGTTCTTCATATTATATATCAATCTGTCTTAGTTTTTGAATTTGTGTCTCTTTGTTTACGTGTGTATTTAAATCTTCTGGTGTTAATATACTTGGTACAGCTTTCTAACTGACAGTCTTAAAATTTTCCCATTTTGGTGGGATTAATGTTTGGTAATTTTTCTAGTTCTTGACTGTTTACTTTGTTCTTTTTCTGTTCTTGTTTGCGTGTACTTTCAACTAGGAAAATCATTCTCCATTTTTGAACGTTCGGTTTGGTGGTTTCTGTGGTTCCAATTCATTGGTTTTTCTCCCCTTGGCATGTCAAGTTCAACACTTTACCCGAAGACTTTCTTTAGTATTATTTTCTTTCACTTTGAAATTTGATTACTCAATTGGCTGAACTATTCAGGTATTTTATTTTACTTTGCATGTAAAGTTTGTTCGAAGTCTAAAGTTCCCTCCTCTCTTGTTCAAGGTGACAACCGGTTGGTGAACCATGAGCAACACTATTCCAGGTTGGGATTTTGAGAGTGATACATGTCTCACCAACCAGAGAAAGCCCACAGGGTGTGTCATCTATCTCTGTCAAAGCAAGATACTGTGTCTATTAACTTTGTCTTGATTGTTCTTCTCTATTTGGTCAATTATACAGGCTAGACCAAGAACTTGTAGAGCTCTTATGGCAAAATGGGCAAGTAGTTATGCACAGCCCAACACATAGGAAGCTACTTGGGAATTCATCTAACTCGAGACAGATGCAGAGAAATGATCGATCAACATTAAGGGCTGGTGGGACATATGGGAAATCAAGCAACTTGGATCAAGAAGAGGCAGCACCATGGATCCAATACCCACTTGAGAACCCTTTGGAACAAGAATTTTGTTCAAACATTTTATCTGAGCTACCACCGCCTTGTGAAGTTGACTCTTATTACAAGTCAATCAGGCAATTGGAAGAGGAAAAGTTTGCCAAATTTGTTTCCCCTAGTGCCCCCCATCATCCTACTTCATATTCTCAACCACTACTATCTAACATGAAACCCTCCTGTGTTCAGGGACTCCTAGGGAATCTTATGCCCGCACCAAGATTTCATGTTCCTGATTCAAATCAGAAAATCAGTGACTTTGGTGCATCACGGAGGGTGCTAAATTTTACTCACTTTTCAACACCCTGTAATGTTTCTTCACCATCTCAAAAAATTAATGCTAACCTCTCACAAAGTGAGGCTAGAGAGCACTCAGTGATCACAGTTGGTTCAAGTCACTGTGGCAGCAATCACATCCCTCAGGACCAAGATGTAAGCAGGGTCTCAAGCAGTGGTGTTTCGGCCACCACCAATAATACTACTTTATTTACTGAGCCCGAAGCTGTAGATATTGTCCAGAGACCAATTCCTCGGAGTGAGAAAGGAAAATCAGAGATGATTGAACCAACTGTAACTTCATCCTCCGGTGGCTTAGGCAGCTGTACTGGTATTGGAAGAACTTGTTCCCTATCAACAAGAGACCATGGCCAAAAGAGAAAAGGGACAGAAGAAGAAGCATCAGAGGAACAAAGTGAGGTCATACTCTTCCTCTTTCTCTTTCTATATTTAACTTCATAATGCATGCTTGCTCTTTTCCTTTAATCTTTTCTTTTTGCCTGATGGTATCTGAAGATTTACCCGTGTGTTTGATTATCATTCACACAGCACACACATGCATAGAGAAGACCTATTTGTTCCTTTTACTGCGTTTTGACGTAGAAATTTGGTGAAACGTAAAACACTAATTAGCATTTCAGTCTATAATTGAACTGAATGACACTTTACTTAAAGGGACAAAACTTGTTCTTGCTGACTGATGAGTTGTGTTGTGACTATATGCGTAATAGGCCACAGAACTTAAATCAGCTGATGGAAACAAGTTATCTCAGAGGACGGGGTCTTCCAGAAGGAGCCGTGCAGCTGAAGTGCATAATCTATCAGAAAGGGTGCGGGCATGAATTTTCAAAGTTGAAACTTGTGTTGTGTCAGCTTAAATCTTATTACCAGCATTTCTTTTTACTATTACAGAGAAGAAGAGATAGGATTAACGAGAAGATGAGAGCATTGCAGCAACTGATACCTAACAGCAACAAGGTCCGTTATCATAATGCTTGTTTTATTGACTTGTCACTATTCTAAATTTTTTTGTAGAGATGCATGCAGCTGGTTCGGAAAATGATGCAAGAACATTTATGTTATGTGCAACTAGACACCTAAAAAGAAGGAGTCGGTAGAAAGAAAATGTAATAAAAGAAAAACAAGAAATACAATAAGGTATATATTAACAGGTTTCGTGTATTATTACACATTATACAAGCCCGAATATAGTAACTGTACGGTCAGGTTAAAAGTGGTAGTTCACTAGTACATCACTGTACACACTCCACACTTTCTTTGTTGCGAATAATTCTCCTTTTTATAAGATTCAATCATGGATGGTGTAAAAACTAACCGTTGTAGGTACAGACAGACAAAGCATCAATGTTAGACGAGGCAATAGAATACTTGAAATCGCTTCAGTTTCAGCTTCAGGTACAACTTACACATCTATGATGATAGATAGAATCTCATACTACTGCTAGTAGAGTATTCATGTGTAACAAAATTTGCTATTGGTGACAGGTTATGTGGATGGGGGCTGGCATGACACCAGTGATGTTTCCAGGAATTCAGCAGTATATGTCACAGATGGGGATGGGAATTGGTCGACCTTCTTTGCCTTCCATTCACAACCCAATGCAGTCACCAAAAGTGCCACATGATCAAGCCATGTCTGTGCCTCAGATGCCAAACCAGAATTTAATGTGCCAAAATCCAGTTTTGGGTGTCTTCAATTACCAAAACCAGATGCAAAACCCATGCCTTTCAGAACAATATGCACGTTACATGGGTTACCATCTCATGCAAAGTGCCTCTCAGGTGAATCTGAATCCCATTTTTAACTTTTCTTATGTGTAAAAACTATCAAGTGGTTTAGAATACATACATATTACGTTAAAGTTGGTAAAAAATATAGATTCATAGTAGTTTCTATTTACAAGGTTGTAGTTAACTTTTGATGTTAGCATGTTGGTGTTTGGTTGCAGCCGATGAATGTGTTGAGATATGGTTCCCAAGCAACGCAACAGAGAGAAACAATGATTGCAGAAGGCAATAATAGCAGCGGACCCATGAGTGGAACAGCTAATATCAATGATGCTGTTAGTGGCAAAACGGGTAAGGCACTATATATACATCCAACATTTTCGGATTTTTATATATTCCTTTTTCTAAAAAAGAAGTGTTAGGAATAAATTCTTAAAAAAAAAAAAAAGTGAATTTTAAACAAAAAAGTTGTAAAAACTAAGTGCAAAGTTAATTTTAAATAATAGAAATACTGTTTTAATTTATTTTACTTTTTTTTATAAATAATTTGAAAAAGTTAATTTAAACATTCTTATTCATATAATTCTTTGTGATATAGTTGCCTCCACGTACATAGTACCGCGTTATCTTCCTTTTCCATTCCTTAATTAATTCCTTCTTTCTGTCACTTTCCAGGTTCTTCTACCTTTAACTGAAAAGTTAACAAAGATACCTACAAATTAATCAATTGGGGGAATTAGCCTTTGGAAGAAGCACCAAATGTGCTCCAGTTTTATGCAGCAATTTAAAGTTATGATTTTTAACTTCATAAAAATTATCAGCACAGCTCCTAGGGTTTGGAACTCATCAGGTTCAGGAATTTTCTACTGTTTGTAGATTGAAAATTTTAAATTATCTAAGTTAGCGTGAGAATGCTTCTATCTCAACTTACAATAACAATTATTATTTTCCTATCAATGCTATATAGTCTATGAAGGAAAGCTTAATATTTATACTTTTGTTATTTATAGAGAAAAATAGTATGTGTTCTTTATAGACTATAAAACTTCTTTTTAAAAATAGTGAAATGTAATTAATGTAAGACATTAAAAAAATTATTATAACAAGACAAAGAATTTTAAAAAATTTAGAAAAGGATGAATTACTAAATACTCATATACTCCCTAAAATCACAAATAACTAAAATAAATTTCATTATTATTTGTACATTTAAAATTGATTAATGAAAGCAATTATAATTCCTTAATATATATATATATATATATATATATATATTCCTTTAATTTTTTTCTTTACTCATTAATTTGTATTCATATAAAAAAATATCCCAACTTGGAATCTTTGAGTTCGTGACAAGACATTCCTTGATCCATGCAAAGTAAGAGGAAACAACGGAGTAGGTTTCTTTGGAAACTGGAAATTCAAATTATTTATTATGGGAAAAGATATTTTGAGAACCATTTTTACAATCATTCTATTCATAATTTTAAAATATTATGTTTTTATTGATTGATGGAGAAAAAAATGAAATAAGATAAATAAGATTATGTTCTGAAATTTTAAAAAATCATGAATTATTATAAGTTTATTAATTTTATAATAATTATTTTAAAAATATAGGAAACAGAAATTATTTGAAATAATAATGTAAAATAAATTTTACAATATTAATATATAATTGTCAAATTGTAGTTATTCTTCCTTTGTCACTGTGTGTTTTCATTACATTGTCCATTTCATTCATTCCATTTCACAGCCATCACCGCCATCTTTCCCCACCCACCTTTACACCGTCTAATTTTTTTGGTCAACTTTGTGATAAGATCATGATATTCATGAATGAAAGTGATGATATTTTTTTAAACAACCAAATTAATCATTAATGAAAAAAAATGTGTGAAACACGTACAATAATGATTGAAGGGAAAGATGAGACCCACATGTGGGGAAATGTAATAACTAGCTGAATCATTAATTCATTCATGCCACACACTCATTTCTTTCTTCAAGTTTCATCTTTGGAAAAGATTGATATCAATTATCACCAAAAACTACTTTTTTCCCCATTATTTGGTGAAAAGATTACTTTCATTCTGGTGTTTATAATAATTGTATCACAAAAATCAACTTTTTAGTCATTCGAAGTATTTATAATTAATGCTCACATAAACCTGTTTCCTAATGATTTACGAATTAGGAATGATTGATGTGATTAAATATAAAATAATTAAATAATAATATTTTTAATTACATTATTTTTAAGAGATGAAATGAATAAATTAAATAAAATTTAAAAAATATGAGGATTTATATTATTGGGTTAGTCATGTAAAAAAAATTAATTTTAATTCACATAAGTTATTATTTATACGACATTATTTTTATCATTTTATCTTATTTTTATTGTAAATATATCACTTTTTTTTATAAATACATTTTTTTATTAAAAAATTTTTCATTAAGTAAAACTCACACCTAAATCAATATAAATTTACCTAAATTTATAAATATAAACAAGATGATATTAAGGTAGATACCCAAATATAAATGTGGCCAAAGATAAATTTTTAAATATATCAAACTAATATTATAATTATAAACATAGATTAATCAGCTAGAAACCAAAAATGTGATGTCACTAATTCTGTCTCTATTTACTATTTTCATCTTTAAAATAGATTTGACATGTTAGTTGGTTGCCCTATGCTCAAGGGACCGTGGGTACCTTCTTGCCCTTTCTAAAGGTCATGTCCCTCTACTTTTGTTGCTAAACCTTCAAAATTTTTATTTTTTTTATCGACATATATAATTGTTGGAGGCTTTTTAAGTTGAATAATAAATGAAGTTATTAGATGGAAGTTGGCCACGCAACCAACTCAGGGTGGGCAGAGTATGGGCACCTCATTTGCAGTCCATTTCGTGTCCTTTATGAGGTAGGTAAGTACATAATATGGCCACCCAAGGAATCAAAGTACATTTTTTTTTTTACTCATTTATCTTATTAGAACAAGTAATAAATATTTCAAAGTCAATAAAACTATAATTTAATAGAATTTTCATTAGTACGAGAGAAAACTATAAATTATTATTGCATTCCGTTGATCTATTTATTTGGTGGTTTTAAAAGAAAAAGGAGAAGCCAGACGCGTGGCGTGAGCATGGTCGTTGATTTGGATTGCACGTAATTCTAATATTAGATAAAAAATAATATATTATTTAGATATTATTAACATTCGCTTCAATTTTTAATTTTTTATTATTATTAACAAGATGTTCAAAATAAATATTTTTTAGAAAAAATAAAATAAGATTTTTTTTTAGAAATATATTAAAATGTTCCTAGACTTTTAGGAGAAAAAAAAAAAAACCTGCAACTTCTTCTGTTTCTTCTTTGACCTCTCTCTCTCTCCCCATTTATCCCAAACCAAACCCTCACCAACCCTCTCCTCCTACTCCTCCTCCTCTCCTGGCGACCCGATCCGGCGGAGAGTGCTCCCTGGGCCCCTGAAAAATTAGCTGCATGAGCTGGTTTGGGAAGCTCCGTTTATTCGCCAATTTCAATTCCTTTCACTTTATAACTTCTCTCTTAATTTTTACCCTCCATTTCTCGCCTCAATTCCCTTTTTCTCCCTTCAATTCCATTCATCAACCCTTATTAATCAACGCCAAGACCACTTCCCATCGTAATTTCTTAATACCGTCTCGACATGGACTCCCCATTCAAGAGTAATCCTCAATTGCGCAGAGGTTTCTTAATTCTTCTTCATCACGCTGTTTTTTTAATTTTTTTTCAATGTTTTTGTTTATTTAACGGATATCAGTGCATGTGCATGCGTAATGGTGTGTTTTAACCAAATTTATTTTATAGAATGAAAGGGTAAATGCGAACGCGTGCACGCGTAGCTTGAACTTTCCAATAGATCTAGCAATTGGGCTTTGAAAAGTTATCTTATATTTTTGGAAGAATTAAGATTGCAATCTCTTGGGGAGTAGGCGCGGAGATGACTAATATTTTAGCTGTTTTTTCTCTCAATCTCTTGATGTCGTGGGATATTGCTGATAATACAAAAACCTTTACATTGTGTTCCTTGCTTAAGTGCTTATAACTAAAGATTATGATCGTGATTTTTTTAGTGCTGAATATTGAGTGTGATTTGGAAAGGGAAACATCCACCGAATTTAAATGCAGAAAGTCAAAACTAAGCGGTGCTTGTGCCAGCTTGTGCTCTTTTTCTCTGAAGTTTTGCAACTATTTCTGTGTATCTGGTAAAATTGACTTAGATCCCCCTCCTTCCTTGTAGGCCTTTGCTGTGCAAATGTGGACAAACAGCAGGGGAGTTCCCCTTCTGTAATTGTTATAGGAGGTGGCATGGCTGGGATTGCTGCTGCTCGTTCACTTCATGATGCCTCGTTTCAGGTATTCAAGCAACTAAAATATTTAACTATCTTTCACATAAAAATTTTAGTTTATTGGACATGCATGCTACTCTAATACACAATTATTGATATGTTATCCAAGTCTGGCTTGTGGCTACATGCACGACTGCAATGATCCATGTCGGATTGGCTGCATGGATTGCGAGTAATATATACTGATTGAATACGATTAAAAATTAATTATTCTCTAAATTGAACCTTGTTCCACATCCTCCAGAGGTTTTAAGTTAATTGCGATATTTTTCACCGGAATAATTTGTTAAGCTAGTACATCATTGGTTTGTTATGTTCTGGCTCAATTTAGAGACAATTCCCAGTTAAGGTTATTTACATGAAAGCTTTTTATAATACATGGGAAGCTATCCTGGGTGGTATCAGCTCTCGCGGTTACTTTGCTCGATTAGAATTGGATTGGTTTTATATATTGGTCAAACCAAACCACAGGAATGGAAAAATAAAAATTCCAGAGGGACAAAAACCAGCAAGCATATATTTTGCAAATGGAGAGGCAACCTCTCCTTTATATTATTTCTTTTTTCCCTCTTAACCAAACACTGTTTTTTACTTGTTAGTTCATGCATTTGCAATTGTCCTTTCTTTGTCAGGTTGTTCTTTTAGAATCTCGGGAAAGACTTGGTGGCCGAATTCACACTGATTACTCATTTGGCTTTCCTGTTGACCTGGGTGCATCATGGTAAAGCTCACACTCTTTGTTCTCCTTTTGCTTTTCACACATTGACAATAATGTGGCATTTCTCCCTTTACTAGTATTAAAAGTGGTAGACAATGATTCAGGTTGCATGGAGTTTGCAAGGAGAATCCCCTGGCTCCATTGATTGGGAAGCTGGGACTACCACTGTACCGTACTAGTGAGGATAATTCTGTCCTTTATGACCATGATTTGGAAAGGTAAAAGATGTATCTTTTTTATATTTGAATGATATTAGTTATCTATTTCTGCTATGCTTCCATGATTAAATGATGACTGTAGAGTATGCTTCAATTTATCCTCTGCTTATACTGAATGTTATACATTATGGGATACAAGTTTTTTTAATAGGATCATCAACTTCTTGCAGCTATGCACTTTTTGATATGGATGGGAATCAAGTTCCCCAGGAGTTGGTGGCACAAATTGGTAAAACATTTGAAATGATTTTACAAGAGGCAAGTCATTTAATATTTCAAATTATTTGGTTTATCTGATATATTGAAATTTTATAATAGAAAAGACAAATTTTCTGGAATATATTACTTTTCTAATTCATTCTATTAATGATTCCACTTGCATCACCTCCAAAGATTGACCCTGTTTTAGTGCAGTCAAACAAAGTACGAGAGGAATTCAGTGAAGACATGTCCATACTTCGTGCACTTACAATTGTTTTTGAAAGAAAACCGGAATTGAGGTCATTACTGGCATATAAAATCCTTTGATCATTATTATTTATTTTTTTGAAGCTTAAATAATGTATAATTTACCTTTCTCTGTTGGATGCAGATTGGAAGGGCTATCCCACAAGGTGCTCCAGTGGTATTTGTGCAGATTGGAGGGCTGGTTTGCTGCAGATGCTGATGCCATATCACTGAAATGTTGGGATCAGGTAATTTGACAAAACCCAGTTCCAGATGTTTGGGTTCTATTATGCATATATTCATTTCAAGCTATTGCACAACAAATCATTGATAGGCGGTGGGCTGAAGTGAATGGACAACTTTGTATTTTTCAGCTGTTTATCATAGTTGTTGTTGTTGTTGTTGTTATATATATATATATATATATATATGAAACTGAAGAAAAAAATGATGATTGTAAAGTTGCAAACTCACAGTTATGCCCTAAAGCTTTGAGTTTGAGGTTAAATTGTAAGGTGTGCCATTTATACTGGTTTTTGTAAAGTATATTAGATTAAAAAATGCATTACGAGATAGATGAGTGGCTTTATATAGTGATCTGGGTCACCATATGTTGGCAGTTAACTGTTAATTACCACACGCATCAACATTTTTTTGTCTGTAACTTATTCTTTTTTTATCTGCATACAGGAAGTATTGCTCCCTGGTGGTCATGGTCTTATGATCAGGGGTTACCAGCCTGTTATAAATACCCTAGCCAAGGGTCTTGACATTCGCCTTGGACACAGGTATGTATTAGTTTAAGTTGGGTTTTGGAAATCTGTGTCCCCAGTTATGTTCCTTAACTAAATTTAATGGCATTGATAATACATCTTCTCAGGGTAACAAAAATAGTTAGGCAATATAATGAAGTAAAGGTGACAGTGGAAAATGGGAAAACATTTGTTGCAGACGCTGCTATTGTTGCTGTGCCTCTTGGGGTACTGAAGTCAAAAAGCATACAATTTGAGCCAAAGCTACCAGACTGGAAAGAAGCTGCCATTTCCGATATTGGAGTTGGGATTGAAAATAAAATAATTTTACACTTCAAAAATGTTTTTTGGCCCAATGTGGAATTCTTAGGAGTGGTTGCAGATACATCTTATGGATGCAGCTACTTTCTTAATCTCCACAAGGCTACAGGTCGTCCTGTCCTTGTTTACATGCCTGCTGGGCAGCTGGCCAAAGACATTGAAAAAATGTCTGATGAAGCAGCTGCTAACTTTGCTTTTATGCAGCTCAAAAAGATCCTCCCAGATGCTTCTTCACCGGTAACCATGAAATTTTAATGTTTTATTCCACATTTTTACGATGCAGGAAAAGTAAAAACTTAAATCCATATTTATGTAGGTGGCGGACTCTTAAATTGAATGTTATTTTTTCGTGACTTTTCAATTGTTGGAGTTTTGAGATGTAATTTGTTTCAATGATGCAGATTCAGTATCTTGTGTCTCGATGGGGTACAGATATTAATACGTTAGGTTCCTATAGCTATGATGCAGTTGGAAAACCACATGATCTGTATGAGAGGCTACGGGTCCCTGTAGATAATTTATTCTTTGCGGGGGAAGCAACAAGTATGTTGTATACGGGGTCTGTGCATGGTGCATTCTCTACTGGAATGATGGCTGCTGAGGACTGCAGGATGCGTGTTCTGGAGCGATACGGGGAGCTAGATTTGTTCCAGCCGGTAATGGGAGAAGATGCTTTGGTCATACCTCTCCAGATCTCTCGTTTGTAATCTCAGGAGGCTTTATTTATGCTTCAGTCATTCCATGTTGTGTGAACTCTTTATGTGCTGTGAACTCTCATGCATACGCTTAAATTGATGCCTACTCTGCTCTCTGAAAAGCTCTATTCTTTTTGAGATTTCAGAAACTAATAACCCTCAAAATAATCCATTTTTATTAATATAATAATTATAAAACGATTTAATAAAAATAAAAATAAAGTAAAATTATTATTATAATATTAAAAGTGAATTGTTTTTTAAGGTTATATTTTAGAGTTGTCAAAATATTGAATCACATCCATCTTTTTCAATTCATTCATTCAATGATTTATTTTAATAATATAATAATAATTTTAAATTATTTTTATTTTTATAAAATTAATTTATGATTATTATAATAATAAAACAAACCATGGATGTTTTGTCTGGACCCCATGGCAATATATCAGCGTTCATCTTTTTAGGATTTATTATTTTGCATAGCTATTGTGCAACACTTTATCCAGAACAGTATTTTTCCATACTCATGCATACACTTTAAATTAGACCTAGAAATCGTGACTAGTGTGGGAACAAAAATGATATGCAGAAACTTATTCAACTTATAAACAAATTAATTTATTTGATCCTTTTATTTTTTCATCCAAAACAGAATGTTAACTATCAATTTGCATATTTTAAACTTCTTAAATACTAACTGTGCGTATTAAACATGAAGGTCACAAAGGAAATGAATTGAAAGAAATGGACAAAACAATTTTCGACGTCCATACAAATATGTTTCATTAAGTTGTTTTTTTATTAAATAATGAATTTGAGGAGGAGAGGATAGAGTTGAGTGAAAGGAAAGATAAAAATGAGATTTTTTGAATTAGGAGAAGAACGACTAGTACAAGAAAATGAGAGGACAGCTAAATAAATGATAAATAAAATATTGTAATAATTTTTAAAAAATAATAATTATTTTATATATTTATTGTTATAAATATTATTACTGTTTAAAATATTATAACTATTTAAATTATTTTTATTTTAATTATTAATATGATTATTATCATAATTATTTGTATGATTGTAATTATTATTATCAAAATAATAATAATAATAATAATAATAATAATAATAATAAATAATATAATAATAATATTTATATATTTATTATTATAAATACTATTGTTATTAAACGTTTAATAATAATAATAATAAAATAATAAATGGACTAAAAAATTGGCTATTATTTCATAAACAAATAAAAGAATTTAAAAAAAATGTGATTGACTCATAATTATTTATTATATATAAATGTATAAGGTGAATCATCTCCTTGTTTTAGTGAGGACCTTCGCATCCTCGAAAACAAAGAGAACACTCACTCACTCTTCTATCTTCCCCCATTAAATAAGTGGAAAGAGGGTAATTCTTCCATGGAATTATCACATACTTTCAATAGGTGGTCCTACTTTAGTTCAATATTTTTTACTTACTATTCAAATGGGATTAGGACGGCCTAATCACAATTTATAAAATTAAAATCTTAAAGAAAATATTTTTTAATCTTTTATTAATTTTATAAATTTGAATCAAAATATTCGTGAGCCCAATGTAAAATGTAGCGGGTTTTTTTTTCCGGTGTATTTAGAATGTTAGCTGTAGAAAATTTTGAGTTGGCACTCACCTGATTTTCCATATCTAGATAATGACGAGGAAGACAAATTTGAAATGTGAGAAACCATGGTCATGTGCCCCACATGGCATGTATGCCATGTACACAAGTATAATACATGAGGGAGGGTAAAACTAACATTCCTATCTACCCTACCAACCCTGTAGATGAAGAACAAATGGGTGAAGAGAATTTAAAGAAAAAAGAAAATAGAAGAAGTGTGTGAAATAAAATAATGGAATAAAGTGAAATTGATTAGAAAAATATTTTATAGTTTTACCTTTTTACTCTGTTATTTTTCTGTCACTTTTTTTTTATTTGCATTTAAATTTATTAAACTGATTAGGTATCAGTTATGCAGTAGCTATATTTATACGTTCTTTCATTTTAACCTGTCAATCTTTTCATGGGATAAACACATTACATACAAAAATCAAGAAAGAAGTAGTTATTTAATCTCAACATTACGATTTTTCCTTTTTTTTTTCACATATGATAATTTTCTGTTATCTAAACAAAAGTCTGGTTTCTACAAACTCGTGTTTACTTAACATTGCTTTTATCAAATCTTGTTGATTAAAAATCAATTCTACAAACACATATCCAAAGACAAACTGAGTGCTGACACTGAAATTTTGGTTTCATTATTACTAACTAGATTCTCAAAATTATGCGAACAGATAGATAGGGAGAAGAAACCCATCAGTACTCCTCCACTAGATTCCTATGCAAATAAGATGCAATTCTACCAACTCATGAAAAAAGATGTATGCCTATGAATCAGCAACCAGTTCATCTATAGTGTCATTTTCTGCGGATCTCTTGATGCGAACAACAGCTTTTTCAACCTATCAAGGAATTAAGATTTGGTTTAAAACTTCACAAGTGATAATAAATAATGTAATGTAACATATATAAGATGTTACTAGTGTAAAGTTTTGATTACCTCTGCTTGCCAGTTTGTTCTGGCAGTCAGAACTATAAGAGTTATTGTCTGTATAAGAACTCCAAGGATCATTCCCCACCAAATACCCTATAAAAATTCCAAATACATTGCATGAAATTTGCTCCTCACAAACTTAACAAGTAAGAACTGGATAGAATTAGTGACAGAAATGTTCCAAACTTACAGCAACTCCTAAAGAAGTTTTAAAGCCAAGAAGACATCCAACAGTAAGACCAATAACATAATAAGAAGCCAAGTTTACATAAGCCACTACTGCTTGCCATCCACTGCCAATTGCCACCCCTGAAAATTTTCCAAGAAAAGTTAACCGAAGGAGGGATAAACCAAAGTTGGTGCTTATGCTAGTGAACTTTTTATCGCTTTATTACCTGACAGTATAGGTTGAATGCCATTTAAGAAAACAGAAATGGCAAGCAAGGGAGTCAAATGAGACACAGCCTCAATGACTTCAGAGTCAGTGGTGAAAAGTTTGCTCAAAGCAACCCGGAATATCAAAATAATAGAACAGAAAATCACACTAATGAGGATGCTGGTTCCATTCACTACGAAGACAGAAAATTTTGCTACCCTTGGATGGGATGCTCCTAATTCATTGCTGACTCGGATACTGCAATCATGGATCCTATCATTAGCAAGCTTTTGAAAGAGTTTTCGAGATGAAAAAAATGTTGTTTTGTTGCTGCTAACCTGGCTGCTGTACTAAGGCCCAACATAAATTGCATGTCCCAGTTCAAGTAGTTCATACTGAAAGCACAAAGATGGAGGTTATGGTTAGGCAACACGTTAACACAAACATGAAAAATTATTCCGAGAGTAATTATTAACATACCAAATGGAAATTGAGTCCAGTGCGATTGTGGGATTGCTGAGAAGTCCTGATATAAGCACCAGTCCCTGGTTGTACCATATCTCCAAACTACATTAAGATACCTTTTCAGATTGGTAGAACAAATTGATGTAAATAATCATGTGTGTCTGACTGTATATTTATGCAGAGTAAGACTATGTCGGGATAGAAGTTGATAAGTATTTTGAGAATTTTAATCTAACCCGAATTCCAATGTATAAAACAAAGAATGAAGATTTTAGTGCTGAGAGTAAAAATACTTTTGAGTTATTGACTGAGATCTACACATGTACTAAATAGTTTATGTACTAACGTGTAAAGTGATTTTACACTGTTATCCAATCACATTGCAAGAAGTATTTTAACAGTTATACCTACCTTAATTTGGATTGGTTAACAGTTGTAAGTGGTGTATAGAAATTAAAACTCATTTATGTATGAAAGCATGCATGTAAAAGTAAAAATTAGGGAGAGATTGAGATATAGTCTGAGTGTCATACCATAACATGACAGCAGAAGCAACTGTGAGCTTGAAATAAGGCCAAATTCCTTTGAAGGCCCGTACACTGAAGCCAGTCCAGGTTTCTTTGCATCTTGGGCTAAATATGATGTAGAGGGCAGTTAAAAAGACAAGAAGCCACCAAGAAAAACTGAGAGTAAGGGCTGCCCCAATAATGCCATAGCCCAAAACATAGACAGATAGCCAAGTGAGAAGAATGTGCAAAAGGAACACCCCAACTGACATATATGCAAGAGGATTCACAATGTTCTGAGCTTGGAGGAACCTCTGCATTGGACAGCTTATTGCAAATGCAAAGAGTTGGGGAATAAGTCCCCGAGCAAACACTTGGCCTCTCTCTGATATGCTTTCTGACTGTCCTATGAGTTTCAGAAAATCCCCAGAAAACCAATACAAAAATGAAAGAATCACTGCTGCTCCAATGTGTAAGATGATTGCTCTTTGCAATATGACGCTCATTGCTCCAAGCTTTTTTGCCCCATATGCTTGCCCACACACAGTTTGCACTGCACTTGCCATCCCCAACTGCTTAAGCAAAATATATGCAATCATCACAAATACGCATATAATTGAAAAAGCAAGCAATACTTTTAATAACATGCTCTTACTCTGCAAAATTTTGTAATTTTCAATAAATTTCAACAGAAGTAAGAAGAAGAAAAAAATTATATTGTCTATTGTTAGAATTGAAGTTTTACTAAAAGGTCTAACTTCAATTCTTATCAGAGAACAACGTAAAAAATGTATGAAATATCTAATTTTGCACCAGTAAAAGAATATGTTCAAAAGAGTGTGTTAAGTAGTGCCCATACCATAATACCATAAGCAAGACCCTGAATACCGACACAGGCTAGAGATGCCCCAGCAAGCTCTAGAGACCCCAAATGCCCAGTGAACATCAAGGTCACAAAACAGAGCATATAATTGAAAATGGACACAACAATAGAAGACCCAGAGAGGAGCCAGAGGAGCCTTGACTCCCACACAACAAGTTTTGCCCACCACCTCCACGCAATAGGCCTATGTTCCAAGAATTCTTCAATGACCTCAGATGACAAATTTTGAATCTCTGTGCGTGAGTCAAGTAAAGGTTGGTGCTCCATAGAGCTAGCGAAGTCCACAGAGCCCATGGTTATTATGTGCACCACTATAAACTTCACAACTAGCTCAAGTGCATGGTGTGAGGCATGGCAAATAAGCAGTTATATATGGATGTGGACAGTGCAATCAATATATGCTCCACCAAAGATTATGTAACTAACCTTCCAACATGTTCTGGGTTGCAGCTATCCACGTGCTTGTGTACATAGACATGGTCTATATATATTTTTTACACACCAGAAAAAGGTATCTTTATATTTGTCCCGGTTGGTAGATAAATTAGATGGCTCTCTTAATTGTAGCAATGAAAACAATTTTCTACCCTTTGAAAGATTGGTAAGTGGAAACCGGAAAATATGAACAAGAAGTTAACAAAACACGTTAGTTGTTCAAAGTGAGAAGGATTGACCTTTGCATGAAGCAGCTGAAAGTCTTCAACGGACAGTTCGCGTATCAGAAGAAAGAAAAAAAAAGTTTTTCGGTTTTCACCATTTTTGTCTTCAAAAGTAAGATACTTTTTGTACTTATTTCTCACTATAACATTAAATGTGGATGGCGACGAATTAATTGCACAAGTTTTTCTTTCATCTTAATATTTCCTTTTCTAAACAATATGTTTAAGAAATAAGAAGGTCAACAATGTTCATATTTTTTTTAAATGAAAGTTTTAAGTATAGTGCAAAGAAAAAAATAATGAGTTTTTTTTTTCACTATTCGTAGGTTATTGTTATTTTAGAGATTAGTGGTTAAGAAAATATATTAATGGATTAAGGAAGTAGATTATTTATAAACCATCTTTCTTACTCACACATGAAACTTTTAGGTATTACTAAAAGAAGTTTTAATGGAAATTAAAAGGTAACTCATCTTACATGTATTTTTAAATTCATATAATAATTTATATAGTTAGAATATCTTTCTATAAATGAATCTTTATTCGATGTTATGTTTCTCCCATCACCATCATCAACCATTCACATCGTCATCTTACAATTTGAAGAACATTTAGATAATTGTTGTTACACTAAATATTTGATTACAAGAGAGCAATTTCAGGTTAAAAACTTATGTTTTGATAATATAAACAAGTTTCACTATAAATATAATAACAATAATGTTACAAGTTTACAGCCAAAAAGAGAAATTATGTACAAATTTCAGAAGCAAAAGCAGAAACAGAGGCAGAACAGCAGCATACAAGCCAAGTTGAAGACTCTCAAAAATATTGAATCAACGCCATCAATTCTTCCAAAACCCGTCCAAGAGCGTTGTCAACTACATCAATTGGCTTGGGAATCCTATTTTAATTCACGTTAAAAAAGTACTGATAAAATTTTTACTTGCTATATACATCAGACAGCAATTTCTGTTGATCTTTACCCAGCCCAGAGAACCACTTCCTCAAAGTTTCAGCACTGTCAGAAACAGATTTAGAATATGCTGAAAGATTGATGTTGGTATCAAAAAGGGTTTCAAAATCAAGAGGAAGAAGGCCAAACAAAGCACTGGCAGCGGCAAATTGAAGAAAAAGGTCTGCTTTCATGGAAGAGATGCGACAAAAATAAGCAAACAAATAACATCTCAACTTCCCAACACCTTGATCTTCAAATCCACCAACATCAACTCCAGTTCTGAAATTTAAAACATTATCAATGTCAGAACATAAACAGTAATATGTGAAACCATCCTTCATTGTTCAACCAAATAATCTCAAATAATATTTTAATAAATGTCAGCCATATTTTTTTTATTGAAGCATGTAATAGTTATTTTTAAATGATGTAAGCTAGGATGTTTTTCAATCGACTTACACTAATAATATTTTTTATCCAATGTTGGTTAAGATTTTTTTTTCTAATGTTGATTGAAAAAGCTTTAGGGCAACCTTGACTAAGATTTTTTTGCCAATGTTGAAAATTTTTCAACATTGGTCGAACATATTTTTCTTTGACTAAAAAATAACGTCGCCTATTGTTCATTGAAATGTATCACCGACTAAATATTTTTGAGTTAAATATTATTTAGTATTAAAACAATTTGTAGTTGATGTAATTGAAATATTCTTTCCAAACAAGAAATTTAAAATTTAATAAATTTGGATTTTGCCTTATGCAAACAACATTTAAAAAATTACACAATTTGAAATGAAACTAATTCAAATTCATTGTATTTGAATTTTCTAGAAGTTGTGAAATGCCCTATGCAAACAAGGTTAAGCCTAAGGCTGCAACCACAGAAATTGGGATTTAGAGTTCATAAATAAAAACTCATCATTTCCTATAGATGACTCTAAAATACTTATCTTACTTGTAAGTGATTATTTATCTTGATAGATATGCATATACCGTCCAAACTTCTCCCTCTCATGAAACATACATATATTCTCTACAACAAACAAGTATCTATCACATTATGCATGAATGATTGGCCACAATACTAACAATATCAAAGCAAAAGTGATCAATTTACCTTCCAAGCTGACCTAGAAGAACAATTATGCGAATAGCAAAGTTCTCCTCTACACATGAGTCGAGTATATTCAGCAGCTGAGGAACAAGTATCATATCAGCCCAGTGCCAGCTCTGTATTAGGAAAAGAAAACAAACATAAAATCAGTTTGATTATGATGATATCAACTAAAAAAAGTAACAAGTTATTCCACAAGTGTGAGAAGTCGAGAACAGAATACCTCTCAACCATACTTACGCCTTGGCAACAAGTCACTTATTTAAGTAAATGACAGTGAACAGCATGAGTGACATCACATTAAGAAATATAATCATGATCAATTTCATATTGTAGAATTCTATTAATTTTAATACGACATCAATTCTAAAGAAAAGATTGTCAATTATTTTAGGAAGGGTGATACTCTATAAATTTAGGATTTAATAAAAAGAATTTATAGAACAGGGTCAATATTAACTTGAAATGACGAGAATAATACCATTCTGTTTGCTACCAGGTGCTACCAGCGACAGGACATCACATTCAAGAAATATAATCACGGGCAATTTTCATATTGTAGAATTCTATGAATTTCAATATGACATCAATTCTAAAGAAAAGATTGTGACTTATTTTAAGAAGGTGAATTATGCTATATTACTCTATAAATTTAGAATTTGATAAAAAGAATTTATAGAACAGGGTCAATATTAACTTGAAATAATGAGAATAATACCATTTTGTTTGCTACGAGTTCCACCAGCGACAGGACATCACTCAGGCAACGAAAGTTGACATTTTTAAAGGTATCGGGTTGAGTAGCAGAAATCAGGCATTTTCTCGAACAGGGCACATCATAGTCTTTGTCAATTGCACTAACTGACACCAATCTAGAATCTGACAAATCTACTCGTTTTATTTCTTCCAAGAGCAAGCATGCAACTGCATCAATGGATTCAGCACCGTCCATGAATGGGCATTTAACAGTCATACACAATTCAGAATGCAGCTGATTTATTGAAGGAAGACAAGCAGTAGCAACAGATCGGTTCCCATCCTCGAGAAACACAATTAGAGACTTCAATACAGTGACCATTAAGCCAAAATTATCCAAGTTAAAAAACTTCTCTCCACCCAGATAAGAAAAAATATGGAGAATAATCAACACCATCAAAGAATCCAACTTGCCCAATCGAAGAATATGATAAGAAGCATCACAAATAAATCCAACATAATCAGTTGCAGCACATAATGATGCTAATATAACACTTGCAGCCACCAATTGTTCACTTGAAGCTACATCAGGTGATACTTCATTAGCACAATCAAGAAAATCAGTGGCTCTCAATCCAGAAGATAGAGTGTCAGCATCTACTCTATTTTTTACTATAACTTTTCCCTGTATAAGGAAATCTTCAATGAGGCCAAGCAGCTCATGCAAAGAATAATTCTCTACAAATAAGATTCTTATCTCTGCATCAGACATAACTGGGGAAAAAGATATGAAATTTTGTCAAATTAAATTCAAGTTTAATGAAGTAAAAAATAACATGATATTAATATATATAATTAGAACATTATTTTAATGTTAAGAAAATGGAAGTTGATCATGAAATAGATTCGAAAACCTGTGCAAATATGTTCCGAATAAGATCGCAAGCAGCGGAATGATTTCCCATCCCAGAGTCTCCCAAATGTCTTTGTTGCAGTCATGGTAAAATTGAACAGCATAAGTGTTAACAGCACTGAAACTTTCTCCCTGGAAGAAATTTTTAGAAAATAATAAAATTAATATCAATGACACCATTTGTCTACAGTTGAAAATTGTAATGAACTGATTTGTTTGTTTTGAGAAGGAAAGAAAAATACTGAAAAAAAAAAACTAATAAAAGGTCTTCAATAGCATTGACCATACGATCACAAAAAGCATGAGACACTTACTTCTGTGAGAGCTTTTCTTCCTTTGTAAGTGCAGTTAAAATGCTACTAACCGCCCAGCCTGTTTGAGTAGCCAAATTGCACTGAGCTATACAACTTTTTGTAGCAGTAAGTATCCTTGATATGATACTATTGTCCTCAACATTTGAAAAGACAACACAAAATTCAGGATGTTCATTGTTTAAAGATCCAATTCCATCCTCCACCGGAAAAGCAGTCCTTGAATTTTCTGTAGTTTGCATATGTGAATTACAAGAAACTCCACAATCATCACATTTTTGTGCATTAGAAATGAATGCAGCATTCATTACATCAGAGGAAGGTGAAATTAACACGTCTATTCTTGAACCCAACATGTCCTCTGGGAGTGATTTCTCTAGAGAGGGAATCATCAAATTATCCTCTTCAAATGTTTCATGAAATTCAATGTCAGGAAGAGATGGAGACAAGGGAAAATCCATTGCTTTTCTATAGCATTCCTCACTGTAAGCATTTTCTAATTCAACTAATTTCATAAAACCTTCATCAGGCACTTCATCAAAATTAATTATGGAATTGATATTATTTGCAGAATCACATATTCTCTCCCCACATACTTTTGTGGTTTCTAAATTATGTGGAGCAGGACAGGAAGTTTGTCTACAGACATTTGCACCATCATAGACCTTAATGTTGGTCTCTTCTGTGCCTTTTTTCTCATCCCTGTTAATCCAAGGTATAGTGTCCCCTTTTTCCCTACGAGATTTTTTTCTCTTCTTGTGGGCCCTTTTATTCTCTTCATCTAAATTATTCAGATTATGAAACACCTCTTTTCCTCCTAAGCATTTGCCAAGTTTTCTATACAACAAACCATGCAAATCAGATAGTTTCTCAGAAGACAAAGTTGCAATATAGTCAACTGTATCATGCATTTTTTTCCTCTTCCTGTAGCGCACATCAACAGATTTGTCAGATGGCTCGCTCATGTTTTGTTTAGCATTTAAGATCTCCTGAGTCAATTGTGCTGATGCAGTAACTGGAAAAATGTTTGCATCCTGTGAGCCCATCAATTGTCCATCAGAAAAAGATTCTGTACTGGAATTTACAGCAGAACTCTGTAACTTTGTTGGGTAGGATCCTCTAACAAGAGGCTCCAATTTAGAACCAATACCTGTGATAGATTCAGAGCAATTTCCACCGGGAGTGAGACGTGGAGTGTTGTTCTGCATCTTTTTCCTCAATGGATCACTTGCATCTATCGTTGTGCAGCAAGGCTCCAGAAGCTCATTTTCAAATTGGCTACGCATCTCAGACAAATTTAGATTGCCAATTTGTCTGATGGCATTTGAATTCTGCATGTCTAGTACACTCTTATACTGCAAAAGCGATCATCCAACAAAGATAAAAACAGTCAAGCTGTGCATAAACAAGAAAAACATACAATAAAAAAAAAAAGAGCCACAGAGAAATAAAAAAATCCTATAGTTAAATCATATCGCAAACAAAAAAATATCCACATTACATAAGGTAATTTTCTTCCCCCACCCCCACAAAAAAAAAATGTAACCAAGTATCATTCATAACTAATAAACAATTATTGAGTGCTGATATATGATAACCACCCAAATAATCATGTATTGCTTTCAGAGGATGCTGAAAATTCCCATGTCCGAAAGTTGAATAATCTGTTAGTGCTACTGTTATATAATTATAAAATCAAAGAATGCAATAATTTAGGGGACAACCAACCAATAAGTTCAAAACCAATTGTCCATAACATAAGTAATCCCCACAGTTTAATCTGCATATGAGAGTAATCCAGGATGAGATCATTGGTTTAAAAACTGTAACAGATTTCAACCGAGAAAGGAGATAAAAAATGGCAAAAAACAAAGATACCCAAAAACATTATATATAATCAGAAACAATTTGTCAGTGAAACCAACCTTTTTTTGATCATGCTTACTTCCAGCAACAGGTGAAAAGGCTGCATCAAGCATATCAAGGCGATGTAGAAATTGAATGAAATCAAGTTTTAGACGACCTAATTCATTCCGTAAAATGCTGTACTGACTAGCTTCTAACTTATATTTTTGCCTGGTATGCTTTGCTCGTAGCTTTTCGAGCTTAAGTTTGTTTTTCAAAAGCTTCATTTCTGTACTTTCACCTTTAACCTTGTTATCAGCAACCATTTCAACAGGCTTTGTCAAGGATGAGAGTTCATTGATCTTCTGCTTCAAATCCTCAATTGTCTTCTTATCCTCTTCTAACTTCTGAGACATCTGATCAGCAAGACATTTCTCTTTCCTGAACTTGTTCCAGTTATCCTCAGCAAGCGCCTTCTGCCCCTCTAGTTTAGCCATCTCTTCATCCGCACGCCTTTTTTCCTTGTCTACCTTCTGTTTTTCAATCTCCAACATTTCATTTGCTTTTGCCATTCCTGAATCAGCATTTCTTTTTTCCGCTAGTAATTTCCTCTTTTCAGCTTCAAACTTTTTGGTTGCCTCTTTAAATATAAATATCTCAGACACCAACTTTGCTTTTGCTTCATTAACCTGTTTCTCCAATTGACCAATCTGAGTCCTATACTTCTCACCCTTCTCCACTTCAACTCTGGCAATCTCCCCACTTTCAGCAGTTTTATTCTTCTCTTCTTCTAATAACTTGCAAGCTTTAGAAGCTTTCTTCCTCTCAGAATCAGCCCTTCTCTTGTTCTCCTCGAGAAGCTCCTTCAATCTGCCAATTTCCTTATCCTTTTCCGCAACTTTATTCTTCTCTTCTCCAAGTAACATGCAAATTTCATTGTCTTTCTTCCTCTCAGAATCATCCCTTCTCTTGTTCTCCTCTAGAAGCTCATTTAATCTACTGATTTCCTTTTCTTTTTCAGCAACCTTTTTCTTCTCTTCTCCAATTAACTTGCAAACTTCATTGTCTTTCTTCCTCTCAGAATCAGCCCTTCTCTTGTTCTCATCTAGAAGCTCCTTCAATCTACCGATTTCCTTTTCCTTTTCAGCAACCTTTTTCTTCTCTTCTCCAAGTAATATGCAAACTTCATTGTCTTTCTTCCTCTCAGAATCAGCCCTTCGCTTGTTCTCCTCTAGAAGCTCCTTCAATCTACTGATGTCCTTTTCTTTTTCAGCAACCTTATTCTTCTCTTCTCCAATTAACTTGCAAACTTCATTGTCTTTCTTCCTCTCGAAATCAGCCTTTCTCTTGTTCTCCTCTAGAAGCTCCTTCAATCTACTAATTTCCTTTTCCTTTTCAGCAACCTTTTTCTTCTCTTCTCCAAGTAACTTGCAAACTTCATTGTCTTGCTTCCTCTCAGAATTAGCCCTTTTCTTGTTCTCTTCTAAAAGCTCCTTCAATCTACTGATTTCCTTTTCCTTTTCAGCAACCTTATTCTTCTCTTCTTCAAGTAACTTGAAAACTTCATTGTCTTTCTTCCTCTCAGACTCAGCCCTTCTCTTATCTTCTAGAAGCTCCTTCAATCTACAAATTTCCTTTTCCTTTTCAGCAACCTTATTCTTCTCTTCACCAAGTAACCTGCAAACTTCATTGTCTTGCTTCCTCTCAGAATCAGCCCTTATCTTCTCCTCTAGAAGCTCCTTTAATCTAACTATTTCCTTTTCCTTTTCAGCAACCTTATTCTTCTCTTCTCCAAGTAACTTGCATACTTCGGCGTCTTTCTTCCTCTTAGAATCATCCTTTATCTTTTCAGTCTCTATAAATACTTTCAGTCTACCGATTTCTTTATCCTTTTCAGCAACCTTCTTCTTCTCTTCTCCTACCAACTTGCACGCTTCAGCAGCTTTCTTACTCTCAGAATTAGCCCTTTTCTTCTCCACATCTAAAAGCCCCTTCAATCTACAGATTTCGTTTTCCTTTTCAGCAGCCTTATTCTTCTCATCTTCTAGCAATTTGCAAGCTTCGGCTGCTTTCTTCCTCTCAGAATCAGCTCTTCCCTTCTCCACCGCTAGCAGCTCCTTCAAAATACAAATTTCCTTTTCCCTATTAACTTGTAAGGTCCCGTTCTCATTCCCACGGTCGCCGCATCCCTGCTGTGTTATGGAAGTATCAATCTGAGGCTCAAAGCTGGAAGTTTCACTCCCTAAGGGTACCCCAGCAGCAGTAAATTCCCCTAATTTATCACCTCTTTCAACTTTAGCCCCACATGCTGCAGAGAATAACACCACATCACATTCTATTACCAGCATATTCAACATTCACTCAACTAAACTAAACTAATAGCATATGCATTCTGCGAACATAATCAAATAATGCCTGATACACCAAATCTCAGCAATAAAAAATATTAGTTACCGTTGGAGCTGCGGGACTGGATTTCGTTGATTTTAACTTCAAGAACCTTGACGGCTTGTCGTAGAGCATTGCGAGATTCTTGCACCTTCGAGTATTTCTTCTTCCACTGAGTACAAAGGGAGAAAGAAAATACAAGGTTAAAATCGAATGTTGGTGAAAAAATAATGGACATGAATGCAAGGAAGAGGAATTACGTGGTCACAACAGGGGTTTGTTGGATCAGATTTCAATGTCCGATCTCGATTCATTGACATTGTCATCTTCGCAATGCAATGTAATGCAATGAACGACGTTAAGAGCCAGTGACGGAGGTGACGGTGATTGTAGCCGTGAAGTAAACCCTAAACCCCATAGCAGAGTGTGTTGCACAACTTCAATATTGAATCCGGAGAGTAGAATTCACCCCTTAACGTGATTTTTATGTACAGTTAAAAATAGAAGGAGAACTAAATAAGAGAAATATAATATTTAAATCTTAAAAAACAAAACCAAAAATCTTCATTCATTTGGCCATTGAACTTAAAAATGGTTAAAAGCATATTCTAGAGAAAAAAATATTATGAAATTTAATCATTTGTATTCTTGTCTACTACCTGCTTCTCTCTTTTGTGTCAAACAGGTTATTATATTTTGTAACTCTAATCAAATTTGTTTATTATGTTAATTTTAATTTATTTTGTGAAAAAAATCATAACATTAATTTTTATATTTGTAAATATTGAACTTTTGTGGTGAAGTAATTCTCAAAAGTTATTATCTCTTTTTTGGTAAATTAAGTATTAATTCATCCATGTATTTGGAAGTTTATGAATAATATTTCGGATTGCTGTGATATGATTGTAAAATATCAATTAACTTTCTCATTAATAATAACTAATAAAAACTTGATTGACCCAAATATTTATTGAATCTATTTTTTACAAACAATAATAAAACATAACAAATTAAAATAATCAAATAAATATTTTTTCATGATTTAATAATTTTTTTACCTTTTTAATTTCATTTCATTAATAGTATTTTTTTCAAGAATTTAATAATTTTTTTAAAAATTAGTCAATATTATTTTTTTCATCAATATCATTTATTTAATAAAAAAATTCAAGATCTTATTAATATTATAATTATTAATAATATCTCAATAATATATATATATATATAAATAATTATATAATAAATTTTTGAAAATTCTTTAAAATAATGAAATAAAAAACTATTTTATTTTTTATTATTTTTATTTTAAATTCATATTTTTATTATTTCTTTATATACGAAAAACAAATTGCCACACGGAAAAAGATCAGTGAATATTAAAATTTTAGATAAACAATTTAACAATAACTTGATAGAAACATATCCACACGTGATAAATTGAAGTTACATAACTTTTTGTTATAACTTTAAGATTTGATTAGTTTTAAATTAACTATTATTTTTAAATTAATTAATATTTTTTTAAAGATTGAAATTATTAAGTTGCATGATTCAAACTTTCCAGCAAACGTATTCATGATAACAGAAAAAAATAAATTTAAATATTTGGTGCTGGTGGCGGCGGTGGTGGCGGAGGCGGAGGCGGTGGCGGTTTGTAAGGAACGTTGGCATTAGCATGCTTGTACGGTGCTGCTTTCCATTAAACAGGAAGGTGTTGCTGCCACTACTCACCAACACTCGCCTCTTCTCCTGTTCTTCTACTTCAACTGCAACATTCACAATCAAAATCACACCTTCAATTTTGAAACAATGCAACTCTTTAACCCATGCCAAACAGTGGCATCAGCAGAGCATCGTGCAGGGTCTCCTCCATTTAGTCACGGGCCTCATCGGCGCATACATGGCCTGCAATTCCTCTGTCACCGCCATTGTGCTTCTAGAGCGCCTTCCCCCTTCACCATCTTCCGTTTTCTGGTGGAACCAACTCATAAGGCGCGCCGTCCATCTCGGAATCCCTCGCCACGTTTTCGCTCTCTTCCGTCGGATGAAGTCACTGGGGTGGACCCCTGACCACTACACCTTCCCTTTTCTCTTCAAAGCTTGTCCCTTTCTCTCCCTCGGTGCTTCCCTCCATGCTACCGTTGCACGCTCTGGCTTTGCCTCCAATGTATTCGTTTGCAATGCGCTGGTCTCTATGTATGGCAAGTGTGGTGCTATCACTCACGCACAGCACATGTTCGATGATTTGTGTCACTGGGGTATTCAGGACTTGGTGTCTTGGAATTCCATTGTGTCTGCTTATATGTGGGCCTCTGATGCAGAGACTTCACTTTCATTGTTTCGTAAAATGACTAGACTGGATTTGGTGTCCCCGGACGTGATCAGCCTCGTTAACATACTTCCCGCTTGTGCTTCCCTGGCTGCCTCGCTGCACGGCCGAGAGGTTCATGGGTTTGCTATCAGAAGCTGGTTGATGGATGATGTTTTTGTGGGAAATGCTGTGGTTGATATGTATGCCAAGTGTGGAGAGGTGGAAGAGGCCGATAAGGTTTTCCAGAGGATGGTGTTTAAAGATGTTGTTTCTTGGAACGCCATGGTCAATGGTTATTCTCAAGCTGGCAGATTGGAACATGCCCTTTCTTTGTTTGAGAGGATGCGGGAGGAAGACATTGAGCTAGATGTTGTGACTTGGACAGCTGTTATCACAGGGTACGCGCAGCGAGGGCAGGGTTGTGAAGCTTTGGATGTGTTTAGGCAGATGTGCAGCTGTTGTTCTCGTCCGAATGTGGTCACTCTCGTCTCCCTACTTTCAGCTTGTGCCTCTGTTGGGGCATTGCTTCATGGGAAAGAAACTCATTGTTATGCCATCAAATTTATTCTCAGCTTAGATGGACCTGATCCTGGGGATGATGATTTGAAGGTGATTAATGGTCTAATTGACATGTATGCTAAATGCCAAAGCACAGAGGTGGCCAGAAAAATGTTTGATTCGGTGTCTTCAAAAGATAGAGATGTGGTTACCTGGACTGTGATGATTGGTGGGTATGCCCAACATGGTGATGCCAATCATGCTATACAGCTTTTCTCCGAAATGTTTTGTAAGTCTATAAAGCCTAATGATTTCACTTTATCATGTGCCCTTGTGGCCTGTGCTCGTTTGGCAGCATTGAGGTTTGGAAGGCAAATTCATGCTTATGTGTTGCGCAATTGCTGTGGTTCTGTTATGCTGTTCGTGGCTAATTGTCTTATAGACATGTATTCCAAATGTGGAGATGTGGATACCGCTCAGATTGTCTTTGACAACATGCCACAGAGAAATGCTGTCTCTTGGACGTCTTTAATGACTGGATACGGCATGCATGGACGTGGTGAAGATGCTGTCCGGGTTTTTTATGAGATGAGGAAGGTGTCTCTGGTGCCTGATGGAATAACCTTTCTTGTTTTGCTTTATGCTTGTAGTCACTCGGGAATGGTGGATCAGGGTATTGATTTCTTCAATAGAATGAGGAAGGAATTTGGGGTAGATCCTCGACCAGAGCATTATGCTTGCATGGTTGATCTCTGGGGTCGCGCGGGTCGGTTAGGAGAAGCTATGAAGCTCATTGATGAAATGCCTATGGAACCAACCCCAGTTGTGTGGGTGGCCTTGCTTAGTGCTTGTCGATTACATTCGAATGTGGAAGTTGGGGAACTTGCGGCAAAGCGTTTGTTAGAATTGGAATCAGGGAATGATGGGTCATACACATTGCTTTCAAACATATATGCCAATGCCAGACGCTGGAAAGACGTGGCTAAGATTAGATATATGATGAAACGTACTGGAATCAGGAAAAGACCTGGTTGTAGCTGGTTGCAAGGAAGGAAAGGCGTTGCAACCTTTTTTGTGGGAGACAGATCTCACCCAGAGTCTCAAAAGATATATGAAACACTGGCAGACTTGATTCAACGCATTAAAGCCATTGGATATGTTCCTCAGACAAGTTTTGCTCTCCATGATGTTGATGATGAAGAAAAGGGTGACCTACTTTTTGAACACAGTGAGAAGTTGGCTCTTGCCTATGGCATCCTAACATTACCACCAGCTGCACCCATTCGAATAACCAAGAATTTACGCATCTGTGGTGATTGCCACACTGCCATAACCTACATATCCAAGATTGTTGAACATGAGATCATACTGAGAGATTCAAGTCGTTTCCATCATTTCAAAAACGGATCCTGCTCATGCAAAGGGTACTGGTGACAACGGAATCAACCCGTTCCATTTAATTTATGACATTTTTGCTACGAGAGAGGTAATTATATTACTTTTCTAGAAATGTACAAGTATCTTTTATATGAGTAGAAGGAAACTATTAGAATTAACCTAACAGTAAAGAACTTAGTAATTGTATGAATTCTTACACTCAAATTTTGTCGTTGCCATTGCACACAAATCTTTGTAATTCGAACTTGTTTCTAAGATAATAATAACCTTATCCTTTGTGATTTGGATTCTTTGTTTAATAGAATACGTTAGGGCTGTGTATCATAGGAAATTATTTTATCAAATATTTGTAAGATATCGTTTAGAACTCTAGTTGACGAAAACATGTCTGTAGCCCAGTCTGTCAAATACGAGGGAAATGACTTTGGTGCGGCGTGCGTATATAAGAAAATGGAGTAACAACTATGCTCCCAGATTCCGATTGCAGGAAAATAAGAGATTATGACTAATGACTTCTATAAGCAAAAGGTCGCCCATTGTAATATTTACACTCATTTGCTGTTTGATCTATATAGACCTTGCAAAATCACTACATCTCAACCATTAATCTGAAGTATAAGAATGCTAGGCCATGACATTCCATTACATGGGAGAATGTCGTGGTAGTGGAAAGGCCCCATCGATGCCATGTCATTCTGGAACTTCTCAACTCTTGTTGACTCACATAATTATCGCAAGAGTTGCCGGAGGTAGAAAAATTGTGGCCTGACACCTTTGCCCATTTGCTGCAACTTCTAGTGGACATAGTAATCTTATGTACCACACTGTTCACAAACTCCCTGCAAAATTATCAAATGTAAATGTTTATGTGCAGAATCAGGAATCAGCTTAATCTTAAATGTAGTGCTTATATATCCAACGTTTAGTCAGCATATTTCTTCTAGCCTTCTGCTACTTCATTCATTGGTTAAATGCAGTTCGAGGTGAAAACATTAAGTAACAATTTAAGCAGTTGTCGTGAGCTAATCATTCCCTGCTTTCATTATAAATAATTATCAAACGTGATATGGAAAAGAATCTTCAGGAGAAGACAAAGTGCCAGAGAAGATATGATTATCAAACGTGATCCTTACCACAGCTTTCATATTGTTCACGCAAAAAAAAAATTAGACTGGCCAAGGTTGACTACAATTTAAAAATTACAACAGCAATGCTAAGTTTAAGACTATAAACAAATTTGACGAAACAAGCAAAGAAGCGAACCAAGTAAGGATGGAACGAGCATGCAATAAGACAGAAATAGAAATACCAAAGTCAATTATTCATATCATAATGTACTTAAATTATTGCTGAGAAACCTATGCCCTGCTTCCAATGCTTCTCCAATTAATGTTTTGAATGATAAAGAGGAAGATCACAGATTTTAGTATATCAAATATTCCACAACGTCTCGACATACAGTGGAGATAAACATAGGGACCACAAATAATTTTATACCAAAAAAAAAAAACACACCTCGACATATGTGATCTGTAAATTTTCATTCATTATTATGAAGATCTCTGGCAATTAGTTCTTGAGCATGAGGCTGCTGTGAGTAATCCTGAGAAACAAATAAAGAAACATATAACAGCCAATATCGCTATGTTAATATGACTTACAATAGGAGGGAAGGCTTTTTCAGCTGCTCCTCCATGTGTGCTGGTATCACTTGCGGTTAATGTTTTGCAAAAGTAATTGGTTGGTTGATTGCTGGGAGTGCCAAATTCAGCAGGCAGAAGATACACCAACTTTTGCTCTTGCTACAAAATAAATGATGTCAAGATATGCTACAAAAAATAAAAAATAAATAGAACATTGTGGCACATGATAGAAAAGTACTGGACTTGGACTTTGCAGAGTCATTTGCGCATATACTTCATCTGTTTCAGCATCTGCCTGTAAGATCCAAGCTTAAAAGATTCAGAGTGCAAGCCAATAAAAATGTTTTCTGAAGTAGATTTAATCTGAAGTTCTGAACTATTAATTTTATCCTTACGTTCTTTGTCACTCTGTGAAGCTGACAGATAAGTTTCCGTGGCAAGTTAGGGTAATTAGGAATATGTGCATCTATACTTTCCTGTTGGTTGAAGCAGGAACCTGTAAAATAAACATCTATATTTGTCAAATGACTAAAGGAACAAATATAAATGAAATACATGAGCAACAATCAGTTATTTGGAAATTTTAAAAGCAACAATAGTTTAGAAAAGACAACCATTAGGTTGGAACCACCTCCTCCTAGGGTTAAAAATATAAACTAAAATTAATCATGATGATATACCAAAGAGTTCTATATCTGTCAGTCACTCTAATTTTTAGCATAGCAATTATACAAGAGATTCATACCATGATAGTCAGGCAGACCAAGGTTCAGCTTATTCTAGAATTGCAACCATAATGTCCATTTCTATTTAAAATTAACAAAATGCTGCTCACAAGCATTTATCTTATCATTTAAAATTATTAGCTTGCACCATCACAAGCATAACCGATTTCACCATACATACACAAGAAACAATAAGTTGAGTCTACTCTACTGACTTCCGTGAATAGATCAAATATTACAACTGCCCTGCTCACTCGGATCATACTGATACTAAATGAGGTTCTAATTTCTATACAACCTTTTGTGCTTTTCATGAGCATAGCATAGCAGCTTCCCCAAATATCCACAAAATGCTACAAAATTAAGGATAGTTCAATAAATCCAACTTACAGATACAAGCACCATTATTACTGACCTGCTCATCGTGACCTTGGGGAAAGTAGACTACCACATGACTTCCAACAGGAGGCAGAACCAGAAGGCTAGCACATGCATGCCAAAGTTCAGACTTTAAATATTTTTTCTCCACAAAAAATCAGACTAATATAAATAAATATGAAGTAAATCATTTCACACCATTCAAAAGGACCTGTAGTCCAATCTACAAATGGCACATCATCAGTCATCAGCACATTAAATCCATTGCATATTTAGCAATCAAAATAACATATCACAATCCAAACTCCAACCACAAGCAAACAGGCAAACAGAATAACCACGCATGAAATAGAAACAAAACTCAAACTTGTTAATGTGAACATGACCTATGATAAGAGCTAGAGCAAGGGAAGCAAATGAAGGTCTTCAACAAGTATTGTTGGTTGACCAAATTGTGTTTTGAATTAATCAATTAATAGGCTTTAGTTTAGTTTTATTGCAAGTTGTAATAAGGGCCCAATTGAAAGTTATCAGTCTTTGGGAGACCAAGAGGGTGCATAACTGATTGACTTTTAGATGCCACAATTTCAGTTACAATCAATCATTAAGTAGTTTTCAATTCATAGGTTAATAAATCATTATTAGCATTTATTTTCCTTTAATGAATATTTGCAACTCTGATGGCAAATCTTCTTTATAAGCTGAACCATTTTTTATCAGACATAACAAGTTGAGTTTATTTTTAGAAATATTAGAGTTTATCTCTTTTATCTTAGTGAGAGTGATTCTCCTAAGTTCTTGAGTGATTCAAGAATATTTGACTGTATCAAAGGACTTTCACATCCTTTGTGTGTTGTCTTCCTTGGGAAGAGTGATTCTTTCCTTCCACCTTATCACTAAATTCCTAAATTTCCTACAAGGTTCTAACCTTAAAAATCCTAAATCACCCCTTGTGATTCATATCACTTGTCACCTCAAACTTAAAATCATAAACAGGCAAACAGAAAACCACCCGTAAATAGTTTTGACAAACCCTGGTTTGCCACATATACGTGCATGTGTTTTTTATATTTTTCACTCATGTACTGCATCACACGACCAGTTGAAATAGCAAAGAAAAATTAGATTTAACAGGGTTTTGAGCTTTTGCAACCAACCAGACTTGAGATTTGGTAATAGAAGTTCATTCTACCAGGAGTTTTGTATTCAATACCTGGAGTTTAATGCCTGCTTTTTCTTGGCTTTCTGAGCAAAACCTGCTTAAGAATCTGAAACTAGCATGTTCTGGCATCAAGACGATGCACATGTTTTCTGGTATACATGCAATAAATGTGCGTGATGATGAAGTAAATCCTGTATGTGGGTTCGTTTGTCTGATTTCCAAAAGGAAACAGTTTCTCGATTCCTGTGAGGGGGGGAGTTAACCTGCAATATGAAAATGAAGAATGAACATGATGACACTAACAGTTATGCTTCCATATCTAAAATTCCACACTGCACACATTACATCTCAATCAAAATTCAAAGGAGCTTGCCTTTAGATATACAAGCATGACTTGTATTTTAATTTACATGTTACAAATCAAATGACACTGCTGTGAAATTAGCAGCTATCTTCCTTTCTTGTTTGTCGAGGATTTGAGTGTGTGGATAAGCATCATTACTCCTCATTCTTCAAATGTATCACTGTTCTGAATGTAAAATTTGGCATGAAGGCTCAAGTGTGGTAGGTTAGCATAGTGAAATTCAGTTTCACCATAGGTATCTACTAGAAGCTCAAAAACCTTTGCAAGTTAGAACTGAGCAGAGGGTCATGAATGACCACTTTCCAAGATATTATCTTTTAATCAACAGCTGGTAACCTGGTCCCTCAATGAACAGAACTCACAGTTGGGAGTCTTTTCTTGAGTATCTTTTTATCTCTAATACCATCATATAGTAGTTCGTAAGTGTGATAAGTTATGTGACCCTTTTTCAACAAATCTTCTACAAGAATCTTAGGCGCTGCTATCACCTTTTTATCAGCTTCAAAAATTGTATATACAGTGTTTGGAATGATGCCCTTTTGTAACATAAGGTGGATGATACTAACTGCTTCTGGAACCTTCTCCTTTGCACACAGACAATTTAAAATCCGTCCAAATGTTGTCAGTGATGGTATAAATCCTTTTTTAATATTTTCCAAAAGAAAGTTGTATCCTTGAGAAATATTTCCCATTTTGCAAAAGCCATCTATGACAACCCGATAAGTATAGTTGTCTGGGTCACTGCCATTGCCCTTCATCTTGGAAAAGAGCTTCATGGCCATATTCATGTTGAGTTGTTCAGAATATGCGCTTATTATGATGTTATATGTTGCTGTTGTATGACAAACATCATATTGTTTTTCCATCTGTCTAAATAACCTGTAAGCACCATCAAGATCCCCAATCTTACAGAACCCAGTTATCAATGTGCCAAAACTAACAACATCAGGTTTTAAACCCTTGCTTTTCATTTCCCCAAGCAAATCTACCGCCTCAATTACTTTCTTAGCTTTACAAAGGCTCTCTACAATAATGTTGTACGTAACTATGTTTGGAGCACAGCCCTTCTCCTCCATTGCCTTGAAAATCTCCATCACTTCTTCAAATTTTGCAGCCTTGCAAAGCCCATTCAGCAAAGTGTTGTATGTGATAACATCAGGAGTCATTCCCTGACTCCACATTCTATTTACTACCCCAGTTGCATTGTCTAACTTCAACTGTTTACAGTAGCCATCAATCATAGTATTATAGGTAAATATGTCCGGTAGGCAGCCTTTGGCAATGGCGTCATCTACAAGATGACTAGCATCAGACACACAACCCATCTTGCACAAGCCATTAATAACTAAATTATAAGTCCATATATTGGGTTGACAACCATTTTCCGCCATCTCATTCATCAATTGCAAAGCTGGTAAAATAAGACCCAGCTGAGACAACCCTTTAATCAAGGTATTGTAAACAACAATGCTCGGCCTCAAACCTTTTCCCAGTCCATCCTTAAAGACCGCCATGGCTTGATCAGGGTCACCATCTTGGCAAAACCCATTAATTAAGGAACAATAAGTAAACTCATCAGGTTTAAAACCCTTAAAAACTGCATCCTTCAGTACCCTATTTGCACATTGCACCATCCCCTTCTTGCAGTATCCATCAATAATACTATTATAGGTGAAACCATCAGGATCAAATCCATCATTCACCATTTTCCCCAAGTACTCTTCAGCCTCCACAACCCGCGAATTCCTACACAGCCCACATATCACTGTATTAAAAGTGACAACATCAAGACTCAATCCCTCCCTCAACACACTAGCCAACAACTTAACAGCACGGTCAAGAGCACCTTCCCTACAAAGCCCTTGAACAAAAATATTAAAGGTGAACAAATTGGGACAAAACCCCCTCTTCAAAACCTTGCTGAGAAGCTTCTCACTTTCAGAAACAAGACCCTTCTTGCAAAGCACATGCACAAGCTTATTAAACGTGACAACATCGGGACACAAACACCGCGCAAGCATTTCATCGAACAGAACACGCGCATGACCATGCTCACCAGAATCATACAGCCCAGCAACCACAGTGCAATAGGCGACAGCATTGGAATCACACCCAAGTTCAGGCATGTTACGAAGGAGTCTTAGAGCAGCGTGAGGCCTGGAAGTTCTGCAGAAGGACTTGATCCTTACGGTGTAAGTGTACACGTCAGATTCCACCCCTTTATCTCTCATCCTCATGTACACTTTGTGGGCTTGGTCATGGTACCCGTACTCGACCAGAATGTTCATGATGGCGTTGTAGGAGTGAACGGAGGGGTCGCAGTTGTAGAAATCCATGCGTTCGAAGGTGTCCACGGCATCCTGAACCTTCCCTTTCCTACCGTAGTTTTTCATGGCCTCGATGTACGCGCCTTCCAGAAGCGCGTTGTTGACGTACTCTCTCATTTCCGAAAGCAGTTTCTCCATCTCCTGGAACTCGCCGTGATGGCCCAGCTTCTGGACTATGCACTTGTATGTCAGAACCGTGTGTTTGAAGCCGGACTCCTTTTTCGCCGAGTTGAACATTTCCAGTGCTTTCAGAGGGTCCTTTTGGGCTTTCACCACGGCAGCAACATGCTTCGGAAGCAGTGCACGATTCATTTCAAAATTAAGAGGAAGAAGAAGCGTGCCTCTGCTACATCGATGTCCGATTACAGTGCTTTCAGCATCAAGCTCACACACTAACCCCAAATCACCCACCGCGAATGCATATACCTACCCATGCTGATTACAGAACGATTAAACGCCGAAAACTGATGCGTTTTCCGTTCTACATTCTGTTTCATTAGATTATATTTTATTGGAAGGTAAAAATTGTTGATAAAATAAAATAAAAAATGAAATAAAATGTAAATTTTACTTATTTGTTTAAAAGAGATTTTTTTAAAAAGTTTATATTAAAAAAATAAGTATTTAGATAATATAAAGTTTTTCGTACTTTTATTTTAAACAATGGATAAAAGACTATTGTGAAGAATATCATTTTAATTTTATTTTTCCTTTTTTATGTATGTATAAAAAGTAAATTATGAAATATTTAGAAAGGTAACATTTTTTATCGCTTTTTTTACTAAATAATAAAGTAAATATTTTATTATTTATTTATCTGCACTAACATATATTAGTGTTTAGTATTTAGGACAAAAATACTTGGAATCTTTTCTTGTCTATCTTTATTTTATTTGTGTTATATTTTTTAAAAAAACCAAACATGAAACATTCATAATTATCTTGTCTCAATATTTATTAATATAAATTAAATAGACCTTAAAACATTTAAGTGAGAATTATTCAAAAAGTTTTTATTAATAAAAAATATTATTTTAATATATGTTTAATGTATGGCATGATTTAAAGAGATTAAAATTTCTTATATAAATGATTTCACTTATTTTAAATAATTTTGTATATGTATTAGAATTTATTTAATTAAATAAATTCACGAAATAGAGTATAAAAATAAATAAACTCTTTCTTTACATAAAATTTTTTGAGGTATTTGAAAAGTGAAAAAAATAAAATAAACTAAAAATAATTATGCATAATTTTTTTCCAAAGGAAAAAAATATAACTAAGTTAAAATAATATTTTTTAAAGATGTATTATAAATTATTAATTAATTCTAAACCCTAAATTATTAATTAACCTATTTTGTATGAATACAGCAATTTATATTTGACAACTTCAAAATATCATTTAAAATATTTTTTATTACAACTAGTAAAAGTACAAGTATTATCACGTATTTCAATTATTATTTCTTGTTTAAAAGAGTTAAAATATAATGTTAAATTTTATTTGAATTATCTTTATTTGTCATATAGTAATAAGAAACTGAATCAATTATTTATTATGAACTGTATGATAATTATATTGTAATGAAAAATAAATCAATTAAATATAAGATGAAAATTAAGAGTTTTTAAAGAAGATAAAATATAAATTAGTAACAATACGTAAAATATATAGCAAAAACAAATAATGGTAGAGAATGATTTGTTTAACTAAAAGTTCAACAGAAAGTCACTGTAGCCTGTGGAGAATTATGCTAGAAATATGAATAAGAAATCGTTAGAATATTTTTGGAAAAAGAAATGTGCACATAAGAATTGGGATAAATGTTGCTGAATGAAATCATTTGTTCATCAGAATTTTTTGATCGTTTAGAACTCTGCTTCACGAAATATGGTGGAAATGACGTTGGTGCGGCGAGCCTATAAAACAAATAATAATTAATAATGTGTAAGAATGCTGGGCCAATCCATACATACGAGACTTGTAACATAAAATTCTGACATCATAATTTTTCAAGAAACATTCCTTACATGGGAGAATGTTCTAGTAGTGGTGGAAAGACACCATTGATGATGCCATTTCTCGAACTCCTCAACTCTTATTGGTTCTTAATTATCACAAGATTTGCCAGAAGTAAGTTTGTGACCTGAGGCAGAAACATACGGATTTACACCTCTACCTATTTGCTGCACTTCTACTAGTGGAGATAGTATATTTATGTACCAGACATTGCTCACAAACTCCCTGTAAAATTGTCAGGTGTAAATGTTCTGTGCAGTATCAGTAATCAGCTAAGTCTGAAATGAAGGAAGGACTTACATATTCAAGTTTAGGTCAGCATCTTTGTTCTAGCCTTCTGCTACTTGGGAAAACATGCAAGAAACAAAATACTGGTGCATTGACTACTATTTCGGTAGTCTCAAAGCAATGAACATGTACTCCTAGTTAATAAGCATGTGAATAGCACTATATTCGCATGTGAACCACACAAATATAACACCATGAATAAAATTGGAAAAGTTAAAACAAGAGTTTGAATTGGCAACTGGGTCGAGTTCCTATAGTTTCTATACAAAAATCCCCTAATCCACTACCCTACCATTAGAGAGGGCTATAGGGAACCTTTAAAAACTAAAACTACAAAATTTCAAACTATCAGAAACCAGTTTGATTTTTTTTTTTTTTCCAATAAGGACGCAGACCCAAGAAGTAACTTAACCAAACCAACTGTCAATCTAAGGCATTGGACAACAAATAAACAGTTTTTGACATGGGAGAAGGGAAAATTTAAGACAAGAACTACCTCGTGACAAACACTTCATTCTTCTGTCTCATTTATAGCTTCAAGATACATGGCTAAAGGAATTTGTATGGGCTTGCCCTATTATTAGAAAAAAAAAATGACAACACAGCTATTTTTATTGGTTACATGATCAATAAAAGTTTTTGGCAACAAACTCTTTTTTACTGGTTGAATTTATTAGAAATTACAAAAATTTGTGGGTGTCACTTCTTATTTAATGATTGTCCCATGATTTTGTAATTTCCAACAAATTTCAACTAATAGTTGAGTGTGTAACACTCTCTCTCTATTATATATATATATATATATATATATATATATATATATATATATATATATATATGGGTGTCAAAGTGAGTCAACCCGACTCACATGGGTTGGCTCACCACGGACTGAGTTGAAAATAAGTGAGTTCAACCTGCCCCACTTTATGACGAGTTAGAAATTTCACAATCAGGCTCAACCCACTACGGGTTGGTGGGTTGGCTCACTAATCCACATTTTTTTTTTCTAATAAGCACGACTGAATAGCGGGACTGAACATAATGACGCGGTAGCACAACAAACTCTATAATGCAATTGAAATGCGGTAAACATTATGATACAACAGAAAATCGTAACATGGTGACGCGTTGAATGCACTGGTACGACGAATGCGGTGGCGTGACAAACGATGTGGCGCGATTGAAATGCGAGACTGAAATGCTATGGCGTTAGCATGACAAAAGTTATGATGCAATTGAAACGCTGAAACATGACAAACATTATAACGTAATTGATAATAACCTTGAGTGAGAATTTGACTTATAGTGACGATATGGAATAGTGGTGGAGAGAAAAAAAAACATCAATTAAAATTACTGAATTATTATTAAAATGTAAAATGAATGGTGGGTTGCGGGTCAACCCACCTAACACGGTTCAAACCCGCTTAACCCATGGGTTAAGAGAGTCAAGTTCATTTTTAACCCATTATCGACAGAAATGAAAAAAATCGAACCCAACCCGGCTCAAACCCGCTTAACCCATGGGTTAAGAGAGTCAAGTTCATTTTTAACCCATTATCGGCACAAATGAAAAAAATCGAACCCAACCCGGCTCAAACCTGTAGTGAACCGAATTGGCTCACGGGTTAGAACCCATATTAACACCTATATATATATGGAAAACGATATTTTGACAACCCAAATCCATACAACTTCTATAAACAACTCTCTTTTAATATTATAATAATAATTTTAATTTATTTTTATTTTTATTAAATAATTCGATAGATTATTATATTAATAAAACTGAGTTGTTTGAAGGGTTGTGTGGTTTTTGGTTGTCAAAATATCACCACTATATATATATATATATATATATATATAGAGAGAGAGAGAGAGAGAGAGAGAGAGAGAGAGAGAGAGAGAGAGAGAGATGAGGGATCCATTCACTCCAAAACTAGGAGTTAGAGATGAATACTTATTAGGATATCAAGATATTAACAAAGCTATCAATATTGATAACCCCACGACATGAATACTTATTAGGATAAAATTTATTTGCTAAACATGACATACTTGTTTGTAAAGATAAAAGCAATGAGTTATTTGAGAGAGCATATGAGATACTGACAGACAGAAAACAAAAAGAGATATAGAGGAACTCAGAGAGTGGTCCTTCTACCGAGCCCTCATCATCAAGTTCATAGCAACTTTTCCTCCTTTCATGTCACGATACTAACCTTCATGGGTATAAAATCAAAATAATTTTTGACATAGAGATGTGATGTACTGCAGTCTTGAATGTTGTCTTTGTTTTGAAGACCCCACCTTCAAATTTGTTGGTACTTCATTCCTCTAGAAAATCAAGATCTCCCAAACAGATTACAAGATTTTTCAGCATTCTCACCAAAACCAACCAGTCAGTTGATTTCTTCTTAAATGAAAGCCTAGTTGAAATTTCCAATTCTTTAAATGAAGTCCACTTTAAAAAAACTCTACAAGGCACAAACAACCAACCGACCACAGTTTTCCCACAAATTCAACCACACCTACACCAGCCATCAAACCTTCAGATACACCAACCATCATCCCGATCCCTTCCACTCAAAGCATGACAGTTCACTCTATCACGCCAGTTCCCTCAGCCCCTACAACACAAGCCAGTCCAGGGGAGCAACCAACTACCACCCTGTGACTTCTTATCCTTCCTCACCAAAAAGTGTTTCTACAACAAAAAACATCAATACTCAAACCAATTCACCATAACAAGAACTACTAGCAACATGAGCACAAGCTAGAAACACAATAAACAAACCCAAAACCACCATAAAATCTGAAACCTCAGTTTCAAAATCATATAAATCCAACACAAATAATCAGAGATGGGGATAAATAAATTAAATTAGAATAGCCAAAGGAGAGACAACAAACATGTCACAGTTTCTTAAAGCAAAAAAAATCATATCAAACAATCTAAGGGGAGATAGTTCAACATATGGCAAGGAAACAGTTGGATACTATTGAAAGGATTGCTTGTAATTGTGTGTAGTGAACACACATTAGTGTTCTTATTAATAAGGAACAAAATCAATAACTAATAATGAGAAATATTTGCAACAATATTTTCCCTATTTGATGTAATTAAATCATATCTTTAACAAATACCTCTTAACCAGCAGTGAAACCAGCCAACTATTCTCTTTCTTCTACATACATTAAAAGTGAATGTTTATGCTTCAGCTGCAGAAAACGTCGATCAGTTTGATGAGATAACTCAAATTAGTCTTCCCCATTCTGCCCTGGCGGAAACTCCAAAATCCAACCAGCAAACCAATTCACAAATATGAAAAACAAGTCACAGTAAATGCCGGACTCAATTTCCCACGAGAATAGCAAATGGACCAAAATTCAGAGACAACATTAGCTCGTGGCTAGAATGGCAACAGACAAATTAAATGAGATCGAGACTGGATACAATATGTTGGCTTCAAGAAGAAGAAGCTCCAAATTCAACCATATAATCCTTAGAAACTCTTGCTCCCCATGGTATTTGTTTTACAAAATAGTTTATCAGTATTGACCAAGTGATTTCATTGGGAATGAACCCATTATCTACGCCCCTATATAAAAGCAGACATGCATCATTAAACATACCCTCATGACAGTGTCTACTGATCAGTGTGTTATATGTAATATTATCAGGACAAATTCCTTCACCTTGTAACCTGTTAAATATGTTCAGTGCTTCTTGAAAACGATCCATCTTGCAAAGACCATTGATCAGGCAGTTATAAGTGACTATATTTGGTGTCAAACCACGATGAATCATATCCCGAAGAAATTTTAGTGCGTCATTTACTTTTTCAATTCTGCACAAGGCACTGATCAGAATATTGCAAGTGATAATGGTTGGAAAAATCCCTTTCCCAAGCATTTCTTCAAACAATCCCAATCCTTTTTCAACTGCACCAGTTTTACAGAGCACTTTAATAAGTCCATTATATGTAATATTGTCTAGAGGACACCCTCTAAATAGCATTTCATCGACAAGCTTAAATGCTTGATGAACTGAATCTCTCATAAGAAATGCATTGATCAACGTATTGTATGTTACTGTGTTAGCAATAACACCCTCCAAAAACATGTCATGATACAAACTCAAGGCCTGGTCCATTTTGTCATTCTTGCACAGCCCATTTATTAAAGAATTGAATGTATAAATGTCAGGTTTACATCCTTTGCTTGACATTTCGCGAAACAGTTGTAAAGCCTCTTCAATCTTCCCATCTTTGGACAGTGCACAGATCAAGCAATTGTACCCCACTGTAGTGAGACTCAGACCCTTGGCTGACATGCTATTCATAATTTCAGCCACTTCCTCTAATCTGCCTTGCTTGCAGAAACCATTTATCAATATGGTGTACGTGATCACATTGGGCTCGAAGCCTTTTGCTACCACCTCAGATAAAAATTCAAGGGCAGAAACCAAATAACCTTTCTTGCAAAGTCCATCAATCATTATGTTAAACGTGTAGGCATCAGGCTCATAACCTGCAGTTACCATGCTGTTGTACAGAAGATCCTTCGCTTCTTCAAACCTTCCACTAGCAACATATCCATTGATTAATGTATTATAGAGCACAGTATTGGGACTGGGAATTTTGTTCAGCAAGGTCCTTGCTACATCAACTTGCCCCATTCTGCATAACCCATGCATTAAATATCCATAAGTCAGAGCATCGGCGCTGAAACCACGAAGGAGCATTCGGTCAAGCAACTTCACTGCCTCATGAATCCGGCTGGCCCTGCAGAGGCCATGGATGACATCATTGAAGGTCTGAACATCAGGCTGACAGCACATCAGAAACATGTCCTCCAAAAGCCGCATCGCTTCACTCACTCTGTTGTTTTCACAAAGAGCATGAATCAGGGTCTGGTAAATGACCGAATTTGGAACACACCCGTGCTTCGCCATGTCCCTGAGAAGCGAGCTAGCGGAATCAACCTCATTAACCATACACAAGGCTTTCATGACCACACCAAACGTATGCACGGTCGGAGAAACACCTCTACTCAACATGTCATAGAAAACATTAGGTGCTACCCTGGGACAATTACCATCAACCAGAACCTCCAACACAACATTGTAGGACTTAAAAGTGGGGTCACAGGAATAAACACCCCACATGTCCAACAAAAGCCTAGTTGCTTGGCCAGGCAACCCTGCCTTCCCATAATACTTCATAATCAAAATAAAGATTGACTCCTTAAACACAACTCCTTCATCTTTCATTTGCTTCAACAAGTTTTCTACAACTTTGAAGTCCCCAACAGCCCCAAGCTTATCAATTAAGAGATAGTAGGCATCGAAGGTGTGGCAATACCCCTTTTGGACACCAGCCCTTTGAAACAATTCCATTGAAGTGGGAATGTCGAGAGGGAGTGCTAGCAATTTACAAAGCTGAAAAGGGCTAATTGGGGTGAGCGATCTTCTAAGCTGTTTTAGGTCAAAAGGTTTGAGCAATCTCTCCCACTCTGTCTCAGTGTCACTACTCTCAGATTCATTGTCATAGAAACTGTTGCCTGGGGCAGTTGTGCAGAGCGGGGAAAAAGGAATTTTGAAGCGAGGTAGCGTGACCCTACTTACATTGATAAAGGACTTGAATGTTTTCAACATGAAGGTTAGAGATTGAAGGGGAGAAACTAACCGCTATGTATAACGATGCTGATGATGCAGCGTTTGTTATGAATCACGATGAGAGATACAGAGAGAGGGTTTGGCTTCACGTTTCTACGCAGAAAACGTAGGATTTCAAAGAGAAGCACTTCTACTTGTTTTCATGTGAAATTAGAATGAAACGTAACGCACGGGATTTCAAAATTTATTTTCATATACTAAAATTTATAATACAATAAATAGTTATTTCAAATGTATATATAATCTATTTTATATATAGATAGATAGATTATTATTTTTTTACCTTTTTGGTATTATTGTTTATAATTATTTTTATGATAGATTTTGATAAAGAAGGAAGAGAGATATAATTATTATGTATTGAAAAAAAAAATAGAGAGAACAGATGTGAGAAAAGTAAAATAAAAAAAATGTAACATATAAACTTAAGAAAGAAAATATGCTATATATTAAAAAAATAAAATAAAATAATTATTTAAAATATATATATATATATATATATATATATATATATATAAATATGAATAGCTTTATCTCTATTAGTATATTACAATTAAAATTCATGATAAATAAATATTGTAATATATAAATTGTGTTTTAAATTTCATAGCAACAATTTATATTATATTACTCAGTTATTTTTAATTATCATTAACTTTAAAAAAAGATTGAAATTCAATTTAGGCATAAATTGTAAAAAGTAAATTAAAAAAATAAGTGATTAAGAAAATCAATTGAATTTAGATAGTTGACAAACAAATTTGTTAAGTGACTGGATACAGGGTAAATACAATTAAACCACATTTAAATATATTTTTAAAGTACCTGTAAGAAATTATATATATATATATATATATATAAAGAACTCTAACTAAGAAACAACAAATCATAAGTTTTTTATTTTCTTCAACGAAAAACTATGCTAGAGATAAAAATCAACATTTCTACGAGAAGAATAGTAAATTATTGATTAACCTAGGCTTGAACTGCACAATCAAGGGCAAATAAGATTTGACAACTCCAAAAAGAACATCATTTTAAATAAATATTGCTTAGATGAAGCTATTTGTTCATCAGAAAAAAAAAGCGTAAGAAATGATCTTGTTTATTGTCGTTTTAAAAACACAACTTCACAAAAAGTTTTCAGAATGTAAAATATGCTGGAAATGACGCTGGTGCATACAAGAGACCAAGCTCCCAGATTTCGATTGCAAGAAGTAAATAAGAGATAAAAATTAATAATTGCTATAAGCAACTAACCATTACAGAAACAAGGTCACCTATTATAATTTACAGTCATTTGCTGTTGATCTATATAAAGACCTTGCAAAATCACTACATGTCAACCATTAATGTGAAGTATAAGAATGCTGGACCAATCCATACATAAGAAACTTTGAACATAAAATTCTGCCATCATAATTTTTCAACTAAGATTCCTTACATGGGAGAATGTCCTAGTAGTGAAAAGACCCCATTGATGCCATGCCATTTCTGGAACTTCTCAACTCTTGTTGACTCACATAATTATCACAAGAGTTGCCAGAGGTTGAAAGTTTGTGACCTGGGGCAGAAGTAGAAGGACTAACACCTTTGCCCATTTGCTGCACTTCTAGTGGAGATAGTATTTTTATGTACCACACATTGTTCACAAACTCCCTGCAAAATTATCAAATGTAAATATTTCTGTGAAGAATCAGGAATTAGTTAAGTCTAAAACGAAGAGATTTTTGCTTATTTATTCATTTTAGTCAGCATCCTTCTTCTAGCCTTCCACTACTTGGGATTACATGCAAGTAATTAATACTTCTGCATCGGCTACGATAGCAGTAGTCTCAGAGCAACGAATATGTACACTAAGTTAATGAAAAAAAATGTAGTAGAAGGAACAAGAAAAAAATGTAGAAATTATTCAGATTCATAAAAAAATAAATTAGCAAAACCTCAACATGTTCAAATGTATAATACGTAAGAAACATCACCGACTATTCTTATAGCACCAATGGCATTAGCATCAATGAAGGATGTAGCAATTCATAAGATAATATAGTATAACTTGAACATAAATAACAACAGGCATAAAGCAACTTACTGCCAAGGATCATCACCCAGAAGAAGAACATCATTCTCCCGGTCAACAAATACAAGCTGCCAGCCTGATCTCTGAGTCTTAGGGTCCTCTAGTTGGCCTTCAAGGCCAAACATCCGAGCAAGCTCACTACGCAGTTCATCATAGCTGCTGAACTTAGAAATGTCCAGTGACCTGCCAAAGGACCCTGACTTGTGAACCTGTCAAATTACACCACATCCAAATAAATAAAATTAGAGTAATAGACAATGGACAATATCCACGCTAATCGTAGAAAATAGTAGTCCTACAAAAATGAAAAAAACAGCTGCAATATGAAAATTTTCCAACAAAACCACTATTTACTGTTTGCGTAAATAGGGTCCCAATATCCCTGTACAATAGAACCAATTCAACATTGAACATAAATACATTATATGAATATATTTAACTTGTACCTTGAACCTATTCTTTTAACAGTCAAAGTGTTGCTTAATTTTGGTAAATTATATTAAAAAGTGGCTGCAAATAAACAAAAAATATATTAGCTATTACCTTAACAAAGGTTCCAGTTGGTGTGTTTGCTTGGTCTACATTTTCAGAAGACTGCAAGAAGCCTGATTCATCCACACAACTCGAAGTTGTCATGTTTGAACTTAAGGGGAAATCAGTGCCTGTAGCACCACCACAATTTGAAGCAGAAAATGGCAATGATAATGAATCATTCACGTTGCCTATATTTCTCAGGTTTGACATGCCATTTTGCAGCATAAGAGAAGAGGGATCAATGTTAATCCCAAATAAAAGATTGCTCTGAGGATCAGCAGCACCATGGTATGCAGAATGTTCTCTTCCAGGAAATGGAGGCAAAGCAGCAAGTTCAGACACATTTGATTGCGATGTTCCCAAGTTTTCCACCTGAGGCAATACGCACTGAGCAGCAGCAGAGGGAAGCTGAGGTTCAACTGTCATTTGCTTGGGTAGGATGGATGCAGAAGACATAACCGAGTTGGATCCATTCAAGTTAAGTAACTGGGATGTTCCATCCTGGGAGAACGAACCTAGTAGACTCTGGATAGGGGAAACATCAGAACCAGAAATATGATTCCTGATAGGTTCAGGAAAACTCTGCTGCTGGCAATGCGTAGCAAGAGCTTGCATGGGAGGAGATTGAGACTGGGTACCTGATGCAAAATTAGACAAAGGAGAGATGACACTCGGTAACTGCTGAATAGGCAAATTTTTCAGTTGCTGTTGCCGCTGATCACTGTATGGGTGGTAACGATGCAACTGCTGTTGCAGAAGTTGTGACTGACCAGGCACTTGGTTTTCTTGAAAATTTTGAAGAAGGGTGCTTTGAGGATGAGGCGGTGGTAATACTTGCCTCTGTACCTCAGATGTATTAGCACTGGGGACATTTGAGGTCTGCTGAAACTGCAACAGAGATTGGGAAGATTTTGAAGGGTCCATTGTCCTCATTTCCTGGAATGCAGAAGAAGTCATTGCTTGGTACAACTCTGGTTGGAGACCAGGAATAGATGCGTCAAGTCTAGGTTGCATCCATGGTGTAACACCGAGCCCCTGGAAGTTTAAAGATTGCATTCCTTGATCCCCAAGGCCACCTTGGAGCCACATGAATGGAGAACCAATGCCCATGTCTCCATCCTTGAGACCTGACTTACACAAATGGAAGACAGAAATAAATTAAGTGAAGATGCTGTGTAACATCACAAAACAATAAAATAAAGCATATTGTCAACAGATCTCAGAGAATGCCATGAGACAAATTTTATTAGCAAAACCACCACATACCATATAAAGAAGGTAGGCCTGTTGGCCAAGGACGCCTCAACCTTAAGGGAAATGGAGACGGATACATCGGGAATGTTGTCAAAGGTTCAATCTCCCACAAGGAAACTCTTGGCTGCCGCTCCCCTGCAGTGGACTCATCCCAGCCAACCTACACCAGTAAACATAAGTTAAAAAACAAATTATGCATCATCTGATTCATCTTCAAACACAACCTCATATTTCTATAATAGTGCTAAACTCTATCATGACAGCGGCATAAAGTTGCTAGATGAATCAAACAATCATGACAAACCTTCACAGAACGCCAGTGTGAATTTGGCCAGCGGACCGGATCTAAATCACTAATACCAGTAATGGTACCCATGTATCTGGACAACAACATGTTGCAGTAAGTATAGTTCAAATGTTAAAAAACACAAACTTAGAAAAGACTATTGTTATGAAGACAAGCAAATATTGCTGTGACTAATCATTCAAAATCTTTTGGAAGAATACACACATATTTCCATGGCTAATCACTCAAACAAAAAACTTCAGCCTTTATCTTATAGAAGCACACAGTAATGCATCAACAGTCAGTAACCGGAGTGCACAGCAGAGAGTGGCAAGCATCAAATGGCATACAGAAAACTATAAATGCAAGAATAATATGTACAAATCAACTAATCAGTGACATAACAAGGCAAGAATCGAAGTTGAGGAAAGCTAAAGGGAAAAGGGGGCAGTGTTTAATAGGATCCAAAATCCACAGCACATTTGCTACACACAATTACTTAGAGTCACACATAGATTTAAATTTAAAGGGGTCCAGCTAATACTTTCACTGTTAAACATGGAGTGGAATCATGTGCAGTTAGTCACCACTACCAGCAATGTTGATCGGGAAACTGCAGTGTCTTGAGAATAGCAGTATATTTGTTTCTCTATTGATACAACACAGGAGACTGCACACCCAACCCCAAGTACTATGTGGTTATCACCAACAGTCATTGATGAACCACAAATAAAATTGGTAAAGTAAAATTAAAGGTTAAATTACTTCATTTGACTCTTATACTTTTTGAGAGAATTCAGATATCACCTATAGTTTCAAAAAAATAGTCTCATAATCCACCACCCTACCATTAGAGTGTTTTTGGGACCCTTTAAAAAATGAAACTTTAATTTGAAATTATAAGAGAACATTTTCAATTTGTGCAGAAAGTACGACCAAAGAAATATATATCCAAATAAACTGTCTCTTTAAGTACAGGGACAAAAACATAAAGTAAAGACTTTGTTTGACATGGGAACAGGGAAAATTAAGACAAGTAATACCTACCGACGAACACTTGATTCTTCTGTCTCAAACAGCATTCTAAATCGCATGCCAACAGAAACTCGTGTATGATACACTGCTTTAACATACTTGGCCAAAGGAATGACAAATTCAGATGGGCTTGCCCTATTATCAAAAAAAATAAAAAATAAAAAAGTTCAGTTCAGTACGATTTTTAGGGTAATAATTCTCATCATTTGCATTAAAGTTACAAACCTAGGATTATAGAATATAGTAAAGCGGCTGTTTGTGGCAGCTGCATGAGCTGCAGCAGCAAGAAGACCAATGTGCATGCTATCACTTGACAGAACTGATGATGGCATGATAGTCTGTGGACGATTTGCTCGCCGTATGCCCAAGAGTAATTGATTTTTTTCATTCCTGATATAAAGAACAGGAAGAATGGTTACAACCATATCTTATGGTTCCTTGTAATAGATTTTGATCAAGCACCCAAACACATATTTATTGGTGATATTGCTATACAAGTAGGCTAACAATAGACATAATTATCAGATTAAAAAGCTCCCAAAGGTGAGCGGACATTACTTTAAAATAATGGGTATATAATACAAATAAGCATGACTTCTAGTCCAAGCTCTAATAACTTCCTTTCAGTTTAAAGTACATCTATAACTAAAACTGTGTATACAGATCGAGGGAGAGAAAATGTTTCCAAGTGGGTCAAGTCATTGGAAATATCAGAATTATACGTACCAGATGAAAAGGACTGAATCACCAGCAACAAGCCTCTTTGCACTGACAAAGACACTCCAACCTGTAGTGAGAAGGTGCCTTTTCGGCTGACCTGAAAGTGAAGATATAAAGTTGTTTGAACTGAAAACATTTAAGCAATTTTCATGAGCTAATCATTCCTTGGTTTCACATAAACAGTTGTGAAATTTTGATATGGAAAATGATCTTCGGGAGGAGAGGAGAGCCAGAGAAGACAAGTTGTATATGATTAAGTATACACTAAACATTTATAATAATCCTTAATACAACTTTCATATTGTTCATGCTAAACAAAAAACTAGACACACCAAGGTTAACTAAAATTTTAAAATTACAAAAGATTCCTATTTTAAAAGTAATGCTTAGTTTAGAACAAAAAACAAATTGGACCAAATAAGCTCATACAACCAAATAAGGATGGAATGAGTATGAAATTAGACAGAAGTGGAAATAGTACATCGACTTTAATCATATCATATGCAGTTAAATTACACCTTTGAAACCTAAGTCCTGCTTTCAGTGCTCTCCAATTATGTTTTGCTTGATAAAAAGGAAGATCACAGATTTGTGTACATAGAATATGCAGTACATCAGAGTAGTTTCTTTACCAGTAATCATGTGCAACAGCATAAAGTGGACATATCAAAGTAGATGCGGGGACTACAAATAATTTTATACCAAAAGCTCAAAAAAAAAAAAAAAACCTCGAAATATGTGTCTAAACTTCCATTCATTATCATGTAGATCTCTGGCAATTAGTTCTTGAGCAGGAGGCTGCTGTGAGTAATCCTGAGAAACAAATTAAAGAAACATATTAGTCATATCAAGAGCTAACAAACTAATTACTGAGAATCAAATATAACAGATAATATCATTAAGTTACTTACAAGAGGAGGGAAGACTTTTTCAGCTGCTCTCCGAGGAACAGAAAATCCCCCATGAGTGCTGGTATCACTTGCTGTCAATGTTTTGCAGAAGTAGTTCGTTGGTTGCTTGCTGGGGGTGCCCAATTCAGCAGGTAGAAGATACACCTCCTTTTGCTCTTGCTACAAAACAAATAATGTCAAGATATGCTATAAAAATAAAATAAAAAATAGAACAAGGTAGCAAATAAGAGAAGAGTACTGGACTTAGAGGTTGCAGAGTCATTTGCGCATACACTTCATCTGTTTCAGCATCCGCCTACAAGATGCATGTTTGAGGGGAGGTTCAGAGTGCAAGCCCATAGAATTATTTTCTGAAGTATATTTAATCTGTAAGTTATGAATTATTAATTTTATCCTTACATGCATTGTCACATTGTGAAGTTGACAGAGAAGTTGCGGTGGTAAGTTAGGGTAATTGGGAATATGTGCATCTACTTCCCTGTTGGTTGAAGCAGCAACCTGTAAAATCAACATCTATATGTGTTAAATGACTAAAGAAACTAATATAAATGAAATACATGAACGGCAATCAGGTTTTTGGAAATTTTTAAACTCAACAATAGTTTAGAAAAGACAACCTTTAGGCTGGAACCCCTTCCGCCTCAGGAAAAAATATAAACTGAAATTCATCATGATGATACACCAAAGTGTTCTTTATCTGTCAGTCACTTATTTTTAGCATAGCAATTATACAAGAGATTCATACCATAATAATCAGGCTAACCAGAGTTCAGACAATTCTAGAACTGAAACCATAAATTTAGCAAAACGCTGTAATTTCAAGCATAAAGAAACATCGCATCTGTTACAAGGGACTTCACTTATGAGCTAGAGTGGTAGAAACAATAAAAAGCATAAAACCAAAAGATTAATGGATTATCTTTTGCTTTCTCTTTACTTAATTAGCCCGTCCTCCCTCCTTCCAGGCACCAACACTAATCCATGAAGTCTGCTAGCACGTAACTCATAGCTTACAGCTCTTCATACTTTCACAGTATTGCTGAAAAATTGTGAGTTCCCAGTGCTATCAGATCAAATACAAAATTTATGTTATCTTAAAATTACAATCTTGCACCAGCACAAGTATAACTGGTTTGCCCATACATACACAAGAAACTATGAGTTGAAGTCTACTCCACTGACTTCAGCAGAAAGATCAAATATTACAACTGCCCTGCTCAATGAGATAGTAAGGATACACATACTAAATGAGGTTCTAATTTTCTAGACAACCTTGTGTGTTTTTCATGAGCATAGCAGTTTCAACAAATATCCACAAAAAAAAAAAAAAAAAAAAAAAAAAAAAACTAAGGATAGTTCAATAAATCCAACTTATAGATACAAGCAGCATTACTGACCTGCTCACTGTGACCTTGGGGAAAGTAGACTACACGACTTCCAACAGGAGGCAGAGAAACCAGAGGGCCAGCACATGCATGCCAAAGTTCAGAATTCAAACATTTTTTCTGCCCTGCGAAATCAGGCTAAAATAAGTACACATGAACTAAATCATTTCACACGAGTCAAAAGGATCTTTAGTCCAGTCTACAAGTGGCATATCAGTTATCAACACATTAAATCCATTGCATATTTACCAATCAAAATAGCATACCACAATCCAAACTCCAACCACACAAGCCAACGGCAAACAGAATAACCACACATAAATAGTAACACAACACAACCTTGTCACCTCAAACTTAAAATCATAAACTGCACACACCAGCAGACTCAGCACCACCGACACTTAAGAGTTGAGACAAATCAAACACAAATCAAATCGACATGACACTATGAAGTTGACCCTGACCTATATATAAATATTAAAAACAAACAAAAACAGACCACGGAAACTGGTTCAACCTCACTCCATGCCATATAATAATGACAAACAAACACCTACAAGTAGAGTACTATTAGTGTATCGCTGTCCTCTCCCTCCAAACCCGTGCAAAGACAAAAGAACCACCAACACAAAACAAAGGTCAAGACAAGACATGAGAATTTTTCTCAAAAGTGGGGGGGACAGGGCAGAACGGCATACAAACAATTTGCACAAAACGAAAGAATCAAAGAAGTTACCACTACCTTCTTCTTCACCCGGTTGATTAAATCCAGAAGAAGAAAGCTTCATGCTTGGAGCTAGAACAACAGGTGAAGTTCCAAACTAGTAAAAACTAAAGCACCCTAAGTTGAATAAAAGCATCATTATTGTTGTTATTATTATGGACTCCAATTTTTCATATCCCTTTGAATCAGAAATGGTCCTATTTCATAGTCCACCCACCCACCACCCACCCACCGAAAATTAACGGTACCCACAGAACCCTATCATCCGAAGCCACTTCCAATGCAACACCCAAACCTCCTGGTTCTCATAACACGCCCAAATCCAACCCTAATTCGGAAGCTTAAGCTGAAACCCTAGCTTGGCAGATCTCACGGGAACTGATATGAACAGTAGAATTATGGGGGAGTTGAGGAGAGAGGCGAGTGAAGTGAGAGTGACATTCATGTGGAATTCAGTAGAAGAAGGAGAGAATGCGATGTGTGTGTGAGAGAAAGAAAGAGAGAGAAACGGGTCATGGCTATGTTGTTACTCAACAACAATAATGCACAGTGACTGGTAATAATTGATCCATGGCATGGTATGTGCTGTGCTACTATACGAAATGGTAACGACGACGGAAAATACGGAAACTTTCTACGAATCGTACATAGATACTCTTTGGATACTATGAACCCAAACACTTGCCAACTTTGGTACGCTAATGCAACTTTATTTGCACTTCCCAACGCCTACTTCTGATTTTGTCATTTTTTTCATGAATAATACTATTTTAATATATTTGAACATTATTTTTGTCATTTTTTCATAAATAATACTATTTTAATATATTTGAAACATTATTTATCCAATTATCATTTTTTTACTGTTTACGATACTTTCGCTCAAGCGAGTAATGCATCACTTAAATAAAGAGACTTAGAACCAATGGATATTGTGGGGTTTAATTTCGCTTAAGTGATTTAATTCTCGCTTGAGCGAGAAGTTCTCTCGCTCAAACGAGAAATTCATCACTTGAACAAGAAGATATAAAACTATTGGGTAATCTCGGGTCAATTCTCGCTCAAGCAATGAGTAATTTCGTTCGAACGAGAAGTGATTGAAATATGTAGTAACTCAAGTTGCATTATGTGACTAACTGCGTTGGACCTTTAGCCTGTGGTCAATTATCGCTCAAGCGATAGGTAATTTCGCTCGAGCGAGAAGTTATTGGGTAACTACATTGGACCTTTAGCTTGTGGTCAATTCTCGTTCAAGTGAGACATTCATCGCTTGAGTGAGGAGATCTGAAACTATAATGGATAATCTCAGGTCAATTCTCGCTCAAGCGATAGATAATTTCGCTCAAGCGATAAGTAATTGGCTAACTGCGTTGGACCTTTACCCTGTGGTCAATTCTCGCTTAAGCGAGACATTCATCGCTTGAATAAGGAAATTTATAATCAATTATAATTTAAACTAACCGATCATAATTTTAAAATAATCGAATATTTAAAATTATGATCGATTATTTATCTCTCGCTCAAGCGAGAAACCCTTCGCTTGAGCGAGAAGACCTGAAACTAATGGGTAATCTCATGTGTTTTTTCGCTCAAGCAGTAGGTAATTTCGTTCGAATGAGAAGTGATTGAAATATATGGTGGCTCAAGTTGTATTATGTGACTAATTGCGTTGGAGCTTTAGTATGTGGTAAATTCTCGCTCAAGCAAGAAATCTATCGCTTGAATGAGGAAACTTACATCTATTTATAATCGATTATAAGTTAAACTAAACAATTATAATTTTAAAATAATTGAATCTTATATCTTCACTAGTCAAGTTAAGCCTTTTGCAATAATTGTTTCATAAAACCTACAAAGGTTTATCTAATTATTTTCGTATTCAAAAATTTGTCCTTGATAATTTTAAGTTATACACTCCCTGGATTGCAAATTGCAACCTTGTCAGCATATTTTCGATTCAATCATGAACAAGATTGAACAGCAAAAAGACTAAAGTGAAGGATATTAACAATTCATGCAACAAACCAGTATTCCTATTATGATTTGTTGTCAATATAGTTATCCTCACTCTGTAAAGAAGAAATTTTATTAATTAAAAAACTCCTAAATTTCATACATTGGGGCATTTTTTTAACTAATACAATCTAATTATGCGAAGTAGATGCACGTGTAACATTGGGGCATGTTCTTCTGCTATGACCAGGGATATAACAATATGAACATTTTTTAATCCTACTTTTATTTTCTGTAATATCCATCTCAATTCTTATACGGCTTGATTTTGGTCGGCTCTTTGAAGTTCTTTTCATTTCTGGATTTGCACACAAAGTAGGTCCTATATATGTTGGTCAATATTTTTCATTTCGCAACAACCCAAATTGTGTTTCCTATACCTTTGAAACTTATTGAAAGGTATACATTGGACGAATGTAGTTGTTGAAGTCATGGTGTGCATGCTTGCATGTAACAAGAACATGTGAACAAGACATGTGAAATTTCTGGAATTTCTCACAGTCACACCACAACTTATCAAGGTGAACTGCAAACTTTCCTGCTGGTCGAACTTCACGCGGGTTCTATGTTTCTTCTACTACAAATTTTGTGGTAGACTTGTCAAAAGTTATGACCCTATGCGTGTTTGTCTGTGTTTGTGTTTCCTCTAAATTTGTGACCAAAATTTCAGAGTATACATGACCAGCATTGATCATGATATTTATCTGTCTCCCTCTTTCAATGAAAAATTTGTTGCAGCGGGTGTATGTTGCGTTGACCATGGAGCAAATAGGTAGATTTCTTGTTTTTTTCAAAACAGAGTTGATAGACTCTGCTATGTTGGTCGTCATGTGGCCCCAACGCCGTCCATTGTCTCATGCAACTGCCCATTTTTCTCTAGGTATCTCATCCAACCAATTAGCTGCTTTTATGTCAAATTACCTTAAGATGTTGTAATAATAGTAGAATCGTGGTTAAGTCATCCCATATGCTACAACAATATTAAAAAAACATAGTTAATATAAATATTTATTAGCAACAGTTAAATAATGAATAAATTGTAACAAATTTGAAGTAAAGGAATTATACATATTTACAACATCTTTTCTTAGTGTGGTGTTTTTGAAACGTCTCATAAAATTCTATGCAATATGTCTAATGCAGTAGACATGCACTGCATTATTTTCTGTCCATCCGCTTCCATTTCTCATATATGCACTTCTAATGGATTTATGTCGGTCTAATATGAGGCATAATCCTTGTTGGGGTGTGACCTATCTTTGGAGGTTTTTTAAGAAAAAAAATCAAGCATCACTTGTTTCACATTCAACCACTGCAAACACAATGGGGAGGATGTTGTTGCCACCATCTTGTGGTACTGCAATCAACAAGGTACCTCTATATTTTCCATACAGAAAAGTTCTGTCAACTTGAACAATGGTCTTGCAATGAATAAATCCATCTATGCATGGCCTAAACGACCAAAACACACGCTTAAAAATATTTGAATTTTGTTGAAGGACCTCACCTTAGTAAGCTGGTTGTGACTGCAGTTTGTAGATGAATCCGGGAACAAATTGTTGCATGACTTATAACAAACAAGACAAATTCTTATATGAATCCTCCCAATTGTCGTAGATGGTCTTCACTGCCTTTTGTTTTGCCATCCAGGTCTTCCTGTACGTTATAGTGTAACCCATTGTTAATTGGATGTGGGTTATGATTGTGGAGATTGGTATTGACAAATCAACATCAATTATTTGACCAATAGTTTAGGAAATCATATTATATCTCAACTTGTTATTGTCTTGGGTGATTAATGGCGAAACATGTGTATGGTGTCCTTCAAGCTTCATAATTTTCCAATATTGCTCTCTTGTGCGCAATATTGTTCGACATCTCCAATTGCATTGGTTATCAACACATTCAACAACATATCTACTTTGGTTTGAAATTTTCACCTTGTATGTGCAGTTATTGACAATGTGAAAGCGGTTGATGACATCTTGAACTTGTTCTTTTGTTATGAAACATTGTCTAAGAAATAGAATTCCTTCCAGAGAAACAAAAGACTCTTTGTCTAATGCATGACCATACTCTGGGTCTTGTTGTTGAATGTGACTTTCAAAGTTAAGAAAATGTTGTGGTGGGTTGTATGGTTCCATGAAGTTTGGTGCATGTGTAGGGATATGTGGTTATTCGTCCTCTGAATCATCTTGGTGTTGGCTGAGAATTTCATCTTTGCCTTCGTCCTCACTAAAAGGATCAACGACTTCAATTGGGAGGCCAACAATTTTGTTCTCTTATGTGGGTAGTTCTTCGTTGATGTTAGTGGAAGACCCTATTAGAAGTTGGGTAAAAGGGATATAGTCATTATGTGTGGGTATTTCTGGATCAGTGTTTGGGAAAACTTGGTAGGGTGAGGGTGAGATTTCATGTAAGTGTGTGTTGGGGTATGAAGAAAAAGAAGTTTTAAATGTAACAAAAATTTCAATACCACATAAGCTTGAGTTTGAATCATGAACATCGAACATGGTCTCCACGTCGTCATCATCTTTCAACTCAATAGCAATGAAGTTGTTGATCCCAACTCCTAGTCTAGTTGAGCAACGAAAATGGATGGTTGTTACATTTTCGTGGGGTTCTTTCTCCAATTTCCTGTAAATCAACTTCTTCAACCTTTGTAAAGAAATTATTCTCTTTAAAGGAACAAGTTTTGCAGTCTCAGTATTGAAGGTAACTCCCTCCATGGGACATGGGTTCATGGAACCATCATAGTGGACAATAGTAGACATTACACTCATTTTAGGAGTGTGGAACAAAAAGAAAACTAAAGATAAGAAGAAGAAAGAATGCAAAGAGCTTCAGAGATTTAGGAGTGTGCAATGTGAGAACTTCAAAGAATGAAAGTGGTTTATTTATAATGAAGTCCAATGGTTTAAAATCCAAGGCTCCCTCATATGGCTTCTGACGCACACAAAACTCAAGCAAAGTGGGTGGGTCAACATCTCTTTAAATGTGTTTGGATTCTTCTGTTTTTGTCTAACCCAATACAGGGAATCCAAAATTGGAATCCTGACTTGGGTGGGCGACTCAACATTGGATTCCTGACTTGTGTGCTTCAGAAAGACATGGGAATCCTGACTTGGGTGACTTGTGTGCGTTAGAAATTATATTGGGATGTGTTGTTTTGGGAAATATTTTTTAAAAAATTATTAATTATGTAAAAATGTTGCAAAATAATCGATCATAATTTAAAATAATCGAATATTTTAAAATGATAATCGATTAGTTTAGCTTATAATCGATTATAAATAGTTGCAGGTTTCCTCGCTCAAGCAATAGATTTCTCGCTTGAGCAAGAGTTTACCACGAGTTAAAGCTCCAACGCAGATTAGCCACATAATGCAACTTGGGTCACCACATATTTCAATCACTTCTCGCTCGAGCGAAATTACCTATCGCTTGAGCGAGAATTGACTCGAGATTATCCATTAGTTTCGGATCTCCTCGCTCAAGCGAAAGATAAATAATCGATCATAATTTTATATATTCGATTATTTTAAAATTATGATCGATTAGTTTAAATTATAATTAATTATAAATTTCTTCGCTCAAGCGATGAATGTCTCGCTTAAGCAAGAATTGACCACGGACTAAAGGTCCAACATAGTTAGTCAATCACTTCTCGCTCGAGCGAAATTACTCATCGCTTGAGCGAGAATTGATCACATGCTAAAGGTCCAACACAGCTTAGCTACATAATGCAACTTGGGTCACCATATATTTCAATCATTTCTCGTTCGAGCGATATTACCCATCATTTGAGCGAGAATTGACCTGAGATCACCCATTAGTTTCAAATCTCCTCGCTCAAGCAATGCATTTCTCACTTAAGCGAATGTACCGTGAAAAGTAAAAAGTGCTAGTTGGATAAATAATATTCCATATGTACTATTTTGGAAAATAATTTTTAAAATAGTATTATTTATGAAAAAAAAAGTCCCTTTGTATTCTACTCTTTTATATTTTCGAAAATGCTTTTATTTAAATAAACAAAAATATGTCCTTAACTTCAACTTTTTATATGATCGGAAGTATTTTTATTATAAGAAAAATAAAAATTGTTCCTTATACAAAATTTAGATTATCTATAATTTATATATATATATATATATATATATTTTTTTTCCTTTTACCGTCCTCTAAAAATAAACAAAAACTTAAAAATGAATAATATTTTAAATATAAAAATTAAATCCTAATTATTTATGATATATAACGTGAAAATATAATATATATAATTAAAATAAAAATTATTTTAAATTAAAGCAGACTTATTATTTTTATTCTATCTCATATATACTCTAACATTTTATTTTTCTTTTAAATCATTTGTCTTATACAAACCACACTTTATGCGTCCCTACAAATTAAACAATATATTTTTCTTTATAATTAGGTTATGCTAAGAAAATATTCCCTAGATTCACGAATGGAAACACAACCCCACTTTTAATCTAACTGGAATCGATAATATATATATATATATATATATATATATATATATATATATATATATATATATATGTATATATATATATATATATATATATATATATAATTAAATTGAGATAAAATAAAATTGAGACAAAATAACTAATTGATTAAATTTTGATAAGATTATTACGAAAGAAAAAATAAAATCACATTTTTTAATATAATATATTTTAATTTTTTTATTTCTTAAAAATTACTTTAATTTTAATTAATAGTTATTATATCTTATTTTTTATATAATATAAATAATTATTTATTTTTATATTTTCTAATATATATTATATTTATAATTTTTATTATAAATTAATTATTATATCTTATTTTTATATTATGTTAATAATTATTTATCTTACTTTCTCTATATATTTTATATTTATAATTTTTATTATAATTTATAATGATCATAAAAATAATCTTTAGTATTTTTCTTTTTTTTAATATTCTTATTAATAAATTTATTATACACTTATTATATTATAAAATAATATTTATTAAATTTAATTAAACCAATAAAATTTTTAAATCATAAATTTATATCTTAATTGTTTGAATATCCGTCTAATTTTAAAAACATTAATTAAAACACTTGAAATGAAGAAAGGAAAATGCTGATGGAAAATCCAATTTTTTTATCCAATCACTTAATAATTATAATTTATTAATAAAATAATATATTTTTAATTCATTTTATTTTAATTTAATTACTCTATAAATATAATATTAAAAAAATAATATTATCTTATATTGTTAGGTAGATCTCAAAATATCACTACTCATATATATATATATATATATATATATATATATATATATATATATATATATATATAATATGTTTGTTACATTGAAGCCGAACAAACAATTTATTTTTACAAAAAAAGAACAACTCCCAAACACAATCCACCATTTCCAATGTCCTATTTTGCTTAAGAAATCCTGAAAAAAAAAATATCAAGAAAAATAAACCAATGAAGAACATTATCATGTAAAGAGTAAAAAATAAAATTTTACCGGTCACAGTTGACGTTGATGCTGACGGGAAAACCCAGGTCAACCTTGCATAGACCAGGAAGTGCTTTGACTTTGCGGTAGTTTAGGTTAAGATTGTAGAAGAGTGCCTCTTTGATGCAGAGACATGCAGCACGAAGTTCAGGTTTTGATGGTGCTGAAGCTTTCACTTCTTTCACCCCTTTGCAACATTGAGTTGAAGGAGCATCAGCATTGTCCATAACAAAAGATAAGCATGGCAACACTGAGCGACGTGCCTTGTCACAATTATAGCCCCTCGAAGCTTCCATGTCTGCAACTGTAAGCACTGACATAATTAGCAAAGTCAAAACCCACACAAACACTCTCTTCATTTTTCTTCACTTGTTTATTATTATTTTTTTTTTTTCATGCTATACACTCCTCACAGACCTTACATTTATAGCCACATTTCTGCTCTGTTGTAAATTCATGTATTCAAGCATTATTTATGGCTATTAATGCCTTATTATTATCACTATTAATTACTTTTCCTTTCTTTCTCTAAAAACGTGGTTAAAACAGTACAAAATATAGTAAAATATAAGGTGGCTTTTGTTTGTATTCCATGTTGCTTTAATGCATTTGAATTGTGATGATGTTAGAATTTATTGTTGTTTTTATATTTAACGTGTCATATTTATTATTCAAAACATTTATAAAGGTCAAACATTTAATATTTTCATTTATTACATTTAATATTTTTTTTAATTGTCAAATTTTTTTAACATAACATAATTCAGTGTAAGTATCGATTATGATGTATTAGAAATGAAAAAAATGATTTTTTCTCTGTCATAATTAATTATATTGGTAACATAATCGATTATGACAGTTCAAATTTGAAAAATATATCTGTTTTGAAAAATAAATATTTTTTAATACATCCTGATTTTTCTCGTATTAATGACCAACAACTATTTTCTGATATTATTTTTCTCTTTAAATGAGTTTTGATGAAAAATAAAAAATACACAATTATAAAATTTGAAAATCCAATTTATATTAAATTAGTTATGAAAAAATAATTATGAGCAAGGTAACATAACACTTTTAGGTTTTCTAAAAAAACTTTTTCATATTATGTTCTGCACTTTCATTGTTAATCACACTTGTTCTTAGAGGTTGACATTTTACATACTTCTACAATTTGTTGTCTTCATTACCCAAGTGTGATTATTCTTATTTTATTCTCTTCATCTTTTGTGAGCTTAAGTGATTGATTGTTAAATTATCTGTTTAGGGTTTAAATAGTCACTCTTATTCTATTATATTTTTTTGGGTTTCCTATGTGGAAACGGTTTATCCCTTTAATTTGTTCAGAGGAAGTGTTCATCCCTAGTGAGATTCTAGGGAGGTGTTCGTTCCTAGTGGGATTCTACGGAGGTGTTCATCCTTAGTGGGTTTCTAAGGAGGTGATTGTCTTTTTAATTAGTTACTCTATACTCGTTCCTTTGTTAAGTTGATTGTAATTTGTAAACTGAGTTTGAAAGATAATGAATTTGGGTCACTCTCGTGTTAGAGGTGACTGAGAACCGAATGTAAGGTTGACTATACCTAAACCAGTATAAATTATTGTGTGCTCTTATCTTCCTTTTATCACTATACTTTTCTTAATCACTTCTTTTATATCTTTCTGACCATATTATCGCTTCAGCTTTAAAATTAAATTTACAAGTTATTAGACATCTAAAATAAATTTTTAATTTGACATCTATTTCAATTTGTGCATCTATTCTCCCATTTTTAGATGTTATTTTTCTAACAGTTTCCTATAATTAAATTTGTTTTTTTATATTTTTTAGATGTTATATTACTTTAACAAAATATTTATACAACATAATTATATTAAAAATTATTATATTATAATTTTTTGTGAAACTATATTTACGAATATAATTAATGTTTAGACAATGAATAAATTTAATTAATGTCTTATTTATTATTAAACAATCAATATTTATAATTTAACTTGAATAAATGATAAAAATATTAATTAATTAAAATATGAATATAAATCTTCTAATAAATAAGAATAAAAATTTTTAACAACATATAAATTTATAATTCAATTCTTAAAGATTTTAGATTAAATAGAATATGTTGATGAGTTACATAAACTGAACTCATGTCATAATGATATTATCTGTTTGTGGTCTTATCTCAATTAAATATAAACTATTCATCTTGATAAAAAAACAATAACTTCTACTACTTAACAACACATGGATAACCAAACATTGAAAGTAGATGTTAACTATTTATTGCAATACAAATGTTTGTTTCACACACGCTTCACAAACTACATTTTTAAAAGAAAACAAATTCCAAGCAAAGTCCCCATTTTCAATGTCCCATTTCTTCCTCCACCTGTTCTTCAAGCAATTCTGAAAAAAATAATCAACAAAATTAAATCAATGAGGGTTATGAACATTTACAAGGCAAAGTTAAATAAAAAGATAATCAATAAAATTAAACAAAAGTAAACTGATGAGAGTTATTAACATTTATAAGTAAAAGAAAAAAAAAACTTACTTGGTACAATTGACGTCTTTGGTGATGGGGAAACCCACGTCAACATCGCATAGTGTGGGAAGTTCCTGGGCTCTTTGAAAGTTGAGATTAGGAATGTGAGTGATTCCTTCCTTAAGGCATTTACAAGCGGCACGAACATCGTCTTTGGTTGGTGCGGAAGCTTTCACTGCGCTCAATCCTCTGCAACACGCAGTTGAAGGGGTATCAACTTTGTCGGTCACAAAATCTAAGCATGGAATCAACATGATTTTGGCAATCTCACAACTGAACCCTTGCGCTCCCTCCATGCCTCCATTTGTGAGGACCAACACCAGTAGCAAGCTCACAAATGTACTCTTCATATTTTCCCACACTTTTTCTTTCACTGCTTCTCCCTTTCATGGATTGAAGCTTCACACATGTTGCATTTATAGCCTCATTTCTGATGCATTCTCACCGTTCTTTATTTAAATATTAACTATCACTATTTATTAATGCCTTCTTTCATGTGTTTCATATATGATTAACAACATATCATATAATGATAATAAAAAATATATGAAAACAAAAGTAATATGAAAGAAAAAAACTATTTATTGAACAAAATAATAATAATAATAATAATTTAGAATTACATATTTATTTAATTATAAATTATTTTTTATATAAAAATTAAATTGCTAAATTAATATTTATTTTTTAATAATATATATTTTTATATATAATACAAATATTTTTATTATGAAATTATATTTTATAAAAATATTTGAGTTTAAATTAATAAATAATATCACATTATAAAAAAAATTATTCACTTGGTTTTTATAATTATTTTTATATTTATTATTTATTTAAGTAAAAACAATTTTATAATACAATGTTTTTATTGCAATTTCTATTTTTTTATATATCAATAAAAAGTAAACATATGTATTTTTTTTTATTTCAAAATATATGATATTTTATTAAAAAAAATAGTTTTTAAATGTATTTTAATTAAAATGTTTAAGCTTATATTAATTATTTTTTTAATATATATACATTAATTATATTTATTATAAAGAAAGAAGATAAAAAATTATTAAAAATTATTTTCTTTGAAGAAAAAATTAAAAATATAAAAGTATTAACAAAAAAAATAAATTAATTAAAAATAATGAAAACTGTATAACCCAGTTTTAGTCGTTATATATTTTAAGAGAAAGTAACATTTTTCTTTAATATTTTTTATTTGACTTTATAATTTTTACTTTTTTTATTGGTGTTTTATGTGTTTTATATATCTTAAGTATTTATTGTCTTTCAGTTAATTGATTATTATACTATTTTTATTAACTCAACGTTTTTAATAAAAATGATGTAACTATTACTTAAATGAGATGTAAAACTGCAATAACATTATTATAGTATTAACTGCTTTTTTTTTTTATAAAACTTAATACGTTTTGTTTGGATATTACGTTGCTTTAATTGTTTTTAAGTGTGATGACGTTAGAATTTATGATTCTTTGAATCAATTAATTTCTCACATTTATTGTTCCAAATATTTGAAAATGTCAAGTTTCTTTTAAAAAACAAAAAACTCCATCTACTTCAAAATTTCTTACGTTTAAGGTTGACTTACTGGCAAAAGTAAATATTTATTATTTTAATAGACTCATTATTTTTTTATAATATTTTTATTATTTTATCGTTTCATTTAAAATCTTTTTGATAATTTGTTTTCTCCTTTTTTAATAAATATAATTAAAAATATATGATATAATTAATCAAAGAATAATTTAAAATATTTACATTTAAAAAATAATGACTATTATGAATTATATATTTAAAAATAGTCAAAATATATATAAAAAATAATGTACTTATAAAAAGTGAAGAGAAAAATAAAATAAAATAAACTTATAAATAATATTTTTAAGTAAATTAATTATATAAAAACTTGTAGAATATGTGAAAAGAATAAATTGTTCAAAAAATTTATTCAAGAAATTATTATTTTTATATCTTCTCTTTCCTTTGTTTTTCTCATGTCTTTTGTTTTTTTATCTTTTTTTATCCTATTTTTTTAATTAAAAATATAATATCAAAATTTAATATAAATATTTTAGGGTAAATTTTAGAAAATCAATCTTGAAACTAAAAAATATATAAATTAATTATTTAAAATTATGATGATAATAAATAATTTTATTTATTGTGACAATAAATAAATCTATTTATGATGATGTAAATACTAAATTTAAATTATTTCATCATAATAAAAAAATTACTCATTTAATTACAAAATATTAAATATTTATGAATTAAACATATTTTTATTTAATAATTTAATTTTGTTATAATTAAGTTGATTAATACTAATTAGTTAGATTAGGTAATTACTAATTACTCATCATAATTAAGTTGATTAATACTAATTACTCATCATAATTTTTATTTTTCTCTCCTTTTATTTATTTGTTGTTATTTTTTATTCTGCAGTTTAATAGTTATTTTTTTCCTCTTATTTTGTTTTTTCTATCGTTTCATTATATTATTGTAATTAAAAATATTAGATTAAAATTTGATAAAATGAATCTTTATTATTTATGAAAAAATAAAAATATTTAAATTATTCAAAAAATATTATTATTTAATATATTATAATTATAATATATATATATATATATTAAAATAACCTTTTTAATAAATATATTTAAAAATGATATAATTTGATTATTAATTTTGAAGTGAAACTATTTTAATAAATATTTCAGATATATTATTTGAAAAAATATATAAATACATTAAAAATCATAATATGAAAATTTTTAGACTGAAAATGAATAACTGATGTTATGCGGAATCACGAAGTCAACCTACTGCTCAAACAATTAATGTTAAAATAATGAACAAATTAATTAGTGACTTAAAGTTAAATCACATTTAGTGATTAATTTTATCATTAAAAAGTACCAAATAATAATAATCATAATAATGCAATTAACATATTCTCAGCACACTTTGAAAAGCTAACACCAATTTGTGCAATTGAAAATTATCCAACGGCAGTAGTTAAACAATAAGAGGTGAAATTAAGTTTATTCATCTACCTTTTCATATTATTAATTTTTTAAAATATTTATTTTTATATATATATATATATATATATATATACATTATTCTTACAGTTGTTTATTTTCATTAAAAAAATATAAATAATTTTATAATTGTTTTTCTATCTTGTATTCTTTTATTTATTATATATATAATATATTTCTTTTTAAATTAGGAAATTATCTTTATCTCTCTCGATATAATATAAATATAAATAATTGACTAATTTTTGGATTGGGAGACCTGATTTTTATTCTTTAATGTCTTTTTATTTTACTCGTCTACCCATTTTACTATTGTTGAGAGTTAATTTCCTTTCTTTTAAAAAATGTTATAAATAATATATTTTAAAAAATAAATATTTAAATAGCTTATTTAAGTTTTTTTTAAATACATATTATTTATGACATCAAATCTTGTTTTTTAATTAAGTTGTTTTATTTTAAACTTTTTTTATTACATCATGTAATTAATAACAACAGATTCGTGAAATGATAGCATGTTTTTTATTTTCATTTTGAACTACTTGTTTTGTCTGGGTTCTTGAATCTCATCAAAAACATTAAATATAAACAATTAATCTTAATTAAACACAAATAAAATCTACGACGAAGAAGAATGGATAACAGCACATAGAACATAGTTTTTAATTATTTCTTGCAGTATAAATGTTTGTTCCACACAAGTTTAACAAACAAATTTATTTTTTACAAAGAAAAAAACAACAAGTTCCAAGCAAAAAACACCATTTTCAATGTCTCATTTCCTCCTCCATCTCTTGCTTAAGCGATTCTGAAAAAAAGACAAGAAAAGAAAAACACAAGTAAATTAATGAAGGCTATCAACATGTGCAGGTATTAAAAAAAATTAACCAGAATTAAATGTTTATGGATAGAAAAGAAGAAAACTTACTTGCTGCAATCAAAATCCTTGGTTATGGGAAAACCGATGTCAACCTTGCATAGTTTGGGAAGTTGCTGGGCTTTATCATAGTCCATGTTGGGAACGTGAGTGGCTCCTTCCTGAACGCACTTGCATGCAGCACGAAGATCAACTTTTGTTGGTGCTGAAGCTTTCACTTCACCCAATCCTTTGCAACAAGCCAATGAAGGGCTATCGGTTTTGTCGGTCACAAAATCTAAGCATGGCATTAGTGATTTTTTTGCCTTTTGACAGCAGAAGCCTTTTGGTGGCTCCATGGCTGCATCTGCGATGGCTAACACAACTAGCAAACTCAAAAATATGGTCTTCATTTTGCACTCTTTCTTTCACTGCTTTACTTGTCTTTTGATTTTGGTGATTTCAAGCTTCAGAGATCTTGCATTTATAGTCACATGTGTGGTGCATTGTGCATATTGATGACTTGAGCATTAATTATCACTATTAATGCTTTCTTTTCTTTTCTTTTTTCCTTTGGAATAAATGCCATAAAATATATATTAAAATATCCTTTTAGTTTATTTACCTAATTATATCTTATTATTGTTCATAAACAAAATTTATTTTTAAAAAATAAATTAGTTTAATATAATACAGTTATTTTCTTCCCTTTTCTCAATTTTTTTATTTTTTTTTCTCTCTTCATTTATTCCTTACTTTCTTTTTTCTTTTTATGTTATTCTCTCACTCTATCTTTTTTTTATTGAAAATGGTAAATAAAAATTTGATAATGTGGGTATTTTATTATTATTGTTATTATTAAGAAATATATATATATATATATATATATATATATTTAAATGATAATTATATGAGAAAAAATATATTATATAATATATTTGAGATATTACAAATATTATTATTGTTATAATTATTAAAAAAATATTTGTTTTTATTTTTTTAATAATATTTTTTAAATACATAATCTAACTAATTATTATAACTCAACCTAATTATAACTAAATTAAATTATTAAATAAAAATATATTTAAATTATAAATATTTGATATATTTTTAATTAGATGAATAATTATTTATCATGATAAAATATTTTTAAATTAATTATTTATGTCATCGTAAATAAAATTAAATTATTTATTATTATTATAATTTTAAATATTTAATTAATATTTTTTAATTTAATGTTATTTTTAAAATATTTATTTTAATAATTTTTAATATAGTAATTTAATCAAGAGAATAAATAGGAGACGAGAAAAAAGATAGAAAAGAAAAATATAAAAAAAATGAATGAAAGAAGAAAAAACAAAAAAATGTTGAGAAAGGAGAATAAAAACTTCATATAAACAGTAAATATATCTATTTAAAAAAATAAATTTATATAGATTTTATTTAAATAAATTTTCTTTTAAAATAAAATATTCTTACGATTTATTCCTTTCTTGAATGTGCTCCACAAAATATGATAAATGATACGTTATTTTTGTTATTTTCACTTTATTTGCTTTAATGATTTTTTATCCTATTAAAGATTTTTCGTGAGATCATTGAATAAAGGATTAATTGTTTTTAATAATTTTTCGTCAGAGAAATTGTTGTTTAAACAATTTTTCATTCAAAAAAATCTTAAACGATATGATAAATTATGAAAACACTATAGGGAGATTGATAGCAATGTGAAACATTTTCCTACATTCTGAAAAAGATGATTTTGAGGAAAATTTAGGTCAACACAGTTCAAATTTTGATGAAGATTCAAGTCCACTACTTAAGACTTATGCAAGCCCGAATGTTAGATAAAATCTTAGAATACTGGATATGAAGGTACAAGTTAATGAAGTAGTATTATATATAAACCTCAAAAACACAAGTGTGAAACAATTTTGTATTATGATATTTTTCACTATCATAATCAATTATGAGAGGTTCATAATCGATTATATCAGCAAATGAAGCAATTGTTTTCAAAAGTTTTTCTATCATAATCGATTATATAAGTATCATAATCGATTATGATGTATCAAAAATAAAAATTTGATTTTGCCTCTGTCATAATTGATTATGCAAGTAACATAATCAATTATGACACTTCGAATTTGAAAAATATATCCATTTTTGAAGAATAAAAACTATTGAAAATATCCTGAATTTTTTCTCTATAAATTAATTATTGAGCAACGACTATTTTTTATGTTATTTTCCTATTTAAATGAATTTTGGTGAAAAATAAAAAAACAGAATTTTGAATACAGAATTTGAATATACAATTAATAGTTTTGAGAAAGTCATTTTGAGCAAGGCAACCGAAATATTTTACACTTTTTGAGAAAACCATTTTCTTTATTACCTTTTGTGCTCTTATGGTTAATCTACACTTGTTCTTAGAGCTATCATTCTACAGACTTCTAAAATTTATTGTCTCCATTATCAGGTGTGACTGTTCTTATTGAAAGTCTTGTTATTTAGGGTTTCCTTTGTGGGAACGATTCATCATTTGATTTGTTCAGAGGAGATGTTCATCTCTAGTGGGATTCTTGAGAAGTGTGTTTTCATCCTTTGATTTGTACAGATGAAGTGTTCATCTCAAGTGAGATTTTTAAGAGGTATGTTTTCATCATTTAATTTGTTCAGAGGAGGTGTTCATCTCAAGTGTTATTCTTGAGAGGTGTGTTTCTGTTTCATCCCTTGTTTTAGAGAGGTATTTATCTTTTTAATTAGTTTACTGTTTATTGGTTTTTCTGCAAAGTTGATTGTAATTTGTAAATTGAATTTTAAAGATAGTGAATTGGGTTGTCTCTCTCGTATTAAAGGTGACAAGAAACTGGATGTAGGGTTGGCTTGACCTAAACCAATATAAATTACTGTGCATGAGCCAGAGCAGTAAGTCGCAACCAGTCCTACAAAGTGGATTTTCACACCAGATGAGGGTGCGTACTCATCGGGCCTTACAAAAGGGGGCTTATCAGACAAGGGTTCATACTCGTCAACACCAGATGGGGGTGTGTACTCATCGGACCTTACAAAAGGGGGCTTACCAGACGGGGGTTCATACTCGTCAACACCAGATGAGGGTGTGTACTCATCAGACCTTACAAAAGGGGGCTTACCAGACGGGGGTTCATACTCGTCAACACCAGATGAGGGTGTGTACTCATCAGACCTTACAAAAGGGGTCTACCAGACGGGGGTTCATACTTGTCAAACCAGATGGGGGTGTGTGCTCATCAAGCCTTACAAAAGGGGGTTCAAACCGGATGGGGGTTCGTACTCATCAACCGAAGGGGTCAGTTACCACAGGAGCATCCTCGAGGATCATATTTAACGTCTAGAAGGTCGGCTACCACAACTAGGAAAGCAACCGAAGGACAACCGGGTAAGAGGGTTAACTCCTTCACCTTCCAACCGATCTTTTTGGCATATTGAGCCAACATTCGGCTAGTCAGGTGAAGGGGGGGCAGCTGTAGACTCCAAATCTTGTCCGGCCTCAAAATAAAGAGCAGAAGACTTCCGTTCGAAGATGGACAAGGCCTAAAAAGTCCCTAGAATTGATCAATATGCCCCATATTGGAATATGAAGATTTTTTGTACGCGAAAAATAAGAAATTCCACCTAAAGGGCCGAGATCGCCGTCTCGCCATCGGCTAAGGGCGAGACTGTTGTCTCATTTGGTGAGACCGTCGTCTCGCCACTTGCCAATGGCGAGACTGACGTCTTACCAATGGCGAGACCGCCGTCTCATTGGGTGAGACGGCAATCCCGACCTGACAGGTGCGAATTTCTATAAAAGGGAGGTATGTCCTCACCCTTTTCACATAATTCTTCCACTTTTTCTTCTGCAATTTCTTCAAATTATTCTCCTAGGATCGCTCTGAAACATTTTTAGAGTTTCTTAATATTCTTAGAGAGTGTTCTGTAGTGTTACGAGCAAGAGCGATCAACATTGTAGAGCGAGAGATTGCCAAAAAACACCCTATTTCAAATAATCTACTGTAAAACTTGCTTCGAAGGTTCCTATATACTCTCTTCCCTATTTTACTGCTTTCTTAGATAGTATTGATGTGCATTAATTACTTAGGGTCATGTAGTCAATATTTTAATTTTCGCAATAAATAAATAAAGGGTAAAAACGCAATTTATAGTTTTTATTTCTTCATATAAATAGTCCATCATAGGGAACCCGAAAAGGACATCGTAGGGAAGCTAATACCTTCCCTACAAGTAACTAACTCCCTTATCCTACTCTAGTTGTAATGATCAAAGTTGGTTTTTCTAAACCAATGCCTTCATTTTTCTTCCTTTTCCAATGTTTCGGGTAAAAACATTGGTGGCGACTCCTCGAACCCTTCAAAAATCTCGCCTTTAGGTCCAATTCGGTTATCAGACAACCTAAAGGCGTTGTAACATCACTTTTAAAAACACGGGTCCAACGAAATCATCGCGTCACTCCGACTGCTTCTTTTGAAGGTGGCGACACTCATGTTTTGCAAAACTTGAAATTTTGTTGGAATTCTTGAAATTAAGGATGAATTATATGGTAAAATTGTTTTTTTCAACTTAAATTAGATATAAGTCATGTTTAATTTGAATTTGAGACTAGTTTAGTTGTCTAAAACTGAGTAATTTGAAATCTGCTAAAATTTGCAAAATTTGATACTGTTAATGACGCAAGGAAGAAGAAAGGGATATGGAAGGAATTTTTGAAAATGTTCAAGGGTAAAATAGTTATTTTTTGGGACATGGAAGAAATTTTTGAAAATGTTCAAGGGTAAAATAGTCATTTTCAGGACATGGAAGGAATTTTTAAAAATGTCCAAGGGTAAAATAGTCATTTAAGGACATACATGGAATTTTCAGAAAATATTAAGGGCAAAATAGTAATTTAATGATTTTGGAAATGATTTCGAAAATAATTTCGAAAATAATTTCAGAAAAAAGAAAAAGAATATATATATTTAAAATATAGAATAAAGGTAGCAATTTTAAAGATTTAGCAGAGTGTATTGTGACGTGTGTGAGTCAGACTGAGTCTAAGGACTCATGCTCAGAATCAGTCATGAGATGTTATGTATTGACTAGACTGAGTCAGAGGGTCAGTGCCCAGAATCAATCAAATACTATTATTTATTGACCCGAATGAGCCGTGATGACAAGTGGTCCAAAATCCGACAGATGTGAATGATTTTTGTTGTGTTTGAATGGTACCCGGGGGTCGGGGTGTTACAAAGTACATTAGTGTAATAACAATGTCAGAGGATTCTGAATGAGGTCCCAAATTTCACTGATTGGTCGAGTCAGGTAG